AAAGTTTCGCTCAGAGAGGCGGCCAGCGGGTGGCAGTATTGCTAGCGATGTCGACGCCGGCGGCGGTGGCGAGAAGCTGGCGGAGGCAAGAGTCGACGCCTGTAACCGAAGACTGGTGGTGGTGGTCTTGGGGTACCAATACGGGTTTCTGAAGGGAGACCGGAGATATGAATAGATCGGCCCATCGGACTGATCAAAGGCTGTTTTCTCTCCCTGTCGGGAGCCGTCGAAGGTGGCCTCGCGCGGCGGAAAGAGTCGTCCCCACCATTCCCGTGATCCCTGCCAGAACAGCATCCATACCAGCAGGTCGAGCTCTTGCGTGTACGACGGTGCAGGGGCGGGCATGGGCGTGGTCGCGGTCGCAGCGGCGTCCGACGAGACAAGACGTCTGCGCCAGTACAGGAACGCCCCCACGCCGTCCAGTCCTCGTACCACGAAGAGCAGTCGGCCGCGCCGCTCGTCAACAGAGATGCCATTCCGGTCGGACATGTTGTACTCCTCGGGGCTGGCAACGCGCACCGAGTACTCCTGGGTCGTCATACCGACGAACACGGACATGGCGTGAGGATGGCGATCCCAGAACCACTTGTCCAGGTCTACAAGCCAGCTGTCGGGAATGGCGTGCAACGTGACGATGCGTCGAATATCCGCGAACAGGGCGTCGAGCATTCCATCCTCCCAGGCCTCCGGAGTGCCGTCGGAAACTACACGGACGTTTCTGTGTCCTTCAGGCGCCGTAAGCGATGCCGCTAGCGTTGCCGTCGGCAGCGGTATCACGAGGTCAGTCTTCGCCCAACCCCTGTTTGCTCGAGGAAACATCTTGACCAGGAACGGGTCGAGCGGTTCGGGCGGTTCGGGCGTCGCCGAAACACCGTAGTTTCAAAGGCGACTGGAAAATCTGACATGGATCGGACTTGGTTTTGTGCCTTGCCAGATCGCACGATGAGCTTCCCTTGCTCAAAGTGTTTAGTTCAGTTGTCGTGCTCATTCACTTGCGGAAATGGAATCAGAGAAACGGGAAAGTTTATTGGTCGTACAGCTCTAATAAAAGTACAGTAAGTTTCTATTCTATGTTAAGCTCTCAAAAACATAAATTTGTACATTGAAGTCTGCCTTCTCAGTTGGACAGAGATTTACCACTGGACCTATAGGAACGAATCATTAGCAAAAGGTACAATTGCCTTAGGAATGGACAACTTACGATATTGGGGCTGATATTCCTCAAGTCAGCCACTCCAGTGTTGCCAGCATCCCACGCCAATTCTTGACGGAGAAGATCAATTGCTTTCTCCACACCCTCGCGGCCATAGACATTGGCATACATGAACGGACGCCCAAGACCAACGGCCCGAACTCCGAGAGATAGCAATCTAAGAACATCGGCCCCATAGCGAACTCCACCATCTGCGTAGACCTCAATCTGCGAGAAAACTTCAGGGGCTTGCTTGTGAATCTCCAGCGCAACCTCTAGCGGGGAGCGCACTCCATCAGTCTGGCGGCCACCGTGGTTGGAAAGATAGATGGCGTCGACCTTGCGCGCGACGGCCTCTTGTGCATCCTCGACGGTCTGGATGCCCTTAATGATGATGGGTAGTTCGGTCATGCCTTTCAGGCGCTCATACTCGTCCCACTGAGAACTGATGTTAGCCGTGCGTTCGTTGTGAGAAGGCAGGCAATGCGAAGTCTTTTATCTTACAGTGATGTATGAATAGCTGGTGTCAGCTGAACCGACTCCAAACCGGGCTGCACGGTGGCGGACACCATTGGCTGGGCTGTCAACCGTGTAGACGATCGCCTTGGCACCTGCGGCGGCAGCCTTGTCGAAGATCTGCTGTGTGGCTGTGTTGTTCTGGTCGAGATACACTTGGCGGAAGATCGTTTGGTTGTCTGAAGCAATCTCACCAATCTCCTCCATTGCCAGGTTGGCATAGAAAGCGGCCTGTGACTGTCAGTCATCGTGTAGCACGAGCCAATCGCGGTGTGGCGCACCATGTATAAGATGTTCTTCGATGCGGCGCCCTCGATTAAGCCTCGCTCTGCTTCTTCTGGGTTGCCATAAGCTCCCCGCGAACATGGCGCAATGAAAAACGGTGCTGAGACGTTGTGGCCCAAGATTGTAGTCCTTTGTGGCAGAGTCAGCTGGGGGCAGGGGCCATCGACGTTCAAGATATAAGCGGACTAACGGTAGTGTCGACTCGACATTTGTGATATCAACCATCATCCTAGGCCTCAGTGGAAACTGGTTATGAATTTCAAGGTTATTCCGGTAAGACCATTCGCCGCCGGCCCCGTTGCGGTAATAGGTGTAGTTCTCGAGGCTCATTGCTTTTCGCGCTGCCCATTCGAAGTCGGGAAGGCCGACAATCCCATCAAGAGGGATGAGCTCGCCATTTGGAGTCGCGCCAAAGACATCTTCAATACTGCAGTTCCGTCTCAGTCAGCAGTTTACGGCATACCACGCCGACGCTTGGATTTACTCACCCGGTATCGGGCTCGTTCAAGAATGGCCGCTCGCCGAAGGCCGTGCCAAGCAGTGAGATGGTAAAGAGTGTAGACCGCATTGTGAAAATATGGCACGCGCCGCTTAAAGGGTTGACGTCGACTGGCGATCAATTACAAAGACCGTGGAATGTTCTTGCAAAAGTCTTCCGCGCAGCGATGGCTTCGGCATTTATATCTCCATTTTCTATGCACCTGTCGCTGCAAACCACATGACGATTTCGTGTGGCCAATCTGCTAACTCTTGGAGACGTCACACCTATAGTCCGAATTTGCTTCTAGTACTAGTAGACTTGGTTCTTGCTGTGACCCCTGGCTAGATGCAGTGGGGCCCAGCTGCCAGCGATGAACGGCGACAAGGGTTGCCATAATTGCCAAGCACCCTATCTCATTTGCGCGATGCTATTCGGTAAGTCTCACCTTCCAGATACAGCTAACGCATGATGGTGTAAACTGGATAGAACTTACAAATCCACTCGGGTTAAGGAATCTAGATGCTTTAACGTCTTCCCAACCTGAGTGGAATCGGCGGAATCCCGACCGGCTCTCAGAGGCATGGGTGCTTGTCCGTCGGATAAGCTCCCTGTTAGAAAAACCCTTGCGACGATTCCGAAAGACCAGGGAACTTCGACAGATGCTACTTGCCAATTACAGACAGTCAAACCACAGGGAGTTGTTCCTAGACGGGAAGTTCTGTGTCGTTATGTTCATACAACAATTAGTGACGCCATCCTGCATTGCATCATCGAAGATTCTGCAAGGGCGAAGCGACTTGGCGGGGGCTTAACATGCGGCGCCGAGCTAAACTTAAATGTACAGCCCCAGCCCTGGTCCTGGCTGCAGATACATTGGACGACAAGAAAGTTGGCGATCCGCTGCGTTGGGATTGCCCATGCCTCCGGAGAGCCTCGGCACTCCAATAAGTAATTAACTTTCCAGAGATTAGCTGTCCGTCTTCGGTGACGCCGCAAGTGCTATAAAGTGCGCAAGTATTGTGACGTTCTTTTAATAGCAAACCCCCTGACTGAAGCCAGTGAAGGCTTTGGAGATATCCCAGCTGCAGATCTATCGCATGCGGGATAGCGCAACCGTGGGCGATGTGTCAGTGGAGGTTGAAGAAAAATAATAAAAAATAAAGATAAAAGAGCTGACACCGGGAGTTTCTGTTACAGCAAGATAGCAGTTGAAGAAGAGACAGCTCGCTAATAACCTTATTAACAGAAGGCCCGTTCTTGTCATTGACAAGAACAGGGAGAAATTGGCTCATACTCAGCCACGTCATAGCTGTTCCAATTCACTGTAAGCAGTCTCGTCTCACCTTCGATAAACTCTGATCGCTGCATCTTTTCTTACAGCGCTGCTTACCACCCATGAAAACATACACTCGTTTGGGGCAATCCTTCCGACTGGAGACTTCCCTCTTGCCACCGATTCGGATGTGATCATGGCTACCACATGCATACTCGCAACAGGTTTCATAGATTCTCGGACAGCCTGTACTCGTAATTAGGGCAGATAACTTTCCTCGCAGAGTGCAATACAGGCCCCTGGGCCTTGGTGTGCTCCTTGTAGGCCGTACCTAAGTAGGGGAGGGATCATTTATGCTCAACAACTAGAAACACTCGCTGGAGCAGAAACGCCGGTATAGCCCTAGAGACAAACAGCATTATTCCCGCCCACAAATCGTCTATCACCTACGCGGAATGGTCTTTGATCTCATAGTGAGGGGCAGACGACAGAGATCAGCAGCTGGTGGCTTTGGTGATGACAACCGCCCCTCTCGAAGATTGCTTGAAACGCCAGAGAAACAGCGTCTACATTACACGCGGAGTCTTTGGAGCTTGGATAGATTTTGCGGGTTACCATGGCGCTATCAACCCTAAAACTGTTCAAGATTGCAGGCGACAGTCAAGCAAAACCGTGCTCAGATTGCGAAATCTCGCCGTCTGCAACGCCAGGGATTCTGCTGAGACTATTCAATCACCAACTTTGACTTTGCCATTAACAGGACTATGGCAACCGTCGTTGCTTTCACTACTCGAAAGTCCGAGGGCAGGGTGGTGTCGAATAGTCCGAAGACTTGAGCAACAATAATCTCGGGGCTGCTGGCGCAAACCCATTGTAGGTACCTGTGTATCATTGCCGACAATAGGACCGCCATCTTCAAAAACGCAAGTCATCGTGGAGCTCTCAATTCCTTTAATCTTTCGTCTTCATCGCCAAGTCTTACGCTGAATCCTCACCTTCCCTAGCTAGCGGGTGGACGTGGTGGAATGTCATACCAAGGCTTGGTAGAATGCAAGCTGTTGAACTAAATCTAAACAGTTTAGAATTTGTCGCCCATACCAAGGCTGATAGATTGGTTTATATAAATAGAAGGAATCTAATACCCATCACATTGCGTGAAAGGACGGCCAAGGACTGATAGCCTGCCTGTACGTTTTAGATCTCTACCAGAAGGATTCGAACATATGTCTATATTTTGGACATAACCGTATAGAGGCAAAATACAAATAGTCCACCTTCACCGATTACATTCTCTCTTTTCTAATAACTCGGGAGCCACTGCATTGACCCCAGTTCACTGTGTGGGTATGATCAAGGGAGGCTTGCACATACATCTCAATATCTCATTAATGGTAGGTTTAAAGGAGCGCAGATCGGCACATGTAGGACGAGCGTTGGTTCAATACTGTAATGCAAGGTAACTTTATGGTCACTGTACCAGATATAACCAGTGATTCGTGGGTTGTCACTGCAAGGGAGATGTACAAGGGAGGGGGGAAACCCTATACCTTTCGACTTTTGTGCAGGTTTCATGCACATATGCACACTTGACGCCCACGAACCATAGCACTAGCAACAAATTCAACGATGAAAAGTTTTAAAAGGATCCATAAGTCCTTGACGACTCCAACTTGCAACAGTCCCTGCCGGGTCTCATTTGCCCACATCCATCTGTTTCGCCTCCCACCTCCTCCGTCCAAAACCAAACTTTTCAAACATTGTTCAAACCATGACTCTGTGCACAAACCTTCCAAGCAACCTTCAGGGGGTGGATGTGATCATTGCTGGTGGTGAGTGAGCTTCCTAAGGCCCTGTCATACGTGTCATATTCACTACAATTGGAATACTGATCTACTTCTATAGGAGGAAGTGCTGGCTGTATCGTAGCCGCTAGATTGGCGGATGCTGACCCCAAACTCTCCATCTTGATCATTGAGGGGGGCACAAACAACTTTGAAGTGCCTTTGATTGTCCACCCGGGTTTTCTCTTTGCCCATATCCAGCTTCAAAACAAGTACATGCAGTTTTATAAGGGGAAGAAGTCTCAGCACCTAGGTGGTCGAGAGGCTGTCGTTCCTTGTGGCGGTGTTTTGGGTGGTGGATCGTCTGTGAACTTGATGCTTTACAGTCTGGCACAGCGGAGTGACTTTGACGCCTGGGAAACTCCAGGATGGTCGGCCAACGAGCTTCTACCTTACCTGAAAAAGCTTGAGACGTACCATGGCGAGGACAAGACAAGTTGTCATGGTAATGATGGCCCCATCCACGTTTCTGGCAGCACATACCGTGCTTCCAGATTGGAGAATGATTTCATTACAGCAGTAACAAAGCTGGGCTATCCAGTGGTCGATGATCTTAATAATCTCGACACAGGCAACGGAGTCATGCGCGCTCTACGATACGTCAACCCTCAAGGGAAGCGTCAGGATACAGCTCACACATATATCCACCCCAGACTCAAGGATGGAGAACATCCTAATTTGCACGTGCTGACAGAGTCACTGGTAGAACGTATCTTGTTTGAGGGCACGAGGGCAGTCGGGGTATCCTACAAGCCAAACCAAACTCTCCAACCCGATGCTGATAACGCCGTCCGGACAGTCAAGGCGCGAAAACTTGTGATTCTCTCTTGTGGAGCACTTGGAACTCCTCTTGTGCTTGAGAGGTCGGGTGTTGGCAGCTCTGACATCCTCCAGCGCGCGTCTGTCGACCTTGTAGCAGATTTAGCTGGCGTTGGCTGCCATTACCAGGACCACCATATGATGCTATACCCGTATGCATCAAGTCTCGAGCCTGATGAGACACTTGACGCATTGAACGCTGGTAGACTTGATCCAGGAATCTTGATTAAGGATAACCACAAGATCCTGGGCTGGAACTCCGTTGATGCGCAGTGCAAGCTGCGCCCAACCGAGGGTGATGTCTTTAGCTTGGGACCGGCATTCCAGGAGGCTTGGAATCGCGAGTTTCGAGGCGCACCGCCCAGGGTCGGATTGGCAGTGATGGCACCGGATTCATCTGGTAATCATGGCATAGTCCTACGGCTCAACCTCGTATCTTTGTCGGCGGGGTGGTTGACGCATGCCGTCGTGGCAGGGCAAAGGCTGCATCACATCACCTGTAGCGGTTGGTCCTGCCGTACAGCACATAGTAGTTCCAACACTTTCACTAATGCAGCCCTACGGCTCAGCCTCGCCTAAGCATCCATGTTTTAGGTAGCGGCTGTGATGACGGATGAAGGGCCCGGGCCGTTGATGGGGGATGGGGAGATGAGATGGTTACATCTCTTCAACAGGGTGTTTTCCTATCAAGCGTGGATTTGGAATCAAAGTCGATCCACAGGAACTCGAGCTACGTCCACATTGGCTACCTCTCCAAATACATATGCTTGAGATGAGCCCATGACCCGCTTATCCGTGTAACAGTAAGCACGTCCGGCCAATAGACTATCTTTGGTATGGAGCTTACCACAAATGGAAGAGTTTTTTTTTTCCTCCTGTATGACAAAACGTCTAGTGAATCCAAGATTTTCGTGTGCTAGCGCAACTAAGAGAGGATAGCCCTCTGAATTAGATGGACAGTGTGGATCAAATAGTCCTGCGCTGGGAACTCGTGTGCTCCATCGTGAACCAATATGTGACGGACTCCACCATCGCACAGCTGGCTCAGGTCCTGTCCCCCATTGGGGGCCAACTGGTCCTTAGAGCCCCATATATGCACTGTTGGGATCCGAATAACAACACTACTCCTATCCAACCCCAGACTTCTTTTCTCAGATGTGCTTGCTGCGCTGGAAAAGAACACACCAGTTCGATACGGTGCCGTGCCGTGTTCCATTTGGGTCGCCAGCATGTGCATTGCAACCAACACTGCTCCTTCGGAGAAACCTATTACGCCCTCGAACGGCCCCTCCACCGAGACAAACGCATCTAACTGGTTCATCGCGCGCTGCAGCGAGTAGGTATCATTAGGATGGTAGTACGAGAACTCGTCTTCATGCGTCAGCGCTGGCAAACAGACTACTCCTAAAGGAGCTGGAAGGGAGTGCTAAGTTACCTTCTGATTCTGCATGTGTCAAGTATGCCTCTACAAACTCAAAGTCATGTTGGTTTCCAAGCGCATGCTTCAGAGCGGTTGTTCACATTCAGTCAGAGGGCCTTTAGAGGCTGTGGGGGATAATACGCTACCCATTTGCATTTGCATCGCCGGTGAAGGTTTATATCTCAGCCACTGAGTGCAACCTTAATCGGGAGTGTCAACTTCAAAAGTCATAAAGGCAAAAGTAAGTACCTTGCTATTAGAACCATTTCCGTGAAGACAGAGAAATTTCATGACTGATTTACTTGACTAAGAAAACTACCGTGACGCTTTCAATAGGTGATCAACAGGAGGTAACACCAAGATGGTCGAGCAAACAAGGATGATCAATCGTGAACGAATAAGGCCGGCTCAGTCAGAATTATCGGTTTAGGAGTTATGCCAGCCTTGAACTTCTAGGCAATCGCGCCATAGATTGGGACTCGTCTGAGCCACGATGGCAGCACTTCATCAGGATCGATGAAATGCCTTGGACCGAGCAATATTCGATTAATGGGCATGTTCTATACCCAGCATCGGGGATGCTGGTAATGGCCCTGGAGGCAGCCAGGCAGCTTGAGCCCAGTCCGGAAAGCATTGAAAGCTTCAGTCTCCACGACGTACACATCGATTACCCTATTGATCTAACATCTACAGGGGGCGTTGCAGAGGTCCACACGTCTCTTCGAAGTACCCCTCACACACAACATAACACCTCTCAGTACGAATTCCGTGTACGCACCTACATTGGAAGTGATGAATGGCGGTTGAATTGCAGAAGAATTGTCTCCTTGGAATTGCGCGCAACTTCCGATACCTGGGCACGGAAAATGACTGTCGCTGCACAGAGTAGACTAAAAACTCGCCTATCAACTCTTTTCATCGGTCATCAGGCTCATGCAAACTCTCAACATATGTATGAATTTTTGAGACGAACTGGACTGGGATATGGCCCTCTATTTCAACGTGCAAGCAATCAGTCCTACGATGAGGCCAGGCAACACCGCAACAGGCCGCGGCCGATGTGAAGTTATTCGAATCGGCTGAGGATTGTGTGATCCATCCCGTTTCACTAGATGCTTTGTTCCATCCCATGTTCACAGCCCTTTCCTCTGGTGGAGTGCGCCCTATGGCCACACATATTCCTTCCCGCTTGGATTATCTCTGGGTGTCAAACAAGACAACAAGACTACCTGAGGTGATGGTGCTGAGAACAACAGCTATGATGAAAGCAATCTCAGGCCGCAGAGTATACTGTAGAGGAGTATGCTTCAAACCAGAAAACTTCGATACCCCCATCCTGCAGTACGATGGTCTGGGGCTGACGAACCTCACGGCCCACACGTCCTATATTGCATCGAACACCCAATGGAGAAAGTTTTACCTCACTGTTGACTGCAAAGCGACTTTGAATACCTTATCAGCCCCTGAGTTGTGCTCTCTGTTGGACTCCTTGCATCCTACAGACCGAGATATTACGACAAAATTTCAAGACCTCGCAATGTTTGTTGAAGCAAGTCTGGAGAGGGTCTTGACGGTACTAGATACCGGCTCCTCCGAAGGTCAACCGGGGTGGAAGAGGAGGTACTGTAGCTGGGTACGGTATCATCTGGCGAATAGGCAGCCTAAAAGTTCTTCCAAGGCTACACAACTATCAAAAAGAACACGACCCCAAAATTTCGATCAATGGTCACGAGATATCAGAGAAATGGGCCCGATCGGTCGTGCGCATGTTGCCGTTGCCCATAACCTTGCCGATTTCATCAGAGGAAAAGCAGAGCCTCTGGAGCTACTCACCCAGACGGGGATTCTCAGAGAATATTATGCTGGGTTGCACAAATTTCGACACGCAAAGCACATAGTAAGCTTTGTGGATCTTCTAGCTCACCAAAACCCCGGCATGGACATCTTGGAAGTCGGTGGCGGAACTGGTTCTGGAACTTGCAATATCGTGAACGCCTTGGCTTCGCGCGGAGATCGCTCTGGAGGGCCTCTTCGATGCCATCGATATGATTTTACAGATATTTCAGCAAGCTTTGTGCGTCAGGCAAAGGACTATTGCTGCCAATTTGCATCGCAGATGACATTCGGGATGCTTGACATCGAGCGGGACTTTGAAGAACAATACTACCACACCACACGATACGATCTTGTCATAGCAGTCAGTGTGCTCCATGTTGCCTCGGACTTGCCTGCAACGCTGCGCCGCATACGAAGATGCATGAAGTCCGGTGGCAAGCTCGTCATGCAGGAAGCTTTCGACGAAACTGGCTGGCTTCCAGGCCACATCTTTGGGCTTTTCCCTGGATGGTGGCCGAATGGGGATAAGGAACGTCTTTCTCCAAACTTGATGCCTGACTCTTGGGACATTCTTCTAAGAAGCAACGGATTTTCTGGGGTTGAAATTGTAAGAGATTCTGAGACAGGAGCAGACTCAGCATACCATTTTGGGTGGCTGGTATCAACAGCGAACGACGAGCCATCACTGGTGAGACAGCCCGACCAACTCACCACAAGAGTACGCCTCGTCATTATGGGGGATTCTATGGACCAAACGACGGTCTCGGATAAGCTCCAATGTTATCTGAAGGATGAGGCCGCCATGGCCGCGACTACAGTTCACCTAGAGAATGCGTCCGATTTGGCTCATGACGACACGGACACGCTCAACATTCTTCTGGTGGACTATGATCAGTCATTTCTAGAGTCTTTGAATTACAGGAAATGGAAGCTACTTCAGTTACTAGTGAGCAACTCAAGGAAATTACTCTGGGTCACTGCTGGGGGCGGGCGACAGGGGGCTCCAGAGCACGGGATGCTTGACGGTCTAGCTCGCACTCTTCGGCTTGAAAATTATGGCCTTCAATTGATTACAATTGCTCTAGAAGGTTCCGAATTTAGCCCCAGGAAGGGCCAGTATCTGGCAAAGATAATTCAGGAAATGGGCTGCAGGGCTCGCTATGAGAACTATGAGCAGGAATACGTTGAGATCGATGGTTTCCTGCACACGCGACGACTCGTTCCGGACACTTATCTTCAATCATTACTAGAACAGGGATATGCGCCACAAATGACTCCCATTCGGCTTGATAGCGATGTGCCGCTGTTATTATCGAAGCCATCGCCAGGTGCAGACTATTCTCCCTACTTTGTAAGGAGATCGCTGATATCGAAGGAGCTTCGTTCGAATCGTTTTCAAAGCCACTCAATTTCAAGTGCAGACGCTTGCTACCTCATTCCGCAAATAGCTGTCGCATATAATGCGCTCATTGAGGTAGGGCGTGTATGCCTAGATGATCACATTCTTATTCAAGGCGGTAATACACTAGTTGGACGGGCTGCTATGAAATTGCTTGCAGCGCATCACATAAAAAACTTTTGGATGGTAGTATCAGATGAAGACGAGTACAACTGGGCCATGCGGAACTTCCCAATTTCGCAACATCGCATCATCCTAAGGACATGGTTTGAGTGCAAGCCTGTGCTGGTAGAGACCCTCAAGTTCGATGTTGTATTTGCCGCTGGTGAATTTTTGAACTCAGGGCCCTACGTTCATCACTCATTCCGTGGAGCACGCTATATTGCGGTTCATGACCCTGTGTCAATGGACAGGCATAAAAAGAAAAGCCCTGTTCCGACGCCCCCGCCAGGTATGACTGCTGTCATCATCAATCCAGTCGAGGTACTACTATCTCCAGAAAGTATAGCCTACGCGGTTGGTGGTGTCCAAATGATGATTTCGGATATCAAAAAGTCCCAATTCTTGCAATTCTCTGCCTCTGAGTTGGACGCTGCCTTCAAATAGTGCCGTGAGGACATGGCACAAAAAGATGTAATCCTAAGATTTGACGGTGCAGAGATTGTAGATGTAAGTTACACTGTTTGGAACAAAGTCATTTCATGTAATTAACTCATTCATCTAAAGGCTGCTAGCGAGCCTACAATGGCTCACAAACTCGATCCTGAGGCCTCATACCTTATTTCTGGTGGATTCGGTGGCCTTGGCCGAGAGACAGCTCGATGGATGTTCAAGCGTGGAGCTCGATATCTCATCCTGCTGTCACGGTCTGGTCCGCAAGGCCTAGAATCTGCTAAACTAATAGCAGATCTACGTAATGAAGGCGTTCATGTCGAAACGCCAGAATGTGATATTAGTGATCGCAGGGCATTAAGAACAGCACTAAACCATTGCTCTAAGGGAATGCCGCAAATCAAGGGTTGTATACAAGCGTCTATGGTGATGAAGGTATCAAATTCAAACGACAAATTCTTTGTCATACTACAGCTAACATGCTCTCAGGAATCTCTATTCGAAGAGTTGAAATACGAAGATTGGCAAGCTGTCACCAACCCAAAAGTGAAAGGGTCCTGGAATTTACATTTGGAACTCCCGCGAGGTCTCGACTTTTTGGTCCTCTTGTCTTCAGTGATGGGAATTCTCGGCACGGGAATGCTCTCGAGCTATAACGCCGCGAATACATATCAGGATGCCCCCGCCCGTTTTCGAGTTGCCCAAGGTGAGCGGGCCGTATCCATCAATCTAGGGGGCATCACGGAATATGGCTTCATAGCGGTGAATGACCGCCATCAAACCATTTTTAAACGCAACACCAAGCTGGCGCCTATCCATTTTCCGATTTCTGCGACATCTTGGACTATTTCTGTGATCCGAAAGCGGAGTTGTCGAACAGTGTAACTTCTTGCCAAACTATTTGTGGTGTGGCCCGACCAGAGCATTGGAGCCGGGAAGACGCTGAGCAATTTACTGTCGGCCAGCCTTTCTGGGGCCATGTCCGCCATGCAACGAGTTGGGCATCCGAAGATGTTGAAAACGAAGATAGTCATACCACTGACACTCGTTCGAAGAAACAGACTCAACGCGACATCATTGATCGGCTCGAAGCTGCGAACTCGCCCACCGAAGCTGTTCACGTTGCGACCAAGTCACTTGCTGAGTACATGAGTCATCTACTCGGAGTTCCTGAAGAGTCAGTCGACCCGCTCAGAACTATAGAATCATATGGCGTAGACTCATTATCGATTATTAACATTCGCAATTGGATAAGTAAGATCTTCAGCGTCGATGTATCTGTATTCGAACTATTACGTACCATTGAAAGGGCTGCAGCAATGATTTCTGAGAGATACACGCTACGGGCGAAATCTAATGATGTTTCGGCGGGCATGTAGATCAGGTACAACATAATGATAACTGACGGTGACGCTTCTGATAGTAGAATAATCTCAAGGAACTTGAAGTGTAGGGGACGGGGCGGGGGAATTCGAAATTGGGTTGGAGTTTTACCGCCAATCCTGCAGCACTGGGAGGTAGGATTAATGAATCGGACGTCATACTCGCGAAAACCGTATGTTGCACACCGATTATGTTTGGTAGACGATGGAAGAGATGCAGTGTTCTACTAGTCTCCCTCGGACTTGACAAAATATATTCTTTCCCAAGCCTTGGTATTGGAAGACTTCCTCTAGAATCTTATGCATCTCTTACCGGATGGGCATGGAAGCCCCCTTACACCTACACAAGGCCTGTCTTCACAATTAAATAACAGCCCAAATTGACCTTGGACACAAGCCCATGACGCTACCTGGATCTTCCCCGAGGACATATCGAGTTAATAATAATAAAGCTAGGAGGACAGATGCCTTCTTTGGTGACCTAACAAACCCCATTGTTCACAAATTTGCGTATCTTTTCACTCCACAACTAACACTTGCGCTGGGCAACTATCACTTTGTTTGTGAGTTGTATGAATCGAGGTAATTAGGCTCGTTATGATTAGCATTGCCAATCATATAGGATACAGTGCCGTCAAGCGATTGACAATTTGACAAGAGCTTTGTGCTGTTGATCCTGCGCGATGCAGGCAGTGTACGAAGGAAGCTTGGCCGCGTTTACTTCCAAAACGGGAAAACTAAAGTCTGGGCGGCTTAGTGGGCCTACAAGGATCATATCTGTTGATCCTTCCCCGGTTCATTCTAGCGAAAAAGCCGTCACCAGCGGCACGGCCTGTTTTTGCTGGTTTTGAAAGGGAGAAGTACTCCGTACTTTGTAGATGGATGGACACACGGTCATATCAATGCTCATTAAAATCCATCCGCAAGTTCATGACAACGGTAATTAGTCCAAACATTGTGCTCTATTCATCGCAGGCAGTCAACGGAGGTATTGAATACAGCTAATCTCGACTCAGGAGCTGGCAAATTTCTTGTCGCTGAAAGGCATATGATATTCATATCTCGTACCGAGTTCTCTGAGTATATTACTGCCGTGAGGGAGGCACTGGTTGGAATACCAAGTCCCACTCTGCCTAGGAAAGTGTCAGCCCTGCAAAGGTTGGAACAGCGGCGACCAGTCCCACTGGCGCTGCATGCAAAAGCAATCCCACAGCTGAGCTCATTGCCCCACCAAGCTTCAGCCACCTTGCTTAGCCATGACGATGTCCGTCAAACACCAGCGGCCGACGACACCGCAGCCTGCAGGGCACAGTATACGGCCCAGTTTACATTTTAGAAATGACGTGAACCGCAATTTTATTTCTCATCCTGTAAACACCCGTAAAGGTATTCAAGTATAAAGAGATAGAATGCTAACACTTGCTTCTAAGTGAATGCCGTAACAATTTGCAGTCTTCTTTGTGTCTTATCAAGGGCTTCAAACTTTTGCTCGCAATGCATTTCATAGCTATTCTCGGGCTTTTCTCTGCCATCAGCGCCGCTGGCTCTGCCACAGTGGGCTTCGAACCTACGGACCAAGTTCCCCTTCTTGGCCCGTCTTTCCTATCCAACTTCGATCCCACGAACACCGACGCAATCCGCAACGCGACCGAAGCTTTTCCTTGCGTGATTGATGCACTATTCGAAAATGGTGTTCTCAACAAGACCGACCTAACCTTTGCCATCGACGTTTTCTCCGCTGCTACTAACAAGTCCGTATACAATTACTACCACGTAGGGGAGGGCCAGAACAAAACGCTCACAGCTGGAGTTCTCAATGACAAGACGATCTCCCGAATTGGCAGCGTTTCAAAGCTCTTTACCGTCTACGCGATCATTGCCAAGGCAGGCATCGATGTCTTTAGCCACCCCGTCACGAGATATATCCCTGAACTCGCGCGGAACTCATCAGGCGATTCGCTTGAGCATATTAACTGGGATGATATCACGGTCGGAGCACTTGCATCCCACCAAGCTGGCTCTGGAGGACCAACAGGTCGGCGGTCCCTTTGGTATTTTGTTGATTTCCCTGATTCTAACTTGTACCTTAGAGCTCATCATATGGTTGGTATTATCAGGGGAGGCACAACCAGAAGATTTGATAAACATCACACCTGAGCGTGAGCATATCGTGTCCCAACCTTCACATCAGTTGCTGATTCATCCACTTAGAACTCTTCAAGTATATGCGCGATGTCAAACACCCCGTGACTTCTCCTTTCCAAGGTGCTATATATTCTGATGCTGGGTTCCTCGTTCTTGGACAAATTCTTGCGCGCATATCGGGTCAGCAATACAAAGACGCCGTTCGAGATATTCTCTTCGAACCCTTGGCACTGGACGGCATGTCGGCAACTATGCCGAACGGGTCCGACATTAACGCGATTGACCGAAGGCCAGTCGATCCAGACACAACATTTGATGATGACACTGCAGTCCTTACGCCGTGGGTATTGATTTGCCATTGTTCCGAGGCTCTACTAACCTGGATTGCAGGTCTGGTGGCTTATTCGCGAACGGTGCGGATCTTCGAGCGGCTGGTCTTTCGATACTAAACTCCGAGCTCCTCTCGCCGTCCGTAACCCGGCAGTGGATGAAGCCACTCGCTGGCACAGGATCTTTGGTAGAGCTTGTCGGCGCACCTTGGGAAATCCACCGCCTGGCAGTCCCTACTACGCCTGGGTCAAGTCGTACTCGCATCTCCGACCTCTACACTAAGTCAGGCGGCAATGTGGACTACACATGTATCTTTGGCCTATCTCCGGATCACGGTCTCGGGTTCTCCATCCTAGTCGGTGGTTCCACCGCAAGTTCTGCTCGATGGGAAATCCGTAACGCGCTCGGCGAGCTATTCATTCCTGCAGCCGAAGCGGCGGCCGCCGATAATGCCCAGAATAATCTGGCAGGCACATTCATCGACCAAACAACCCCTGGGACCAACCTCACGCTCAGCGTTGATGACGACCTCCCAGGACTAGGCCTCAAGGCTTTCTATATTGGAGGCGTTGAAAGCTTCCAGAACCTGACGGGTACTACTAAAAAAGCCTCTCTACGCCTATTTCCCACTGGTCTCACCTCGCACCCACAATCGCTGGCGTCCCTGTATAAGGCTGACGGCACCATCAAAGTGGCACATCGCACGATCAAAGGTTTTATCCCGCTGAAACCTCGCGCAAAATCCGAAGGTGGCAAGGGCGGTCTCTTTGACAACCAGCAAGTGTGGCAGAACATCGATTTTACCGACAGATTCGATGAGTTCATCTTTACCCTCGACCAGGGGAAACTGATCAGTGTGGAGAGCACTGGTGCCAATAAAACGTTCACGCGGGTAGAGTAGAGAGTGAAGCACAACGTTTTGTATGGCTCCAACCACACGTCGTCTCTCCGGTATGGGTATTAAATACTCAAATAGCGATTTCCTTATGTCAACCGCTTCATTGAGATCACACAATACAGTGCCTAATGTTAACATAATTTGAAACTATGTATTTCAGCAGAAGTGCTATCGTGTTTTAAACTTTGATACATGTGACTGAATAGCAACCCCCATTCATCCGGTGACGTCGAGTTCCTCATAGTATCGGTAAATTCCATTGGAATATTTCTGCCTTCTTTCACTGGTCAGATAGTCCTTGATACGTGGCCTTGATTTGACTGCATCGTAAAGCTCAAATAACTTCACATATTTGCCACTCTTCTCAGATTCCTCCATGGCCTTTGGAAATGCGAACTTTACTCCATCGATACACTGTACGGATGCCGGGTCAGTGACAAGGTGTGGCCAGAGCAAATTTGACTTACCTGGAACAAGACTAAATCAGCATAAGTCAACCTTCCACCATAGAGCCAAGGGCCCTGGCCACTGGCTTCACCCCTTAAAACCCTTTCAAAGTAACCTAGAAACTTGGGAAGCCGGTTCTTGACGTAGTCTTGACTTTTTCTCAGGCTCTCCGGCTTCTGATCCTCATAGTACAGCCCTGAGGCGATGGGATGATGGCAGTCATGAGGTTCGTTGCTGAGCCCATCCAAGGCCGTCAATGCCAGTTGGTTAACCTTGTAGATGCCGTCTTCGTCATCCTCTGCGCTGGGAACAAGAGCCAGCCGAGGGCCCAGATACAGCAATATGTTAGGCGTTTGACTGATGAGAAGATCTCCATGCTTCAGCAAGGGAGGAGCAAGTCCCGGAGGATTCTGGGCGTCCCCAATGTTCTTCTCGTCAATCTGGCCAAGTACCGTCTGGATGCCATCCTTGACGTGGGCTGTGTCTGTATATGTTGCACCTGCTTCTTCAAGAGCAAGCCGAACGTGTTCGCCACGACCGGGGATTGAAGGCCAGTAGATCAGCTCGTACGGGAAATCTTTGGAAGACTTCTGGCGCTTCGAGGCTGACATGATGGGTTTACAAGGACTGTTAAAGTCACGAAGAATCAAGCTTAGTACTGCGGAGACTGGTGCTGAGGAGGTTGGGAAACGGGATGTCAATAACTTGGTTGATAATCTCAAATGGGAGTGGCAACTCGGCATGAACAGTATGGCATGGGACACAAGAAACACGAGTAGAAGAAAACAAGTAGGATGTATCACAATGGTTCGACTTCGACGGGAGGAAGATGGAGCCACAAAGGTACCGGATCCACCGGGGGGCCTGAGCTTGAAGTATGCAGCTCACCCCGCTGAGGGGCCATGCGGGGCCTGGCATTCAGGAACGACCAGGGATGGCGTTCTGCGGAGTAAACCTAGAGGGAGGGGGCTTGGCAGACTCGATGCGCCCACTTGTTAACCGAGAACAGTCAGCGGCGTAAGAGGTAGAGATGTGTTATGATAAAGCTCTAATCAATAATGGTGGCTACGTATGTAGCACGATAACAAACTGACCCGATAGCCATCAATCCCGTACACGTGCCAAACGACTTGCCAAGGAGCTACCATGCATTGCTCTTCGATGTGCTGAGATTCCATACGCCAAACTCCAAGCTTCCCGCCAAAATCAGCTACCAGCAGCTTCGCAACGAGGGCAACCGGGCGTTAGATTCCAAGACCCAGCCGGTGGAACCTAAGCATGGCCAGATGAAACAAGGTTCTGGAGTATTTGCCTGCATTCGGAGGCATCCTCGAAGACATGCCAGTCTTGCTTCGGGATATCCTTGAACGCCTTCTCGAACCTTTCAGGCTCATTCTTGGATTCGATACCAATGGCAGCGATATCGGTAACCTTTCGGATCAGGATCAGTTTGATCCAGCCAGGGAACTTGCGATAACTGGACATCCCGTTAGTAGACAGCGCAGGAGATGCAACCTGGAGAGCATCTTACATTTCACCGTACGATTCTGGGTCTGCTTGCGTCGAATCGCCAATACAGATCATCTTCCTCTTGGGTACCCATGAATGGATCTTCTCCATCCGATCTACCTTGTAATCACCAGTGCCAAGTGTAAGTTGCGATAACAGCCCTGGAATGCTCATCCAGCTGGAGTCGCGGAGAATGATGGTACCGTGTGGATAGTGTCGCTGGCGGAAGTCGCGCAAGAAGGGATACAAGTTATAGGGCGATGCTGAAAGGTAAAAGAACGGCGACGTCTCTTGGATGAGCGAGTGCAGGTAGGTGTAAAGCTCTGGCATCCCGGGGCAGGGCTCTGGGATGTCGACAAAAGTTGACCGCAGGATGCCAATGGGATCACTCGTCATGGTGACCTTGATCGTGTCGTCGATATCTAGTCAACGCTGTCAGCAAGTAGGTCTCCAACGCAGCGGGTGTTGATCGCTGGCTCACCGGATATGACGCCCCAGCCTTCCGGCTCCGCGTAGAAGGTCCGCATCTCCAACACGCCATTGGCACCCTTTGGCACCTCGGCAAAGGTAGGCACCAGAAGCGTACTGCTTTGGCTGTCCGCAAGCTTCTTGATATCGCTACTGATCCCATTTCTGCCCCCCGGCCCCAGCAAAAACTGCTTGCTCCCTGCCTGGGTAGCCTTGACCTGTGTCCCGGGGCGGATATCTTGTATGAAGGGCATGATCCTCTCCTGGATTGTGGGGTATGCCGGGTCGCTATCCTCAAGTCCCATGCTTCTGGCGACAGAGGCGACAGCGTCGATCACCGTGCAGGACGGGTGCTGCGCAAATACGGCCGACACGAACTCGGCCTCCCACTTGCCCGTCTTCGCATTGCGATACGCCGTGTTGTCGAGCAGCCACACCGTGTCAGAAGCAGACACAGGCCGTGGAAGAGGGTTTCGCGACCCGAGGTAGGAGAGAACATCGTTCAGTTTGCTTGTCGTGCTCAGCTTGGGGGACATGGGCGATGCCGAGTGAGAATAGTCGGGCAAATCCGACTCGGCCTTTGAGAAGCCACGCTCCTTCCGCGTGCGAATCTGCATTTCGTTCGGGTATCTGTAGTGTCGCGCCATCTTGGTCGGTAGCGGCAGCTTCACTGGTATATATTACAATGTAGAAGTGAGATACTCGTGTGTCGAAGCTCGAGGCCGTGACTCTGTCCCTGTGACCGATCTGGTGACTCAGCTTTCTTTTCGTGGTGTAGTTACTATTGTCCACGCGATGGTAGGCAGCAAGGCAAACAGAAGGAGACCAACGGCATCGAGGTAGGAGAAGGAGAAACAATTGGTGAGACGTTGGAGAGTACCAGGTAGGCTTCTACCCTCCTCTGCGCTCATGGCATAGGGAACGGCCGCTTCGACCAAGCCTTCTGAGGTCAGGCGGAGCCCGAGCGATCCCTCCCACCTTCAGCAGCCTTGGAGCGGCAATCCGAGGTTGCGCACTGCTGTAGGTCGCACAGCTCGCAGCGTTGGCGGTCCAGCAGTCGCGCTTGCAGACTTCTCTGTCCTATGACGGTGGCCACGCGCCGCTCGGGGACCTCGACTCACCGGAGCCTTTCAGCAGCTCAGCTGGTTCAGCTGCAGGAGGGCGGTGCCATCCACCATACCCAGAGGGAGGCGGTCCCGTAGGAGAATAGCTGCATGCACCCCATCCATGGCTTACATCATAGCTACTGCAGGCCCACAGTAGGGCGGTGGTTTTTGCAACGAGAGCCTTGGAGCGTCGCAGGTGACGGTAGCCAAGGTGTTCGAAGAGCCCGTTCTGACACGAATGGAGAACTTGGCAAAATGCCCTTGGGGCTCCGCTCTACCTCTGGCGATTACATCTGGTAGGCAATGCAACGGGGGTTGGATAGCGCCGTGGCCACATCTTCCAGCCTGGCACGCGGGGTTGAGTACCGTCTGTCAATCCCCAGAAATAACTTAGGGTTGACAGCGGGTCAAGCCTGGTGCCGCACAGGCATCGCTCTAGTGGGGAACGTCAGATGCGCCCCGGCGGATCTTTTTCAGGGGCGGCTGTCCCAGCAGCCAGCCAGCCAACAGTAACAACGTCTCAGTTGTCTCGAGCAATCGAGGCCGGGTTGGTGGCAGTGGACATGTGGCAGGATGCCAGCACCACTTTGCGACGCAGCTTACATATAGGTACATACCCAAATCGGCACCGGCCCATGGGTGTTTTCTTCGACCCCTGTGTAGGCAACCAGGGAGAGTAAGTCCATCACTCAGTAGAGCCTCAGGTCTGATTTTGGGGTCTCTCAACTTCTGTACCTGCAGATTTATCCCGGCGGGAGTAGTGAGTCAGTGTGAGGAAATACCCCGTTATTGTTCGTGTTGAGCTTCTGCCTGTGAGCCTACAGGATTGGCTCTTGATCGGCCAATGTTCACTGCATAGAACTTACCTATACATGTGTACCTAGGTATCATATCGTCATCCTAACCTTACAGAGGCTGGTACATACTTAGCAAGTAGCGGCTTTTTACTGTAGATACATAGTTGTGCAAGCAAGAGCCCCGACTACAAACATAAGTGCAATGAACTATGTGTAATTATATTTTATGACAGGCTGAGTAGACGCCAGATGGGAGCCCACCACCAAAGCAGTGGAACCCCAGCAGGGGTCCCGCCTTATCTTCCAGTGGAGCCGCAGCGATGTCAGCCGCCGGCTCGCACCACCTGATAAGGACATCTGGAAAGTTGTGCTGCTTGAGCTGTCGCATGTGCCTCTGGATCCCGTGGCTCGAGTCGCGCCGGCCAGGAAGCCAGGGTTGTGTCTAATCCGACGACACATGGTCTCGATGTTCGCCGCCTGCGCCCGGCATCTTTGCGAAACACCTACCTGCTCGTCACACAACAACGGAAGACCGTTTCCCCAGGATGTCTGGGCTCGCCATGAGTCGGTCGCCTGCGTCCTCGGGGCTGCTGCCAATGCCTGGCTCGCCTTCCTCGTCCTGGGCCATCTACCAAGCCCGCGTGGCCGCCATCTTTCGGAACACCGACAACGCGGTCCTCGCAGCCTTCTGGCTGTTTGGTGAGTCCCCCCCAACCCGTCTCACCTCTCGATGGGGCAGACGAGAATGCTGACAGCGGTGAGACTTCAGGCCTTATCAACAATGTGCTCTACGTGATTATCCTTTCTGCGGCCCAGGACCTGGTCGGTTCCGATGTCCCGAAAGGCGTCGTGCTCCTCGCCGACGTCTTGCCTTCCTTCTTCACGAAACTCGTCGCGCCCTACTTCATACACAGGGTTCCCTACTGGGTTCGAATCATCTTTTTCGCCGCCGGATCCTCCTTGGGGATGCTCCTCATCGCCCTGACGCCGCCGGACAAATCGGTCGGGATCAAGATGGCTGGCGTAGTCTTCGCCAGTCTCACGAGCGGAGGGGGCGAGCTCAGTTTCTTGGGCTTGACGCATTATTACGGACATATGAGCCTGGCAGCATGGGGTAGTGGCACCGGTGCGGCAGGCCTCGTTGGAGCTGGGCTCTATGCCATGTTCACCAACTGGTTCGAGTTCAGCGTAAAGAGCAGCTTGCTGTCGTCGGCCTTCCTCCCCGCCTTCATGCTGATCAGCTTCTTTGTCATACTACCCAGGGGGCCTCTCCGCGAAGCTGCAAAGACTAAAGAGTATCAGACTTTACCTGGGAGCGACCTCGAGCAGGAAGATGTCGAGGGCCTGCCCACCGATAATGCCGCCGCGAGTCTGCTCTCCCCAGGGCCGGCCGTTGCCGCGACAGCTTTATCGGCCGACGGCGGCGACTCCTTGTCAAAATTTGGCGCAAATTTTCGACGCGCCAGGTCATTATTCTTCCCGTATATGCTTCCTCTGCTGTTGGTCTACGTCGCCGAGTACACCATCAACCAGGGGGTATCACCGACGTTGCTCTTCCCCGTAGAGAGCTCGCCATTCACCGAGCTGAGAGCATTCTACCCAATGTATGGCTTTCTCTACCAGCTTGGCGTCTTTATCTCACGTTCTTCGATTGCCTTCATCCGCATCCGCCATCTGTACTTACCCTCTTTCCTCCAGGTAGGCAACCTTGTCTTGCTTACCTTGCATGCGCTGTTCTTCTTTATCCCAAGTGTCTACATCGTGTTCCTTGTCATATTCTGGGAGGGCCTTCTTGGCGGTGCTGTGTACGTCAACACCTTTGCTGAGATTATGGAGACGGTACCGTCTGCGGAACGCGAGTTCAGTCTCGGCGCCACCAGCGTAAGCGACAGTGCAGGTATCTGCTTAGCTGGCTTCATTGGCATGTCCATCGAACCAGCGTTGTGCAACTATCAAGTCCAGCACGGAAGGGACTGGTGCAAGAAGATCAAGGTTAGCTAGGCGGCTAACTATTAGACATTGTGCAAATAGTGGCGCCCACGAAAATAATCTATTCAGATTTGTCATGAGTCCGGGTGCCTATCTCTTGCTCCTCCTGCTTCCAGAGAACTGGATCATCAGCGTTAAGGTCAGGCTTCCCTGAGTTGTGTCCCGTGAACGTGGCCTCTCGCGGTTGATGGGGAAGACCAAGCGACTCTTCACTGGTATTCTTTCCATTCAGGGAGTCTCCTTCTACCATTGACGAGAAAGCGCTCGAAACGGTCTTGGAAGCGACCCGCCCCTTTTCGAGACTGTCGAGGTTGATATAGCCAATCGCACCTTCCCCCGGTTTGGTGGAGCCAAGCCCTCTCTTCTTGGAGGTCCAATGGTTCGTTGATGATCCAATGGTATTCAGGGCACCGGGCTTTGCGTTATATTGGGTGCCTCTTCTCGATGCCGGAGCGAAGAGGAGAGGTTTCAGTACCGGCGCGCATCCACAAATGACACCAAGGTTTACCTCGACAGCCGCCCATATCCAGAGGTAAAACCCTTCCCACGTAACGTCGTAGGTCTCCAGCTCGACGTGGTATATCCAATACGTCCGCATGCATCCAGCTATAACCACAACACTACCGAGTCCAAAAAGCATCATAAGACCGACACGTTGGCCTAGAGGAAGTTTAAGACCCCATAACGTCGGCATAGGTAGAACGTATACGATGAAATCCGTAATTACTGTCACCGTTGTCTGCGCTAGCAGTGGTGGCGCCTCGGGGATGCAGTCCCGGGACATGGCAAAGAGGTTCCAATAAGAGGAAGCAGGGCTGACGCCCGTTAGCCCGAGAAAGTAGGACATGTGCAGATGGCTACGAAGGAGGGTAGAGCATGGCCTCAACTTACTTGCATTGTAGCCACAGCAGGAGGAGAAATGCCGGGATCGCAGCCCCAACAATGCCAATGGCAGCCCAGGTCAACCGCCGGAACCAGGACCCGGGGAGTGCTACCCGGAGATAGCTGGCCAAGATCGAGAGTTTAGCAAGACCGGAAGCGAATACGAATAGGGTCTGCCCTGCAATCGAGACCTGGCGGCCTTGAAGCATCTGCGTATAGGTCAGATCCCAAGTGTGTAGACTCCAGCCGTACAGCTGTGTTGCTGTGACACGAGAGTACGTCAGCGCTGTATATATCAACTGTATCATGATGTTCTATACAAGACTCATAGGGTGAGACATACCAAGGATCACCGAGACAGTAACGCCACAGCAGAAGACGGTCGCGGCTGCCATCAACCAATCATCCCACCAGCTCTTCTTCAGCATGCAAATTCTCACATACAACCGCAGGCCCATACATATCAACGCGAGCGGGAGGACTGTGAGTTCGACGATCATGAGTGCAGGACCTCGACTCTCCGGATCCTTATGATTAGGTTTAGGCCATGAAGCGAGCACTTCTGGTGTAGGAAAACGCATTCCACCGATTGTAAGCTCGCCTCGCAACCTGCTTAGCTGTTTGAGAACTCGTGGTTGGCAGTCCCGAAGTGCGAAAACTTTGCACGCCGAACATGCACCTCGAAACAGGAAATAGAATTTGCCAAAATAATGTGCGTGAGTATTGTCTTGGTGGTGTTCAATCCAGGGTTTATGGTTCGAGAATTTCTGATCGCAGGAACTCTTATGTCATATACGAATAGGCAGAGTGCTGCCATTCAAGGAGCCGGCACTATCGATTCTGAAATAGGACTATCGGTAGATCATAATCCAATCTACTTATAATCGTAATACGATGTATTTCAAGTGCATGACCCGGCATCGTCTTGAATCCACAACGCTTGCAATCGTTGAAATTTACTCGCCGCATGTAAGCTTTCGAGCAAGTGCCCGTCTCCAGTCTGCAGGTCATACCTGTCTACAGGGGTCGTCTGCCAGAGTGATTGTTAACCTCTAAGCGAACACTTATTTAGTGTGATCTATTGATTTCTGCTTGTTGATCTTACTAACCTCAAAATATAGAGTTTGGGCTACCGATGCTCTAGCGCTTTTTGGAAACGGAGCGATCACATGTCCAATTATGGGAGCTTGCTTTCGAGGAAAAACTCCGGCATGTCTCTAATGAAATCGGAAGCCGTTGAAGAAACCTTGTTCAATGCCGCGCACCTATCACGGGACATAGTATTCGCAACCGGAGCCTCGAGATGCTCCAGCTTTATGGCTGGTAATTACACAATGTACTCGTCGTTCATGTTTGTCTATTTTAGCCGTGTTGTTTGGGAATGTTGATCTAGCCGCTTATCATCGGACAGGTACTATGGTATGGCGAGCAGGTTGCAATACCCTGGATGTGAGCATTTGCACCCCCTTTGTTAGACTATGCGGAATGATGCCCCACGCTGTTCAAGATACGTACCTCCAACATAAGTCATGCATTTGTTTACCCACAGTACATAGCTACTGTAGTAGGTCTGCGTAATCTACGGCGAACCTAGTGTGGCATACCGCGAGGTTCTCGGCTTCTTTCATGGCCGCTACTGCTACCCTGCAGAATCTGGGGAAGCAGCGCTAGTGTTGCATAGATCTTCAGGGGAGTTGATGGCGCATCAAGATTGGTCTCCAATTAGTGGGTGTGCAGCGGTACAGGAACAGCCTGTTCTGGAAGAGCCGTAGATTATCGCGCCTGATGAGTCAGATCAACATAACACGGTACCTCTTCGGCTCTATACAAATCGGCCTTTCGCCATTACAGTAGTTTTGGAGTCTGCATAACGTGAGGTAGCCGGAAACTGAAGCGGCGCGCCTGTTATGCTAGCGCTGGTTAAAAATAAAACTCCTATTAATACGAGGTTGCAGCCAGTTGTTATACAGCTTCGCCTGAGTTGCATGCTTAGATTGGACTGACTGGACTGCGCACGGCGTATCACCCTGGAAGGAAGTCTTAGAAGGACGGTAAAATGAGACAGACACCGAGCCACAGAAGGGGTGGATGGGTGCATTTTTCTTTAAATCCTTTTACGTAGCTCTTCCAAAAAGCATATCTCTCTGTAGCTTAGAGCTAAGCCTTCGTGAATGGCTACCTTGTCCCTAGTCACAAGGATTTCTAGCATGCCGGATCTTTCCACAAGGCCCATCTCCAAATGGCTTGCGCTTGCGGTAGATGTATCAAGTTCATCTTTGACTACAGCACCGTTCGTTGAGTCGTCATTTCTCCCTGAAGCGCCACTCCCTCGAACTCGCCAGTGCTGACCAACTTCCTCAGGTGTCCACCAATATATTGGGAATCTTCGTTGGATGTTGTTCAGCAATAATGCCACAGACTGCATCAGGACACAACCTAGCAGTATCACAGCAATCAAGTGCCACCCCAAGCCCGCGATATTGTCGTCCACGACTGCCAACAGAGCTGTAGCACCTGCAGGTGGGTGAATGGTCCCAGTCAATGCCATTAAAGCAGTGGCAGACGCACAACTAAGAGGACCTCCCAGCCATATCAAAGCGCGCGCCTCAGGACTGAGTTCGAATAGTCTTCTTATCGCAACACCGACGACTGACGCAATGAGCTGGCTGAACAGAGCATTTCGAGGTTGTGCAAGCGGTGACTCGATAGCATAGAATTCGAGAACAGCAGCGGCTCCCTAAGTGTACTGATAAGCGACCGAGGGCAATGAGGTCTATTTTAGCTGACTTACGAAACTTGCAATGATTACAGGTGAACCATCATCCGAGAAATGAGGTATTTGGCGGTTCACAACTTCAATAAGTGTCAGGCTGGAAATAACACCAACGAATGCCCAGAAGATAATTGCAATGTTGCCAAGTGGGTGCCGGGGGCCTGATCGGTGCCCGAGAAAATGAGATACGAAGTATGGAAGCCATCCCCAAGGGGGCGGTGGTAGCCATGGGTTTAAATACTTGTCAATTGCAAAGCTCCATTGAGTCGGGCTGAGAGGCATTGAGGCAGTTGTCCCATCACAAGCCTTTGAACTTTTGTCGGCCCCAAACTTTCAACGCTAAGTTTCGCTGAACGCAGCGAGCCAGACTGTCACGCGGCAAGAACCAGGCGTTGGTATTGGCGGGAGGGTTTCTCACAGGCTTTGGGAGGGGATACATGGTATGAAAGATCGATACAGTGGTAATTGCTCAGCTTTGGAATTTGAACGTAGAAGTTTGACCTCATCTGACACTACTATGTTGCAATGGCTACAGCCGGGTATTTGCAGCGGAAGAGAACCCATTGTGACAAATGGCGGCGCTCTTCATAGGAAGGAAACGGAGGCTATGACTAATTTCTAGCCTCTGTTAGCAATATATTTGATAAGAAGAACATGATCAGGACCCGAAACGTTTGTGAGAACCTCCAGTGTGGCACGGGACTATCGGCGCCGGACAAGTGGATCTGACATCGGCGCTGGTATTTCCGCGGAGCTGACCGGCTCCGAGACCAATAGGACTTCCTCACGTGATTCCCTCCAAAGGTAGGTAGACTTCGGACAGGAACTCTCTCAGATAATCGAAGCGAAATGTCGTAAATCTTTCAAGATATGTATATATATTTAGGCTGGTAGACGCGACAACGGTGCACGGTGAACAGGCTTCGCATACGTACAGCCGCAATGCGTTGGCTCGAATGGGCCAATGCACTGAGTGTGAAGTTTTAAAGGTGATAGTTCCACGTCCAGGCCCTCAAGCGCTCGTCGTAAAAGGCTGTGTTTACTCTGAACATTGAAAGTTACACAAACTGCATGCGACGACAATTCAACGAATGAGACATCAGTACTGCTTGGATTTCTTGCTGAAATTTATTCTGTATATCTATCTACAGCTACAAGAGTTAAGTTGGTGTGGCAATATGAGAAGAAAATTGCGTCTCGGTGGCGTTTTGCTAACCAATCAGCGAGTGGTTAAGGCATAGGCTGAGAGTGTCCGCTGCAAGCTGAGCTGAACCACAACGGTAGTGACGTACTCTGCCTGCTGTGCAAAGTTGCAAACAGAACCTCGATATCATTAAACCATCCAGCGAAGAGTAGGAAGAGCCAAACTCGGGCTAGACAATACAATGGCTTTATCATCAACTGCGAGCCCCTTCGCCGGCTGGCCAACTTACGCTGCCCCCAGCATCCGAGCGGTATATTGACAACACCAACATACGGCGAAGCAGGCGCGGTATTTACAGTGTGCACTGAGACTGTCATAAGCTCCAATGTTTCGAGCGTCTACAATGCGATCATTGACTTTAACCGATACTCTGCCTGGAACAGTTTTGTCTACCGAGTCGACCTTCCACCCACTGTGCAAACACCGGACCAGGTTTATGTAGGCATGCCAATGACCCTACATACAACGGGGCTTGTGCCTTTGTTGAACACCACAAGTGCAGAGGAAATCACTGTGCTGGACCTACCAACGACTGAGGGATACTCCATGATCGCTTGGAAGTATATCGATGGACTGGACGGGCTTGGATCCAGGGCCGAGCACCCCAATATTTTGGTCCCCCGGGACGATGGTGCAACACGCTATCTGTCGTACGAGACATACTACAATGGACTAGAGATAGGGGTCATGATCGCATTGAGGGCAAGTCTGCAGTTCCAATTTGAGCAACAAGGACAAGACCTCAAGGACTATGTTGAGACAAGAGGCAATAAATCATAAGATTGTACAAGAAGGCCTCCAAGGAATGTAATTCATTAGAACTCCTAACCAGATCGAGGTCGGTGCTATTGCTATCTGTCTGTGGAACCACAGTCGATTGTAATCCTAGAAACAACTTGCATGCAGTACTGGGATGTCCAGGATGCTTTTGACTGGTGAACTCTTTTCAGAAGCCTGCAGAACCTTTCTAGTTCTTGGTACCTGAGGAGGGTAGATCTTGTGAACTTCGGTATATCTCTGCTTCCAGGCTCGTGCCTTGTCCAATCCAAGACGCAGGGATGTTGACATTTCCTGGCGTGAGTACGGTGTGATGCCACCGAGAGAGCGTCAATCTCGTTGTAGTTTGAGCAGTGACATCAAGTAGCGCTTCTGCTTGGCGGACGCGGCGCACGTTCGCTATGTATCGTAGCATGTGCATCAAGTAGGTTCTCTGGTTATCCGTTGCCAGTGGACATGTTGCAGGGCCAATAAGCGCCCATATAACGAAGCTTGTGGCGAATGATGTTGCCAGGGCCGGCAACGTAGCTTCGCTGCTTTCAGAACTCCCTGAGAAAGCTTGTACACCATCAGCGGTCCAACCGCATACGAACGGTACACTGCTGACAATTGTCTCAATGTCATCCTGCACGCGCCGGGTCAAAACTTTATATACAGGCATTTGTTCGACACGAGCTGAGCATCCCAGCTGGGAAGTCAAGGCCATCAGGTGGGTAAAACATGATACCCTCGCCAGACATATAGCCAGATGAAAGCTCGCGTGGTGGACGGTCTTATAGACGTAGATCGGTGTATTTGGATACGCTCCGGGATAGGTTGAGTCCCGCTGGATGGGACATGGCAGGCGAAGGGGTCTTGATCCTTGCGTCACGAATCCCTCTGTCTCCATATCAGTAAAGCCATCTATCACATATTTGATATAATCCACTGCTATCTTCACCAGACCTTGAGCTGCGATGGGCTCCTTTGGAAAACCATCCCTGTTGATTGTCTCCGTGATGGGGTTGCCAGTAATGATAAAATCCATTCTGGAGCGCACAAGGTGATCAAGCTCACCGCCCGAGTACTGGCCTACTGCGGAGAGGTAGGTTGGCGAGAACGTCGCATAGCTGACAGTATTCCTCCACTTGAGCCACATGCCAAGATCAGCGTTGGAAGGCGTCGCGAAGCCAAGTATAGATGTCCTACACTTCTAGCAGTCAATGCAAGCGCGCATAAACAACATGTCGCTTACATACCAGCTCATATCGTACGAGAAGATAGAGTTCCGCGGTAAGTTTGTCATGGACCACGCGTTCGCCACGGGATTTTATCATAGAGGCTGCACCGAATATATGATTATAGAAACCTGTAAGCTTGTTCGACCGAAAGATCTGGCAAATACACGAATTTTCAGCTTTTGATGTATCCATCCACGATCAGTGGGGCAAAGCTTACCTCGTAGAATGCTAGCATCAGAACTGAGGCCAAGATTCTATCGTCCTCCACCGCATGCCGATCTCTGATAGCAAAGTTAATTCGAGACAGGGCAATGGTATACATCTTGTGAGCTGCCACTTCGACTACTTTGGCGTTTGGCCGAGTGGAAAAGACGCCCAGTGCAGCAGCTGATACACAGGTGGACAGATAGTCGCCCATTTTATCAAGTTGCAAGACTAGACGCAAAACATGGGAGTATCCTGGGTCAAGACCCTGGGAGAAGCTATCAATGAAGTGCAATCGGAGGTAGCAGAGAGCTTGGTCCTCAAGGGGGACGATGGGGTTTCTCAAAATCGTTGAGGTTTTGGCGTTAGAAGTGGGCGATGACGCATCCGGTCTGTCTCCTGTTTGCCCAAAGTTAAGAGAATGGCGTTCAGCCACTTCCCTAGATCTGGTACTGCCATTACTTGCGTTGGATTTCGCACCGTGGAACCGACTAATCGTCGATGCTGTCATGTCACGAACAGCAAGCTCCGACCAGTTGGTGTATCCTGGGCAAACACGCCTGTTCTTCTCGCACTTCAAGCAGCGAGGCTTGGCTTCGTCACACTTGCGTGTGAATTAGTCGCCAGTACCAGAAACAGATAATCAGATGGGTTTGCACCTTAAGCCTCCTTTTGCGGCATTCGTGACACGCTCCTGGGTGTTTCGGTCTTTTCCACATTGCAGCTGTCATAACATGCCAGGATCAGAAGCGCAGTATGAGGGCACGGTAAGATCGAGTGCGGCATCAACCATGCAGAGTCCGTAAAGCGGCCATTGAACTTTGAAATGTGATCGCCACACGGTCGTCTTTGGGGGTATGCTACGCCCGATATTTTACCTCAGCCTCACAAGGCTGAGGCCAGCTTGGCTTAAAAAGGGACTTGGAAGGTAGAGCAGCGTCGAGCATAGCGCTATCATGCCCTAGCCCCGCCTGAACATCGTCGCCACTAAGGTTGACAGCAAACCCCTAGAACCTGATACCAGCCAGCTTAGGATTTTACCATGGCGTATATGCCACCTAAATGGCTTTCATTGACGTATATATAATATATTGCGAGCCTCAACTTTTATTACGGCGTAGATTGTAGCATGCGCCGTCTTTGGGTTACGTCGAGAAGTTGGTGGCATAACCGATAGCGCCAGATTTGTGTGCCTGTGCAGAAGTAGCCTATGAACCTAAGCTGCCCACTACCACCCAGTACTGTCGCAAGTGCATTATCAAGGTGCGCTACAAGAGCAATAGGTATGGCGTACAATTCCAAAGCTGACGAGGACAGTTGGTAGGTCTGGTCTCTGTGCAGGCTATTCGCACCCGACAGCCTAGTCCTAGCCAGTCGATATATTAACATGATAGTCTTGAGCTGCTCAACTCGCATAGCTGCAGGCTAATATCTAATTCAGCCAAACCGCCCTCGTTGGAAATCGAACTTTATAAGGAAATATATACCCACCCGATCCACGATGTCTTCCTTACGACCTCCAGCTGAACCATTGGTAGCAGAGCTTTAATTGCTCGATCATAACTGCCTTTTTATGTTATTCTATGATCTTGCCTTGAGCTTGCGACTAGCCTACATTATGCCCCAGCATAATCCTCTTAACTAAGCTCTGCAATGTATATGATTGTGCTTGTCGTAGGTCCCTTATATTAGTGGGTTATACAGTTTTATTAACTACATTTCCCGACATGATACGCAACTGGACAGTCTCTAGAATTATCCCTGTGTAGTGCAATCACTTCTATTGAGAACTTGGGTACTCCGTGGGGAATAGGTGACGTCATACATACATAACTACCCGTTCCAAGTCTGCCAAGTATTGCCCACCTGCTTTGGTGCTTGGGGAGTGGATTCCAAAAGCAATAGCCAGGCCAAATCATCAGCTGAACAACATAAAACCCATGGACCTTTATCTAGCTATCCCATTATCGATTTGCCGCTCACCCCGCCGTTTCGCATATTGCCGGAAATAGTCGCTCAAGTGACTCCGTCAACCTTTATGGCTCAGGTTCAACCCGCGAGCGCGTTCCCTTCGGGACAGACAGAGAACAATGCAAGGCTCCAGTGGCTCACAGAACAACACAATACAGCTGTCGAAGATTGCAAAAAGAGGCTGCGATGGCTCGAGCACGAGGAGATGATCTCAGACGCGGAGAAGAGCATGGAGCGCCACAGACTATTTCACCTGGAGGCCATGCTTGAAGCCGACAAACGACTAGCTTCTGCGCAGGATGCCATAGAGGCGCACCGCATCTTTCACGAGGAAGCCATGAAGGAAGCTGATGCTAGGTTGGCAGTTGCTGACGACAGCATGGTCGAGCACAGGAAGTTTCACGAGGAAGCCGTGAGTGGCGCTGATAGCTCAATAGAGAAGCATCGTCGATTCCACGCCGAGGCCATGAAGGAAGCTCAGGATAGACTGGCACTGGCTCAAGGCGCTATAGAGGAGCATCGAAAGTTCCATGAGATTGCCATGAAGGAGGCAGATGCTAGGTTGGCGGAATCAGACGACAGCATGGTGGAGCATCGGAAATTTCACCAGAAAGCTATGCAGGAGGCAGATGATAGGCTGGCAGCAGCTCAAGGTGCTATCGAAGAGCACCGGAAGTTCCATGAACAGGCGATGAAGGAGGCAGACGAGCGGTTGAATGCAGCAGACGATAGCATGGTGGAGCACAGAAAGTTTCATGACCGAGCAATGAAAGAGGCAGATGATCGGCTTGCTGCAGCAGACAACAGCATTGCGGATCATAGAATCTGGCACGCTGAGCAAATGAAGGAGGCAGACGCGCGACTAGGAGCTCTCAGTTCGTAATCTTCAACTCAAACCACAACAAGCAAATGACACCATAACTCCCGAGGGATTCAGCAAATACAGGATGCACCTTAGGACGTCAGAATCTTTGGTATGATCTTGTTGGCATGCACAAAGGACGATATTCTTCACAAGGTAGTATGAGGCGCAGTGAAGGAGAGCACCAGATGATGGAGATGCACGCAACGATAGATATGGGTGAAAGTTATTCCACCCTTAACATCAGCGATGATGGGAAGAGCTTTTCATTGAAGTACTACCCAAACCAAAACATCAACGATTCGGACAACGAAGCTGCGGGCGACCCTTCCCCGGTTCTCAAGACATTCTAAAGAAGGCTATGGAGATCCCTAGGACTCTACGGCCACTAAATATGTCAGGCATCAGGCCAATCTTTGACTACTTCACAAGAGCCGAAATTATCTTGAGTAATGATGATTGAAAGACTACTGTAGACTAATAGGCCTATATACACGTGGCTCGGCGTCAGGACCAGACTTACGGATGATGTACAGCGAGCCACAAACGTTCTCCTCATGACGGAGAGAAATGTGTTAGGTGGTGAACCTCCAACTTGGATGGTCATCCCCTAAGTTGTCCACGTTTTCGCCCTGCAAGCGCCAGTCTCTATCCCCGCGATCTCGTTTCTTGTTCTCACGCTTCACACCGAGATAAAGCACAGTGCACGCAGCAGCGCAAATCCATAGCATGCCCAAACTGACGCCATAGCCGGTCCAATAAAGCGGAGCCTCTGAATCGAAAAAAACGTTCGATGCCACAATCCCGCCTATGTTGCCAAGGCCTACCTGGGCAGCCGCTGATACCGATCGCTTGTAATGACCACTGACGTTGTTGGCTAGCCAGGCAAGTGTCACTGGCTGAGTCGTGTAGCCCCCACTAACGACCAAGAACAACGCAAAATAGCGAACACCGACAGCAACATGCTGCTGAGATAGCAGAAGGATATATCCAATGGTAGCAACACAAATGCCAATCATAGTGAAGCTATATCTATGCCTGAGTCGATCTGTGAGGTATGCCACCGTAAGACACGTAATTGTAGCTACTACGTAGATTGGTATCGAGCGGACTTGTGCAGCAGCTGCTGTAAGTCCCATCTGGTTGAGAATAGTAGGGATGAAGAACTATAGTCAAGTTAATCGGACAACGCTTGAGGATGTGCAGTGATTTAAGCTTACAGATCCGGCGTATCCAGTGTTGACAACACCGAAATATGCTACAGTTCCAGCATGGATCTTCCAGTCTCTTCCGATTCGCTTCGCCGTACCTTTGTTCCAATGATTCATCGTGGCATCTTGTGTATCCTGAGCAAGACGGCTGAGTAACATTTTTCTCTCCTCATCGTTGAGAAATTTGGCAGTTTCTGGCCAATCGGCAATCCACCACTTGGATACGAGGCCAATGACAATGGTCAGCAGGCCTTCGATGATGAATATCCCTGTCACGTGTGGGGTATTCATGTCAGCCTCTCGTTTCTGGAGTGCATCCTAGGATGAAAGGACTCACATCGCCAAGCCCCGTAGCCACCCACACCCGCCATATTGGCGATGGCGAAGGCTAGAAGCCCTGAGAACGCTCCCGCGAGAATACTCGCCGAGAAAAACAGAGACATTCTCCACTGCAGCTCATACCGCTTGTAGTACATGCTGATCAGATATACACAGCCTATGAGAACAAATCAGAAAAGATATACTCAAAGTTGGGAAATGTGGGAGGAACCTGGGAAAAGCCCGGCCTCAAAGACACCAAGCACGAATCTACAGCCAATTAATCCAGCTACGTTGGTGACAAGCCCCTGACCTAGCGTTGCGATCCCTACATGGAAAGTCAGCAAATAGATTCTAAGGATACACAGAATCTAGACTCACCCCATAGAATCATGATTATGCTAAGCCAGGTAGACGGTGCGATGCGCTTGATTATGAGGTTTGACGGAACTTCGAAGAGAATGTACTGTCTAGTGCTTTAGCTTATTGTTGCATCCAATGTTTCCCAGATTGTGAGAAACAACTACCCTGAAGGCAGGGTAGGTCTATAGAAAATACGCCATCATACAGGTATGAAGAAAATGAAGAGAGCAACATTGTAGTCCCTTCCGCTCATTTGTAGGTCGTGAGTCATGCCTTGTATTCTAGCATTGCCTGTACTCAGGAGAGTCAGCTTTGAAGAAAGTCGAAACTTATAAGGGGCTCCTAGCCTACCGATATTCGTGCGGTCCATGAAAGAGAGGAAGAAAAGAACAGTGATAGACGGCAAGACGTGAATATCGCACTTGAAGACCAATTTCTTCTCAGCTTTTGGGTCTATGAGCAGACGTCGAGCAGCATCATTCTCATCGCTGTTCGATTTTGGATGCTCTAGGTGTGTTATCCCGGTGTCCAGGCCATCTTTGGTAGGTTGGAGAGACATTGTATGCAGTTGGACGACCGCTCCTATGTCGGAACTGACGCGTATAATCTCTGCTGGTATCTGACTTGAGAGTACTGGAGAGGAGCAAAGAAAACACGGTATTTCTTTGGATAGGTCTTAATTAAGCCTGTGCGGACCGACCGTCCCCGCACATGGTCGTCGTCACGAGGACCCTGGTGTGTGCGCCTTTGCAGTGAAGGGGGAGCACCCCGCGTTTCCCCCGGCTATTAAGCTGAGGGGAGAAGTCAGGGAGGTTGTAGCCATTTTTTGATTGGATACCTTGGCGGTTCACATATTCAACTTCCCAGCACCGAAGCGATGTCGGCAAATAGGACGGAGCAACGCTATCAAATCATTCAGTATGCGATTTTCAATCATGGGAAGTCCATTCAAAGTGCTTGGCCGGTCCACAGGACAGCTATCATGCGTCACATGGAGTTATAGGCAAGACTGATATCCGTACTTAAACATCAACTTATTTAGGTACATACACATGGACCAAAGTGCAATTGAACCCTCGTGGATGCTTGCTGCTGATGAACCAGGCCCTGAACCAAGCACTGCAATCTACTCGACCTCTTGATACAAAATGGTCAGCAGGATACCCCAATGTTCCGGCTTTTCACGCTCTAGGCGAAGATCCACCTTGCGGCTTTCCGTGACCAACACATCCTCGCCTTTGCGAAAGAATGTAAGCACGCCACCTTTTCCGTCCATCCGGGCTGTGATTCGGAAGTACTTCTCGCCACGATCCGTAGACTTGGGTGTGGGAATGAAGCGCAGGTCGTTCTCGTTGCACCAGTCCTCGATTTCTTGGCGAAACGTCTTGGGCAGCGGTTCAGGAAGGGGCGCTGTTTGAACGGCAGGTGCCGGAATCTGCGCTGGTTTCTGAGGGCGTGGCTTGGCAAGCTGATGCGCCGGACCACGCGCAGGTTTGGGTAGTCTGGCGGTATCGGTGCCAAGGTCCAGAGCCTGCTCAACCATGGCCGTCCCTTTGTCGAATTCAGATAGGATGCTTGTTTGACCGGAGAGCTTGGCCAGAGCAGTATCCTTCCACCATTTGAACCACGCTTCCACCTCTGAGTAGTTCGCCTCGTCACTCGTGAGCCACTGATGCAGAACATCGTGCCACAAGGGGAAAACTTCCGCAACTATGACCTCGGCGATCATAGACGGAGCGACAATGTCAGTCCATTCTAGTACGCCGGTAAGCGTGGGAAGATATGGCTCTTGGTCGGACGGCTCCACGCGGAAATGAGACCGCAGATATTTGGCCATACCGGGGAGAACGTGGTGCATGACAAGTGGCTTCCACTGGTCTTGGGATTTGTGTGGGCGGAATACGTTTTTCCATTCCTTCAAACCGGGAACCACACCACGATCGTATTCCCAAGCGTCGATGACCTGCCTGAACTTGCGACGCACATCCGCTATAATACCCGTGCCCTTAGGTTCAAGGTGATACGGTGGGAGATGCTGTAGCCAGGGGAATAGCCAGAGGTGGGGAAGATTGTGCTGCTTCTTTCGGGGCTTCCAGTTGCTGATCGCATCGTTCAGCCGCCCGATCACTCTTTCAATGAGTTGGGAAAGGACAAAGGCAGGGAACAGGATTCCCCATTTGTCGAAGACAGCCAGGAGAGGCGCGGGATCGTAAACGTCCCACTGCTGTATTGTATTAATAAGTTTCGGGAACAACAGCTTGTAGATCATGCTTTCGTAGGCAGTTGTGGACTTTTGATGATGCCGATAAGTACCATCGACATCAAGATCCAGGCGCTTTGCCACGGCATTCTCTGCCCCTTTCAGCCCCAGCACGCCTCGGATATCGACGAGGTCCGCGGCGAAGTTGCCCAGTTTCGGATCTTCCAGTGGCTGCCACCCCTGAGTGGCATCGCGCAGAAAGGGATGGATAGCAGCAACCGCAATGGCGGCAAGGTCGTCGTTTTCGATTCCTCCAGCTGCCTCTACCCGTCGGAGACCAGAGATGACACTATCCCATTCCGTGTTACGCGCAGCCAGGGAAACTTCTTCCAGGATCGACGCGATCACCTGTAGACTTGAGAATTGGCCTGCCAGTTCATCGAGGTCCTGTTGCCGCTGGTGAATCTCCATGTCCAACCAGGCTTTTCTCTCCTCCAGTGTCTTCCACTCCTCGACGAAGGCATTGAGGTCGCGCTGAGCGCGTCCAGCCAGCTTGCGCGCCTCGGTCTGCTCTACGACTTCTGTTGGGCCGGCAGTAGGGGTCATCAAGCCGGAACCAGGCGTCAGCATTTTCTGGCCGGGGCCTGTCATATCCAGAATGGGCGCAAACGCGTCAGGGATATGTAATCCAGGCGCGGCTTTCTTGATGTCGCTGACAGTGAGGTATTTGGTCTTGGGTCGCTTTGGCGTACTTGCGCCGCTGGCACTCGCGCTGTCCAACCCCTTCTTTCTGTCCCGCGACTTCTTCTTTCTCTTCTTTTCCTCCTCATCCGAGTCGATGACCTCCTCCCCTCGCAGAAGGGCTTGTCTCTTCTCTTCCGCTCGTTCCTGTTTGGACTTCTCCTTGACGGCACCCAGGCCAACGCCCTGTGGTCGGAGATTGGCCTCGATGATGAGGTTCCGCCCTTGCCCTTCAGCACCCAGACCCTGGCCCTCGACGTAGCCCATCTTTGCCATCATCTTCTGAGCAAACGACAGCTTTTTTCCTCCACCACCGCCAGAGGTGAAAGCACTGGGCTTGGGAACTTGTGGGACCGAGGAAGGCTCATCGTCGAGGCCCGGCTTTAGAACGGGCTCGTTGGCAGACGACGGAACGAAACCCCGGCCGAGGGGGGTGCTGCCATCGTAACGTGGTTTCACAAATGGCTTGCGCTGCGCGCCGTTGCTAGTATTGATCGCTGGTGAGTCTGGCTGCGTTGGAGGTGCCCAGCCAAGTCCGTGGCCTGCTGGTTTGAAACCGAGCCCAACGCCAGCGGACCCCACGTCGTCTTCTTCGTCGTCCTCATCTTCTGAGTGAGCCTCGGCGGATGGCACCTTGGACTTTGTGCCCAGACCAAACCTCGACGTGTCTGTGTACTCGTCATCGTCATCTGCGTCGTCTTCGTCGTCGTCGTCGCCAATCTTCTGCTGGCCGGCCGAGACGAAGGACATGTTCTGGTGTCGTAGATTCTTCCGGCCTTTCCACTTGCGGGCCGGGCCACCCTCGTCACTGTCGGAGCCGAAAATTCCCAAGGCGGCGCTCTCCTTGGCATTGCGACCGGTCCTGCGGCGCTTGCGCGGGTTGAAGTCGGCGAACTCGTCGACGCGCGGATCGCCCGTAGGTTGTTGGAGATGATCGTCGTCACCAATGTCGTCTGAGTCGTCCGATGAGTAGGCGGCGGCATCGGCCTTGGAGATATTACCTGGATTGAATGCCATGGTGGCCGACCAGGAATTTGTGTCGAGTCCCAGTCTTGGTGGTGGCCGTGACTGATGTCGCTGCTGCCTCCAAAATAAATGTCATGTCCAAACAAAGCTACAAGCATCCTTATCTTATCTCCGACGTTCAAGCAACCAGGAACCCAGTGATACTGTGCCAGATTTGGGGATACTGTACAGCCACACAGTACAGCACTAGGGGTCCTCCTATAATCGTCCCTGCCCTCGGGCTCGGCGATATCAACTTTAACCCACGACCATCAGGGACGCGGCATGCGTTTTCAAGGGGTTTATTGGTAGTCATCTGGCATGCGTGGTGCAAAACTGCCGATGGTTTGTGCACTCAACGTATTCTACACTGTTACGTCGTGCTATATGCAACAGAGGCCAATCATGATAGAAGGTGGTGATCATGGATTTGTACACAACTCTATTCCCCCTTGTGGCTAGGACTCAGTGTGCACAATCATGTTGCATTTGTGTGTTTGAGTCGGGAATGTGCCGAATGTACGTCATCTACCTTCGGCAAGTACACAGGCTGGAGCATGTCTACCGAAGCGGGTTACATGCAAGTGCAGACCAAAGCCTCGACGCGCGAGCCGCACTCTGTAGTCTACATCTTGTGCATCCAGCATAGCACTATCGGCAACGTGTCGATCATCGGTGGGAGTCATGTCGACATTCATGGTGGGCTGGATAGTTTCCCCACCTTGACCTTGACCATCTACAAGCAACCGTGTGTTAGAGTGCCGGGTACGGCATTCCCATCACTGAATGGATTATGAGCGCATCCAGGGCAGTCGACCTCCCACGGGCCGAGAAACCCTTCTCCCATGGCATCAGAGCTCATCCAGCAAGCATGTGGTACCGGCCGCACGCGGAGGGCTTCTCCGGATCCATTCCTCGGGGAAGGACCGCCTGCTTTATCTTGGCCGTATCCTCCTACTTCTTGACCCCCTCCATCCAAACCTTGGAGTCCTTGGCTCCGTCGTGAGCCCTCAGGAACAGGGCACGCTCCCAAGCCTCGAGGCCTCTCATGAAGTCCTCGCCGCCGGCAACCTTGTAGTCGTCACTGACACCGGCTTTCCTCGCATGCAGGGCCGTCTCTCCGGCCCTCGTGACAAAGGTGCGTCGCAGCACGGCACACATGTCCGGATCCTCGAATATCTCCATCATGCGCGTGGCCAGGGCGTAAAAATTGTGCGACTGGTCACGCAGGGGCACGGCGCGCGGGTCGGCCTTCAGGGCGGATGTGACCTCGCTGGAGAGCGTCTGGGGCATAGAGAGGGTGAGGAAGGGCGACGAGTCCTGCGAGTTGGCGGAGCGGTTGGCGATGGCGAGGAGCTCGGCCAGCCACAAGGGCAGGGAGACGGGCGTGTGCGCCTTCAGCGGGTGGGACGGGTTGTTGTCGAGGTAGCCAAGATCGGGTACCTCGATCTCGAACTTGCAGGGGACCTTCTATGGCGCGCGCAAAGTAAGTGGGTGAGCGTTGGTGCCGCCGCGGGGGTTCCTTTATACTTACCTCGGCGTCCGTGAGGATCGCGTCCAAGTCATAGTACGACATGGTGGTTGCGCGATCGCAATTGCGCAAGGACGGGTCTACTTCATCTGATCGCGGCCGACGAGTGAATGTGTGTCTCAAGCCAAGTGAGCGAACATTCGTTTTCCGTGGTGGGGGTTTGGGGGGGTCAAGTGCAGCTGGACGCGCCTGGCCATGGCACCGCGTCGCGTACCTGAAGCTGGCATGCGGAGGGCATGCAGAGGGCTAAGTTAGCGGCGGGCCGCGGTGGGCAAATCGGTAGTTAAGTAACTCACAGCTGAGGTGGAGTGGTTACCTACCTAGGTGCCTTAGCTAGGGCGGGCTTGGTAGGTACCTCAGGTTGCCTCCCAGGTCCTAGGTACCTATTGTAGGTGGGTATATCAACTTACTTAAGGCCGTACAGTACCTATGTTGGTTAAGTACTTCTATACCATGGCAAGGTAGGTTGACGATGAGGCTGGGAGCGCTGTGCCCGACAGAAACACTGTGTCCCAATAGTCAAGTTACAGCAATCAGGCTCTGCTCTGTAAGCCTGAGATTGCCCTGGGGTGCTGCGGCGAAACTGGTGGCCGCTGAGAGTGCACCACCATTATACCGCGAGGTAGTGGGCTGCGCTCTGAGGTTTGTAAGCACCTGCAAGCTACGGAGTACGAGTACTACACGCTGTAGTTGGTCGGTTGCGAAGAAGGCCCCGATGACATGCTGACTGTGCTATACACCACTCGGACACTTCGGCCTACATTTTCGGACGACGAGTATCAAAGCCGAGCCGACAGGGGACGCCTGGGCGCGTGCACGGCTGGAGCTACGGGCAAGATGACGAAACCGCTTCCAGAGCTCCGGCCGAGGAGCTCCAGCGGGTCCCAAGACAAGAAGAACAGGAAGCTCCCCCCCAAGCCAACACGCCCATCCAATTGCCGCTCTGCCACCAGGCCAATTCTTTTTTCTGGCACAACTCCAATTGACATCGTTCAAGTCTCGTTGAGGTCATTCCGAATATCTTCACCCCGCCTTCCCCGCTAAATGTAAGTTCATACCCGTTGCAGAGCAGCCAGATCTGTCTTGTCCTCAGACAACCCGAAATAGCCATCTCCCCGATCCCCGTTGATTCTACTGCCACTCCACCTACCACGCAGGGCCTCGCTCGGTTCCGACAGACCAGCTGACTCCCTCGGTGCAGCAGTGACAGATACCGTCGCCATGCCTATCCGTCTGCCCACTGCAAGCCTCCGCTCTGCCGGCCACGCCGCCCGTGGGGCTATGGGCACCCGTCCGGCCAGTGCCGTCGGCGGCATCACCTTTGCCAGGGGGAAAGCTACCCTGCCAGATCTTGCCTGTGAGTCTTCGCTCCTTTTCCCCCTTCCGCGGGCAACCCTTCGGGACGACCCCTTCGACAGCTAACAGCACGTACGCGCCATCCCAGACGACTATGGCGCTCTTGAGCCCCACATCAGCGGCAAGATCATGGAGCTGCACCACAAGAACCACCACCAGACCTACGTCAACGGCCTGAACAGCGCCCTCGAGACCATCGAAGAAGCCAAGGCCAAGGGCAACGACGCTGCCGCCGCCTCCGTCGCTCCCCTGCTCAACTTCCACGGGGGTGGCCACATCAACCACACCCTCTTCTGGGAGAACTTGGCTCCCGCCAACAAGGACGGCGGCGGCGAGCCCCAAGGCGCCCTGAAGAAGAGCATCGACGAGGACTTTGGCAGCTTCCAGACCCTCCAGAAGCAGATGAACACGGCCCTGGCCGGCATCCAAGGAAGCGGCTGGGCCTGGCTGGTCAAGGACAAGAGCGCCGGCACCCTGCAGGTCGTTACCCGTCCCAACCAGGACCCCGTCACCGGGAACTACGTCCCCTTGCTCGGCATCGACGCCTGGGAGCACGCCTACTACCTGCAGTACCAGAACCGCAAGGGCGAGTACTTCAGCGCCATCTGGAACGTCATCAACTGGAAGACGGTGGCCGGCCGCTTGGAGAAGGCCTAGGATACGGACGCCCTAGCGGATGAGACATCCACCACCAAGCCATCCTTCCTAACGGATGCCTTGACGCTCGGGGTCATGGGCGCCATATTTGGCGGGAACTAGTGTAAGAAATCGTGGCTGCAGTGTAGAGAAATGTAATCACTTTTTCAAGCAATGCTGGCAGCTGTGCCACCCTATGGATGCCCCTGAACGACATGTCCAGTCTAAGCTGCCCCATCTTCCGTCGCCCTGCAACTCTGGCACTACTCCAAGCAATACCGACATGGGTTGTTTACCGCGACTCTCAAGGAACCATTGATTTATGCGAGCCGGTACCAGTTGTTATTCACTGACAAAAGGGCCTCCCTGTCTACATCAATTCTGAGATGCGGATTTCTCCACAGAATCCGTGCTCGTTGCTACCGACGGGGCACTTGCTTCTGAGGGAGTGCGTGAACTCAGAGGTGTATCCACACTCGACGACTCGTCCGCTTGATGTGTTCCAGCGTGTATCTGTTTTGCAAAATCCAAGCAAACTGGCGTGCTGTTAGCCGACAAACCACTTGCCACATACATGGTTCACTTACATCGATATATACTACCTGCGCTCAGAATCTTCAACACTGCGATGTCCCTACCGAGCGTCTTCCAAACCCAGTTCCGAATGTCGACCGCAATCAAAGAGTCGATACCGAGCTCGGGTAAGGTACTGTGGCGGTTAACAGTACCCCCCGGTAGCTGAAGTAGGGACTCGAGGCGCTCGGTGAAAGCATCCACCATGCGGCTTGTCATGGATTCAATATCCCGCAGTGCTGCGAGTTCTTCCATCAAGCTTGTCTGTACCTTGGCCTTGCGCCTATCAGCTTGCCCGGCCGCCTCGCTCATGGTGAAGTGACTGAAGCGCGGATCCGTGTGCCAATGCAAGGGATTCTGGCTCCCCCATTGGAATCTGCTGAGGCCTGTCGTGATGTCCATGGGCTGGTTCGGTTCCGCTGGCCTACCGGCCACGATCGCCTCCAGGAACATGTGATGGATGTCGCGCTCCGAGATGGGCGGATACCCCTCCCTCTCGAGACCCAGGTAGAGTTCCTCCTTTTCTCTCTGCAGCAGCCCAAGTCCGTATATCACACCAATGTTCAGCACGCTCGCCGCAAGCCCCCGCCTGCGTCGGTTCGCAGCGAGTCCGTTCATGTACATGTTGGCTGCTGCGTAGTTCGACTGCCCCGGATGTCCTCCGATGGCGGCGAAGGACGATGTCATGATGAAAAATTCGAGGGTAGCATCCGAGAACGCCAGCTCAAGGTTCTTCGATCCCACTGTTTTAGGTCGCAATACACGGTTCCAGTTGTCGAGCGTCATCTGCGAGAAGACTCGGTCTTCTAGGATCATCGCACCGTTCACGATGCCCGCAACGGGAGGCATGGAGGCGGACATTCTTTCTTTGAAAGCCAAGACATCCTCCAGTTTGGTGACATCCAGCTTCTCAATGCTGATCATAGCCCCCCGGGCCTGGCTCAACTCTTCCGCCCACTTGGGAGACGTGTTCGGGTTTCTGCTGGCCAGAACCAGGCGGCGGGCCCCATGATCAATGAACAACCTGGCGAGACTCTGCCCAAAATCTCGCGTTAGCCCGATGAGAATGTAAGTCTTGAGTGGATCTAAGAGGTGGTCTTCGACTAGAGGTTTGACGACCTCAACCGTGTCGCGCTCAATGGCCCAGTCAATCACGTTGATCGGAGATTGACGCATTTTGCGCGTAATCAACACATTCACTGATATTGTCTCGAACGCAGGCATACTGTCGGCTGAAGCTCTTTGGGCTGCCATGGATACGGCCTCGCGGAAGATTGAGTCCAGCGGCAGGTCTATAGCTGTTGTATCCTGTGTCTCATAGCCGTTATAGGGACTTAACAGGGATGGACCTGGGTGATATTCGCAATTGCTCGGGAGCAAATCCAGAAACCGCCTAGACATCTCACCATTAGCAGGTGAGAAGTCATAGATAATGCAGCCCGCAGGGGGGAAGAGTGTTCTGAGCTGGCTGTCTGTTGATTTTGGATGCACAATGATGCTTCTCGAGGGACCGCAGTCCATGCTTGCAGAGACGGTCCAGGACTGATAAGACGCAGCTTGAGCTGAGGCGATCTGCTCAACGCAATCGAGGAGAACCGGATCTGCCCCAACGATAACTGCTGGCCGGCCTCGGGTCTGGCTACAGATTATAAATGCCGTCATATATCGCATGAGCGTATGAACAAAATTTGATAATCGGTCGTACCCATCGGTGATCACTTGCGTGGAGTGAGCAGGAACGCGGATATATGATGCATTGGATGATGAAAGCGCCACTGTGAGAGCACTCGTATCCATATCTCGGCCAATACAGACGTGTTTGAAATTTCGAACTCCGAGCTTGAGTGCTTCAGCAGAGCTGTAGGCAGTCTGTATGGACACAAACCCTGTTTTGGGATTCGCCCAGCAGTCTTTGTTGGACTGCTTCGCTTCATAGCGTGGCCAGCCGCCTGGATCTGAGGTTGTGATGAGGTCCACGCGGGTTTGAATGGTGTTGATCGATCGAGACACCACACGTCTCATTGCGTTGACTCGATCATTGGCCTCTTTGAGGGGCAGTACGCGAGGTATCATCTGTCGTCCTTGTTTTATGTGTATTTCCGGTTCCCTTATCCACAGCCTGTCCTCGGCCAATGAATCAGTGTAAATCAGGCGTGTATACGCCTCGGCTATCAAGGACTCCATGTTATCCAGTGTATCCATATCCAGGACCTGTATCTTGAGATTTGGGACTTCAGCCGCGATAGTTCTGGTGAAGCCAAATGTGGCAGCGTGATCTGGGTTACCGGATCGCGCCTCGCGCGTGACCCAAAGAGCGCATACCTGCGGGCGTAGCAGTCGCTTCAACTGTGACAGCCGCTTCTCTGTCATTGCAGTAATGACTGGTTCTGACAATTCGGCAAGCATGATGGTGGAAGTACATTGTTCCAAAACCGATGGTTCCATCTCTTCGAACGACTCTGCAACATCGATCCGACCGCACAAGGCCGCAAGGCGATCTTTAAGGCGATATGCCAGCCTCTCAAGATGCCTAGATGTCCCACCGATTATCAACAACTTCTCGCTGATATCAACAGTCGATTGCTTCAAGGCTGCGTCCAAGAAATCCGCCGTTAGGTGATCAACCTGGCGGACTGCTAGAGCAGAATCATGGGAATAGAACTGATCAGCATTTCTTGCAACATTTCTGAACCCAAACCCATCAATGTGTTTTGCTACTAGCTCAGATATGCTTAAGGGAAATTTTGGAGGTTGTGAGTCGGCGATGAGTCTGATCCCTGCTCTCAAAGCACTCTGGGGTAGTTGCATGAGAATTAAGAAGCCACCGTTTCTTATTGCAGCCCGTACGTTGTGGAGGGTCGTAGAAACATTGGCTGCCCGTAGGACCGAAGTACTCATAATGACGAGATCGAAGGAATCTCCAGTCAATAGTTGAGCGTCTATGGCTTGGTCAAGATTCAACTTGACTTTGTGCATCCTGCTTCCTGTGTCATTTGCACCTTCGCTTGCTGGTAATATATCCGCGGCATCATGGTCAATTGAAGCCATTGTGTAGGACATGATTGTTGTACCAAGGCCTGAGAGGATGGAATGTTCAATTTCGTCGCCTGGCGCCGAGATACTGAGCACATTCATGCGCGGAAACTTGTGGACAAATTGCTGCACAACTCTCTGAATGTGCCGGCTGAACTGGACTTCTGCGCTAGCATCCCGAATAACTTGATCGATGGCGCCTGGAAGAAGAAGAGGAACAGCGCATCCGATCTGTTGGAGAAGTCGCAAAGATTGACGGTAGGGTGAGCTACACACTAGTGTCTCGATCTGCTCTGTGGGACCTGGTTGGTACGAGTGGCACTCCTGTAGTACTGTCGATTGGCTAAACTTGCTCGACAATCCCAACATGGATTGCTGAGGATCATGCAGGTAAAAATGAGCAAGTCTGTCGCAAGTCTCGACGAGCAAGGGGTCTGCCTTCCCGTGAGTATTGATTGCTGCCCGCACGATTTCATCCGTGGGGTCGACGTCGACAACCGTGTGCAGGTAAAGCTCGTAATCGTCCTCTGGTCGTGTTTTAGCTATTGATGTTACCTGAAGGCCTTCGATCTGAATCTCCATTTCTTCCTTATCATTGAATATTCCAATCTCCGCGGTGAAAACCGCTTTGGATTCTTGCGTGGTGTGTTGTATGCTGGACAACTGGGAATCGACCAACAAGCCCCCATTGGTGTTCTGCCTAAGCGCGGCAATGTTGAAGCGAATGCTATCAATGTGCGTAGGCAGAAATGGGGCCCACAGGGATCGATCACCTGGGGAGGCATACGACAAAAACGCAGACTGAAGACAAGTGTCCAGCGTGGCAGGGCTGATCAAAAGACTGGTACTGTCCTCAATGTGGTGGCGTCTAAGGCCAGCAGACGAGAAGTTGAACCGGCGCTCAATAAAGTTGAGGGCCCTGAAAGGCCCGCTATACACCAGGCCTGTCTTATCCATCATCCGATAGAAGGCTTCCGGGTTAGCTGACAACGTCTCGGCACCTTGTCTTTTCCTCGGAGGTAGTGCGCCAGGGCGAGGTTCCCCCAAAACAATGCGCAGGTTGCCAACCATATTCCTCTTCATCGTGGTGCTCCCATCAGCTGCACAGGATGAGAGACTGAATTTTGCTTCTAGTAGGTCGTCTAAGCCTCGGTTCCCAACTCCACTAGTCACGGACATGGTAAACATGACTTCAGTTCCCTGTGCGTCAGGCTCGACACTGATGCCGCTCAAAATATCCAAGTCCTTGATCTCGATGAGAGTTGCAGGTCTTTCTTTGAGAAGAGTGTGTGCCGCATCAAAAGCCATGATGCAGTAAGCAGACGCTGGGACAAGAGCCTGCCCTTGGAAGCTGTGATGCTCTAGCCAAGGTATCTTCTCCAGCCGGAGTATATTACGCCATCGCAGTTCAAATTGGTTATCATCGCGGGTCCGCACTCCTAGGAGTTCATGAGGAACGTCTTCTTTGAAGTGGTATTGCCGTGATAGTCGAGACTCCCTGTAATGGAACTGGGAGTGGTCCCATGGGTATGTCGGTGCGTCCGGTACGTGAGAATGCGCAAGCCAAGCTTCATTGGACTGCTCAGCGTAGCGGCGCCAGTCTATAGCTGAAGGACCTAAATGACACCATAAGAACCCTAGGAAGTTGGAAAATGCTAATAGATCGTCCTTCGATCTTTCCAAAACTCCGGCATAAGGTAGCGAAACCGCCGAAGCCTTCAGAGTCTGAGTGACGGGCCCCTGAAGTGCTGGATGAGGCCCAATCTCCAGTGCGCAATCAAATGGCTCTTGTCCTTCGACTGCGGCTATCAAAGCGTCTTTGAACTGAACTGCGTGGACCATGTTGTCTTTCCAATACTCTGCACCGAGATCTCTTTCACTGCCTGGACTAAACCCGTAGACGCTAGAGACCCATCGTACCTCGTTGCGACCCGAGAGGGGGGATATGTCACAGTTCCGGAGTGCCTTCGTGTACTCTATCGCAGGTTGCGTCATGTGGGGAGAGTGGTACGCCGTATCGACATGGATGATTCTGGCGAATTTATTCTGCTGGATCAACTTGTCCTTCGCCAGCTCAATTGTTTCTTGGTCTCCAGATAGCGTCACACTGAGGGGGGCGTTACTTGCAGCTACGAAGATCCTATTGTTGAATATAGGATCCCGGCAGAAGCCCAGGGCTTCATTCTCCGAGAGGCCGGCCGCCATCATGCCGCCTTTCTCGCCGCCAGGGCCTCCAGCAAGGTAGGCATATAAACCGCGATAGTACGAGATCAGGATCGCATCCCTCGATGTAAGTCTACCTGCGGCATATGCCGCAGCGATTTCGCCGGATGAATGGCCAATCACGGTATGAAAGGTCACGCCCAGACTACTCAGGAGATCCACTAGGCCCAGCTGAATTGCAGTGCACACGGGTTGCGAAATCTCTGCCTCATGGATGCGAGAAGAAGCCCCTTCGTTAAGAAGCTGCTCCTCCAATCTCCAAGCTGGCGGGTTGGGGCATGACTGCAAGGCGTGGTCCAGGTCCCGGATTGTTTGACGGTATCTGCTATTCGATAGAAGCAGCGCCCTCGACATCGTTGGCCACTGGGCTCCCTGTCCGGTGAAAATCCCAAGGATGCGTGGCTTCTCGCCAGGTGGTTGGGGTCTCAGTCCGATGTCGCCACTTTGTGCAAACTTGTCTAAAGCCTTGTCTAGAAGTACCACGGCCTCTGCTGTTGATCTAGCGGACATAGAAAGTCGATATGGCAGGGCCGACTGTCGTACAAGTAGATGCCAGCTGATCTCATTGAGGGTAATGTCGGGATGGCGAAGAATCTGTTTTCGCCATACAGCAACAACAGCCGCCAGGGACTTTTGAGACGAAGCGGACAGCCCGATTGGTAACATACCACAAGCCTTGCTCAGTTGGGATTGAGAGCTATATGGTTTGTGAGGTGGTGCGAGTAATGTTTGCGAGGAAGTCCTACACTGGAATGCTACTTGGTTGTGGATTTCGGGCATGTATGCTTCAATGATTGCGTGGGAGTTGGTTCCACCAAACCCGAATGAGTTTACACTGGCTCTTTTAGGTTGGCCGACTGGTGTCTCTGGCCAAGGCACAAGCGTTGTTGGAATCTCAATGTGCTTATAGAAAGGCTTGATGCTTGGGTTCAAGGTATCGAGGTGTAGGTTTGGTGGTACCGCACCGTTCTTCATGGCTTGTAAGACTTTGAGAACCCCAGCAAGCCCAGCAGCACCTTCAGTGTGTCCTATGACAGTCTTGATGCTCTGATATCACATTAGCGCTACATGCACAAGATTGTGAGAATGCGGCCCTTACCCCAACTAACATCTTCTTGCCAAGATCTACATGGCTCGACGATGGCCCGAAAAATGCTTCGTGTATGGCCTCAGCCTCTTTTGGATCTCCAGCCTGGGTACCTGTCCCATGTGCCTCGAAATACTGGCACTGGTCTCCCGCTTGTCGGGGATCCAGACCCGACCTCGTATATGTAGCTTTGATGAGTGCAGCTTGCGCAATTGGATTGGGCATAGTAATCCCTTTAGTGCGACCATCAGAATTCACTCCTGTTTCTCGAATGACTCCAATGATTGAGTCTCTGTCTTGTAGTGCCCGAGAAAGTGGCTTGAGCAGCAACGCAGCAACACCTTCTCCACGTGCATAGCCATCAGCATCCTTGTCCCACATGCGGCTTTTGCCGCTAGGGCTCAACATATGCAAGCTTGACTCTACTATAAACTGTTCAGGAGTGATCATGAGGTTCACACCAGCAACATATGCCATAGTACATTCCCCAGAGCGTAGACTCAAAACAGCTTGGTGCAGAGCCACCAAGGAGGAGCTACACGCGGTATCGATCGTCATCGACGGGCCGTGCAGGTTGAAGAAGTATGAAATTCGGTTTGAGATAATGGACCGGGCATTTCCAGTAGCGTAATACTGACTTGCTGATAGTTCATCACGCTGAGACAATGTGTCGTAGTCTGCTGTCATAACTCCAGCGAATACGGCTATGTTCTTTCCCGAGCACCCATCCAGGGTATAGCCAGCAGATTCCATAGCTTCATAGACAACTTCGAGTAACATTCGCTGTTGGGGGTCAATTGCTTCGGCTTCTTTAGGTGTGATATTGAAAAATGCAGTATCGAATACTCTGTGGTCTTGTTCCAGCCAGTACGCTTTGACAGAGTTGGTTGTTCCGTGATATTCACCATCGTGATGGTAGAAACCAGCAGCGTTGAATCGATTTTGGGGCACCTCTTTGGAAAGATCAGGGGGGGCTGATAGCACTTCCCACAGTTTCGAAGGCGACGTGGCAGATCCAGCGAATCGGCAGCTATTTCCTATGATAGCAATCGGCTCTGATGTCGGTGTCCTATACATTCTGTAGGTGGAGCCGGTGAAATCGGAGGTCTATACGAGATCGTTAATAGAAATGACAAAGAGGACTAAGGAACCTGGCCAATGATAGATCTGTGTCGCAAGGTTGAATCGTCATAGACTAATGATCATATCTAGTGAGACCTTTGCTGAACGATTATCCACATTGTGCGACAGGCACTTGCTGAATATAAATACAATTGTACGACTTGTCATATCAGTTGCATAGCTTCCAGTAATCGACATCTGATTTGCCCTTCATCGCCGAAGCTGAAGTCCAAGATACTTCGGGCGAGAACTATTGGTGACCTTAGTAAGTAGGCCCGGCTCCTATTTGCCAGCCCAATACCGATCATTTTAGGCCCACGGGACGGGGTCAATTGCCAAGAGTTTCTACTGAAACCTCGTAAACAGTCATGAGCAAGCAAGAGCACATCACATCTGCGACTGATTTGTAGCCAATAGCTTGCCACGGACCATTCTGATACAAGCAAGACCCATGCCGTGGCCAGTCTCGTCGCTGCACCAGGTTCAATTTGTACGAAAAGTTGTCAAATATTACAAGACTCACGAGAATCGAAAGAAAGACCTTGAAATGGGTGATTATACAACGCAACTTGATATTCACTACTGTCTCGTTCTTTATAGACTATATACTATTTTCCCCTTACATTTATATTGATATATGGTGCACATCGCATTCTTCTAACTAATACCTAAACCACTGCAGTTCTTTCTAATCTGAACGCTATCTCCAGCTGGGCGGCGGAATATTTCCAATTCAGTTCCAGAGTCTCTGTACGCCTGCCAATTTGAATTGGGCAGGTGATCTTCATAATAAGGTGCTTTCATAATTTGGGGATACGGTTCATGGAATGGTGCTGGGAGCGAACTGTTTAGATCTAACGATAGCCCCAGCCAAGACGTGGCCCAGAACGAGTCCGGAAAACTGAATTGATCGGCTCCGCGTAGAGTGGCAAGCGGCCTGGCTAAGCTTTGGGGAATCTGCCAAAAGTTGATCAAGGGCTGCTCTCTGTTGTGTATTGGAGAATTCGTGTCAAATAATGGAGGTATTGAACCAAGGTGATGGGTGCTCGGTGCATCAAGCAGTGCTATTGGCTGATCCAAATATGCAGTCAGCTTTGGCAGGGTCTGTGGATGGTTCCTAGAAGTCATTTCATAGACTATTGAGTAAGGTTCAGCTATCTTTCTAGCACAGGAATCAGGAATGTAAGCCGCACCTGCTGAGCTTCGGGGAGATAATGGCCGCAGCCTCTGGAAATCAGTTCGCTGTCCTGGCACTTGACTGTATCGAAGTTTTTGACGACGTCGGTTTGTATTACGAAGAGATGGGCTAAAATTGCAGGTTTGTGCTGATCTAAAGCATCTCTCGCATTCAGAATCTCCGCGACGACGGCAAGATAACTTCTGGGAGTGGCATCTATCGCAAGCCTTACGAGTTGGAGGCACTGCCATCCTATGGCACTAAGCAGCCTTTGTTTCCTGGCTAACAAAACAGGCAGAAATATGTTGTAATGCGCTCTGGTAAGATTTTGATCGCCCGAGAAACAGGAACATAGAACAATGTCTGGGAACTGCGACATTTTATCGAAGGACGCTACCTTGAATAGCCCCGTCTACTCTTGCCCAGTGATTTAAGTCAAGGCCTAGAAGCGGCAGCCTGCTGCCCGGATCTTTGCACTTCTCGCCGCAACCTGCCTAAGCCGAACCAACATCCTAGCATATTCTGGACTGTTTTTGGAGGATTAATAGATCATCTGCCACGAATCAGCCCCCACGGTGGTTAGGTGCAGTCAGGTGGAGTGGAGACCGCCCTGTGCATGTGTATCGACCCAACTGCATGATCTGTTGTATCCTGCAAAGATGGTGGATCGGTACATGACATGTATACAAGGCCAAACCCAAAACATTCTCAGGTGTCGTTTGTATGATCTGATAGTGGAGGATCAGTTGTCGGGGATATCAGAGGACTTCCGAGCCCCGAAGCCCAAATGCGGGAGCAGAGAGCCTTGATCTCGTGCATCCGTGGACCGGCTCGGTAAGCATTGGTGTACCCCACAATGAATCAAAAGAATATTATCTATGGCCAATACCATTTCCTTTCTTCAATCTCCTTGAACATTTCTCAAGGCTTCATAACGCTGAAGTCAGGTGCTCTTCAAATCATCAGCCGCGGTACTTGGCATACATGTAACCACACGAAGGGGTTTCGAGCTCTGTAGGCGAAGGGATAGCCCTGTCCCTCCATTGACTACAGTACCAGGATTCTTACCTACAAACCGCTACGGTCGCATAAATTTAACGAATAGGCATACTCTTGGCATCCCTCCATGTTTATGTAGTACTAGATCCTTCGCTTTCCCGTCCCCGGGCAGGGCTGAGGCGTACTGCGGCATGTATCGGCATGGCTTGCAGGACGTAGAATCCATGGACTGCATACCGATCATTACAATTAGACAGATCCAGCAATCTTTATTCGGTTCAATGATTATAATAGTTCCGAAATCTTTGACTAAATCGTTGGTAACCCTGGGTCGTCACCCCCCTCTATCCACAACGTATTTGTGACACGCTCAAGCTATTAAGTTGCTAGCGACCAATGACAGAGCTGAAAGTGAAGGTCCGTAGTGACAGGCCGCCGAGGTTGACTTATGGTCGGCACCATCCCTGCAGACCTACTACACACACTCTCCAATGGTGTGAAGTATCCCAGAGATGCAAGGCTGACCCAATAACTTGTTGCCGAAGCTGGTATAATCCTTGACAACCTGCTGCAGGTTCCTTCAGCTGTGGCCTGCGCTGAGCATACGGGCGCACACACACGGAAATGGAAACCCTACGGATCTGTGCGGCAATGAAATAATCGGATTAGAATCTCGGCGTCTGTATTACGCAACGGCTGCACATGAAAATCATTCACCCTCCAGCGACTGGGTCCTTTTGTATATATGACCTAGCAGCTTGGCACACAATCTCGCCACCGCCTCAGCTAAGTTAAAACATGATAATTGCAAGACCACTCAATTATCTGGCTAGCATGTGAAGTTACAGGTTACGAACGACGATGTTGGAGGTTCGCTTAGGAGGCGTATGGCTTCATGGCAATAGCAAGTATATCTTATAGATCATAGACAGACAAACCGCAGCCGCCGTCTAGGTTCGGTTTTCAGGCTCGGCCCTTTCGGACTGCCAATAATCGCGACTCGTGATTCTGCCGCATGACCTTGATTTGGCTGACCTGAGGGAGGGCCAAAGTGGATGACGAACAGATCTTCAGCTTAGTCCTATCTCGATCTTTGCGCCACTAGCACTTCAATATTGTCAAAGTAGTACCAACGGGTGGGTCCAACGGACCCCGGGAGGGAACCGTGAGACATGCAAGGGTCCCAAATCACACTCAACCGAACCCACATGCGCCCCAACCACGCAGCTCCGCCGCACAATGGTTTTCCTCGAGGCGCTTCAGCTGAGTTGGAAACGGTGACGGTAGAGGCTCAGCTCTCGAGCAGTTCCAACCTGACTTGAAGCGATCAGGTTTGCCATTGGCACATGGTCATGTCGTACTAATGTAACCTTACCCCTGCATCCGCCTGGCCCATGGCGTTAGAAGCGCAGGGGTATGCCTGAAGCCCGTGCCCGAAGTACGTGCATACAGCGCCTTGGTGCTGTGCGATTGGGATTCTGGAGCCATTAACTCAGCAAATTCGGGCGGCTTCTGCTGTGGCGTTGATTTGACAGACGCCCACGCACCTCGAAGTTCAATCTGGGGAGTGACGTTCTCAACAGGCAAGTTCGGTTCCTCCCAGAGCTCCAAAAGAACCAACAGCCAAACCTACCTGCAACGCAACGCAACAGATACAGACGTAATCGTATGAAAAAAGCAAAAACATATGCATTTCAGGCCACTAAGGGCTTTGATTGCTGAATCACGGCACCGTTGTATCCAAAGATGTTTGCTCATGGTGACTCTGCACACAGTCTTCAGGGCGAAATACTGGTATCCGTTGAAGGTTGTCTCTGATAGTTGCAGCTGGCTCGAACTCCGATATGGCGCTAGCTTGCAAGGTCAGTCTTGGCAATGTGTCTGTCATCCTCAGATAACCAAGGAGAACCATGCAATTAACTTGAATGGAATAAGATAACCAGGTGATTGCAATAGAGACAGCGCTGTCGACCTATGTTGGTATGCAGCAGTCGATAGATGATTCAATCTAAGTAGCACAAGGCTATGCATGCATCAGGATCATCAGATGCGGCAGCTTTCCGCCAATGTTGAAGGCCGTAGTGCCAAGATATCACCATAGCTTCGTCGGCCGGCACCCAACCTGTATGTAGGGAGATAACATGCGACAACCAGTTGTCTGCTCCGATTGGCACTAAGAATAGGCTTGTGACATATGCATGCAAACGCAGGCCATGCAGCAAAGATCCCATTTAATATTAGGTCGTAGCCTTGATGACTCAGACTACCGAGACACTGTGGACGCATCTTTTAGCCTTCCAATCATTCAATCAGGGCTCGCAAATGAGTCAGATTCTTGGTCGTGGTCTTAGCCCAACCGTGGTGCTAGGATGCGATCATCAAGAGTGGTTCAATAGGCGGAACGAAGGGTGTCATATCACGAGGTGACGCCTGATGTGGATCTATCCAAGTGCGTATACTGGGTGGCAATGCCAACAACATACACCCCCATCACGTTACGGGTGAGAAGTAAGTGGTCGATAGCCTAGGCCATTAGCAAGTGTCGGAGCCAGAGTTCGTATCCCGAAACATCGTGTTCAGATGCACTGCAGCTTCAGGGGCACCAGGTACTGAGGCGGGATGAAACATATAAGAACGGATGACGCAAGAAGAGAAGACGGGGAAATAAGATGTGGAAGAAAAATACATTTGGATATATTGTGAACAATTATGGTAAGTGTGCCTCGCTCCATATTATGTACACGTATATGCTCTCAATTGAGCTTGTTCATCTAAAACAATGTTTTTCAATCAAGAAATCGCAAATGGCAAGTAGGATCCGTTTTTCATCACAACTACTCTCCGTCTCCTACACCAAATACCTCAACGTGTACTCTTTCACTTGTAACCCCATCGGTGATCAAATATCTGCGAACATCATTCATAAAGTTCGTTGGGCCGCAGACATAATACTGAGTTCTCCTGTTGTCAAGGAACAGGACGCTCGATTGATGCAATTTCTTCAAATCCATGCGGCCATCAAATTGGTAATCAACTCCTTTCACGTCAGTTTTGGTAACGTGAGAATTGAAGACGGTGGAGGTAAGATTAGGGCTCTTGTTGCATGTGCTTTGTATGTGTTCCTTAAAGGCTTGCAACTCCGAGCTTCGTGTGCCGTGGATCCATGAGATCGGACGGTTCGAGTGTGTAGCAACCAAGCTGTTAAGGATGGATATCATCGGGGTAACACCGACGCCAGCTGAGAGCAAAACGATTGGTGCTGTGTCATCCGTGACTGGATCAACGAAGAACTCCCCAGTAGGATGAGTAAGTTCCACAACATCGCCCTCCTTGTAATTTTCGTGCAGCACATTAGAGACCCATCCTCGCGGGCCCAAGTCTCGCCCAGACTCCTTCTTGACGCTGATGCGGTAGTAGTCCCCGTGAGGCGCGTCACTCAGAGAATATTGCCTCGGCTGCATATACCCAAATTCTGGGATGGAAACATGAAGACTAATATACTGTCCTGGTTTGAAGTTGGGTAGAGGTTGCCCGTCCTCCGCAACAAGATAGAAGCTCGTAATCTCAGAAGACTCTTCAACCTTCTTCTGAATCTTGAATCGTCTCCATCCTGTCCAGTCCTTATGTGAGTCATAAAGCTGCTTCTCCCGCTTGATGAAGATATCTGCCAAAGCTGCATAGGCTGCGGTCCAAGCATCAGCTACCTCGGGAGTAACTGCGTCCCCCAGCACGGTTGCGACTGCCTCAATGAGGTACTTTCCTACGATTGAGTACTGCTCGGGCTGGATTGTGAGGCTAACATGCTTGTGCGCAATGCGCTCAACGAGAGTTTGAAGTTTTCCCAAGTCATCAACATAGCTGGCATAGGCAAACACTGCTCCTGCTAACGCCCGCGGTTGGGCACCGGTGACCTGCCCTGTCTGATTGAAGATATGATGTAGCTCTGGGTGGTGTTCAATCATGTTGCCGTAAAATAGGCTGGTGATCTTCTCGCCATTTTCCTTGAGGATAGGCGCCGTTGATTTAACGATGGCCAGCTGTGAAAGGGTCAAAGGTGCAGAGATTTGCGCCCCCTTTGATACGCCCAAGTTCGGAGTGGGCAACGAGGTATGCGATACGGCTTGTGATGACGCCACCATCTTGTCCGAGCTTGGAAAGTGAGGAGTGAAAAGATGTCAAGAGATGTCCAATGCGAAAGTGTCTGTTGGTTATTTGGTTAAATATAAATCGGACGAGCCATGGTGGTATTATATAACTATAGATGGCCTCCAGGACCGCCTTCGGAAATGCCAGGTTCTACAGGTGATGTGCCGGAGAAAGCAAAGCCGATGTCCACGACAACACAGGGTAAACTTGGATTTTTCCCAAAAGCGGAAGCCAGATTCCAGAAAATCCGTCCCTGCTCTTAGCGAGCTTACACATGGTCTATGCAGCTTGTAAAATCTGTGTCAAAATGAGCCCACCCAAAGATCCGGTGTTTCCCGTGCGGCTACCATCTCCGCGGCGCCGGGTCCGTCCACTGGGAGGAATGGGACTGATCCATGTAAGCAGGCCCATTGGCAAACGAGCCCCCTCCCCCTGGGAGATATTCCTAGCGTAAAATCAAATTGAGGTCCAGTATAATAATATGATCGTTTCACGTGGGGCTGATGACACATGGCGTACGGTATTCTTGTTGTAGCGATTGGAGCGCCCAGGGACTGATAGTTCAATTGCAGTGCTGTTGAATAGTTGCTAATAAGTCAAGTCGAATGGCGTGCGACACAAGTGCCCTAGCCGCTTCGTCTGCGGGCTTCCGGCACTCAGTGCAGCTAATAACTCCGTTTAGTGGGGTGTAACTTGAACTGACACAGGCCTGCAGAGAGCCCGAAAATATTAAACAAACAAATAGCAACAGCGCAAACAGACAAACTGGCTTCCTCAAAGCCCAAGTGCGCGGAGATTCTTGATTGGCAGTTCCTGACAAAAGCCTCTTGTCAGCGCTGCAGGTCAGCAATTGTATGTTGCGCGCATAAGCACCCGTCTCTGGTCTTCTAAATCTAGAGGGGAATCAGGGGATGCACGTTGGGGTACCTTATGCTGCGGGAGGATTAACGGCAATGCTATATTTCAAAAGCTTAATCAATTCGTAGTGAATCCTATTCTTTACCCGGTATTTTTCTGCCCTGCTGATTATCACATATTTATCCCTTCAACATAGTATCACGAGCCAACAAAGAAGCGTTGTTATCCCGGAGCAAGCTCCATAGAGGGGTTCCGCTGGTAACTTACGTATAGGCGGATTTCACAATGCATCATAACGTTATCCAACGGAAGTTTACTAATTCTTTATTCGTTACAAATGGATGCTGCAGATATCGGCCTCTACGCCACTGTTTCACATGACGCAGGGTGCCGGTGCTGATCCCATTCCGCCGGGATGATGCTAGGCTTGGTGTATTCACATCATCGCTATCACCTTCGCTTTCTGCAACACATAATGTTTCCCACGTATAAAGCTAATAAATATATCATTAAATGATTGTGAAAAAGCGCTGTAGTCACCCAGATCAATATGATGGTACCCAACACTGGCTGGGCCTGCAACGGTATCCCACCAGCGACAGTGGTGATCTCAGGCCGATATACATGTAGCGCTGCCCAAAGTATGGATGCAATTACGTTTTTCAATCCAAACTTGGTACAACACAGTCGGAAATATTCGTCCATCAATTTACAAACCAGTTGCATCCAAGCGTGTTGCCCTAATGTACTTAGGCTTGGGCGGATAGTGCAATGAAACCACAACGTCAGCGGGGCCAAAGCCTTAGCAGTAGATTATGATTTAGATTACATTACCCCGACATCATCAATATAGGTGTCCAGTATTATGAATGAGGCCTGACAATCAATGGCGTGTTGTAGAAACATCTTTCTAGCCTGGCGGCTGTGGTGCGAGATGACCTTTCGACGTGTCACCGACGTTCGGCAAAAATGAAGATGTGGGATTATTGCATATTCGGAAGCTGTCAATGATGTGTATCAGGTTTGGCTCACAGCTTCGGATTGAACTCTAAGGCATTCGGTACAATGCTTCAAGGGCGCTCAACATTGCAAGACATAAGCAACATTGGTGGGCTGCCTACTTGGCATCCCGCATGTGGCCGAAGGATCAGTATAAGTTGAAGGGCTCGATAACCTTCCTTGCTTATATGTATCCTATGCGTCCCGCGTCGTCAATTGGACTATCTTAATTCAGGCCTGACGACGGAAGAATGTTAACCAGTTACAAAGTCAAAATGACGCCGAATTCAAAACCCCGAGAAACAATATCGAATTGTTAGGATATCAATAAGCCGAGTTCATGTTCGAGCGAGAGAATCGGAGGTCTGACGTAGTCTAATAGTAGCTGGTATTCAAGGAGTCGGCATGGGCGGCAATGAAGGGCTATCAATGTCGCTGCATTAAAGTCGTTTTCCGTACTCAACAAAGACTTACGAGCATAGGAGCTTGTCAGACAGTTTACTAGTAGTTTTGGCAAAGTCTAGCATTCGCATAAGTCGCGTATTGGGAAACTGGGGTGAGAGTTAGAGAAAACCAATATGCCTTGGCAGATACTATCATGTAGAGCACATCTGCTGCCTCGCTTTGGGGCTGTTTGGCGACCCTTGCTCGAGGCTGCTCAAGTCTGCGTCCTCCACTACTACTGTTGTCACCACTTCCAACTGAATATTGTGATCTTCTTGAGCACCTATGCTTCTTCTGAAAGACTCTTGACTCACAGTGCGGTGATGATGATGTTCAGGAAGTCCATCAGCTGTGTCAGGCCCGGTAAACCGCCAAGGCCACCACCAAGAGCTGTAACAATCCTTCGGATCGAGCTCCTCAGGCTGTTGGCCTCCTCGAACCAAGACCAGATTTCCATACCTTCTCTCTGGCGTACGCACAAAAGAAAACCAGTCGAGTCCGGTTTCTCGAATGTCATGATCCCCTATAAAGATGATAGTGGTGCTCCACAACAAGACATTCAGCCATCCTAAAACGTATCAGATGCCAGGAGCCAACAAACAAGGGTTGTGATATAAGTTTGCAAGTTTGGATAATGCCACCATCTACCGGTACAGTTTTGTGGTGATATGACGCAAAAGATTGAAAGGTGCAATAAAAACGTACCATGCGATGCAATAAGAGAGCCTGAAATACTGTAGAATGTCCAACCGGCCTTTACGCCGCCCATAGCAGCCATACGGCTAATTGCGAGCGGGGCTGTACACAGAATATAAATGGCCTGATAGGCCAAGAAGGCAGGGTGCTGCCCAGAGGGCTTCGGGGGTTCGTCTTTTTCTCTGAGTTCCATCCCGCTTGCGGTGGCAGAAACCTGCGACGGCAAATGGCGAGCAGATTGGTTGTTCCAAAGCATTGAGAAAAGAGTGACGCCGAGAAGTAGTACCGTCAGGCCCATGGCCAAGAAAATCCAGAAGTATTCAAGCCACAATGCCTCCGTACCATAGGCTTGATTCACCCAGCACTTTTAATTGGGTTAGTTTACGGACACGTGGTAATGAGTACGGCTTACCCAGGCACCAGCTCTAGCATAGAATCCACCGTGATCGATACCATTCTTTGTGGTCAGCACGCTGCTTAAGGGCAAAGTGATTGCAATAACCCAGACGGCAGCCGTGGCGATATATATAACACGTCGCGATGGCTTGTATCCTCGCACGATCGTTGAGTAGGAGTTAATACCTAAGAGAATAAAGTCAGCCAAACGGTCAGAAAGATGGTACACTAGCATGCCATCATTATAGGTCTGGAATCGAATACCAATCTCTACAACGATATTACGACGCCAGGAGTAAGGCACCGACTTACTAATTAGAACCAACATGCCGCTTGATACTAGTTTGCCAACCTGCATGAACCAGCCTTGTGTCCAGCAAGCGGCTGACGGTACGATGATGCCATCGTGTCTGAGCCATGCCACACTCAGCAAAAATGCCAGCGCCTCCATCAGATTGGCATATAGCAGGTTGTACACGAGCATAAGTACGGGGTTCCACTTCACATCTAACTTCGCAGCTGTAGGGAACTCATCCTGCTTCAGTGGTGTGGCCGGCTCGCTGAGTGGTTCCTTGGACTTTGTTTTGAGTTGATGGTAGTGCCGTTCTTCTAACCCGAGGGACAAGTCGTCACTCCTTGCGCAATTGCGGTAATCTTCGATGCTGTATTCCGTTCTCCGGCTCGATGGTCGGCGTACCACCCGTTCCCATTTGACTAGCCGATACGTGATGTAGGTAATGAGGAGCGTCGTCGTTACTATGGAAAGGAAGCCGAAGACAGTTACGGCAATCAGACCATCTCGTAGAAGTTCTGGCAGTGGAGAAAGGGTGCTGCTCTCTGTAGGAAGATGGGAAGCCATCGTGGGTGTCTTACGGCGCAGTGCACACAGGCCGGCAAAATACCATGATGCCGCCAACCCAAGGATCCAATTGGCGAAGAAGGGACATAAGAGCCAGACTTTTCAAGTGGGAAACATTGAGCAAGTAAGATACCATAAAAGCGAAAAGGAGCGCAGACGAAAGTTTGCCCCATGAAACATCAGAGCAGAGTAGTGACAATCATCTCGCTAGGCCGTGGCTTGCAGGGGTGAGACCCCCGCGCCTATTGCGGCAGAGCAAACGAGCCCTTCCTCCAGTTTATCCTACTTGCCAACGATGCAACGATGGTGCCGTATCTGCAGTCTTCCCCAAGAAGAAGGCAAGGGAAGCTTTGCCAAAGCGGACCTCGCAGCACTGCCTTGTCTGGCTCTGTTTATGGTTCGGTTTTGGGGTTGCCGCCCGGCGCCTCCAGCAGATCTTTGCAGCTCGCATCGCACGTTGTCCCCGATTTTCCCTAGTTTGCTAAGGTCATAGCGTATGTTGTCGCAGATACCCGTGAGGCCCGTCCGCCTCGTGGGGCAATCTGATCTCGACCTGACAGCCTTATCAACGACCTGGGACGATCGTCTCCTCTGCCCGCTTTTGCCGCCAGCCGGAAAGATGGGTAGACATTAGCAGTGGCTAATGGGTGCGATACGTTACTGCGCAGTTGACTATTTTGGTTTTGTGTAGGTCCTGTACGGTATGTATATCACGTCCGCCTGGCTGCCTATTGGAGGTGGTGTTGCAGTAAACATGCACGACAAGGGCCAGTGCCAGGGCGTTGAACAACGGAAGGAATCGGCTCCGATGCACACGTGCCATTGTGCCCACTGAGGTTACTTCGCGCAGCCTCAAGTAAATGAATTAGATGCACAGGGCAGCATCCGCGGCGTTTATATTTTTAGTGCTGACACTGTTGAGACCTGTAACAAGCGCTAATCGCTACGGTTAATTTGGCGATCTGGTCATACATTCTCAATCCCAAGTTCTAAAAGATTTCCTTCATGGTGTCCAATCTTCAGTGTCTCGGTGTAGCCATAAGCGGCGTTGATATCGGCCTTTGCTGGCTTTGTTCTATTCTTGTTCGTGGCACGTACGTCTTTTGTCGCACGTCTTTGGTCTGTCCCTCGCAAGGGTTACAACAAGCCCTTTCCCCTGGACGCCTCGAAATACCACTTTTAAGCTAACTCAATTTGATCAATGAGAGATTTTCAAACGTGCGTAATATTCTAGAGAAATCAGATTTGTCTTGGGTTGTCCGGCAGCATGTCTACGTTGAATCTCTAATAGGATGTAGTAAGAGAGCTCCTGCACAATGCTCCGCCGCCACAAATAATATTGCCAAGCTCTTCCCCCTCCCCCTCCCCCCTTTTCCCATGTTATATGTGGCTTTATATTGGAGCCATCAACTTCTCTGGGCATCGTTGAACATGCACATTGTTTATGACCTGGCCTGTCTGCATGTTCAGTTTTGTATTCTTAGTAGCCAGGACACCTTCACTTTTACGGTGTCACTGAAAATTATATTGCATCTCAGCGGAGACCATTAGCCAAAGCACATTTGAAGTCGCCTGAGACAGTCACTGCAAATATAGAACTGTTATAAGCAATCGCTACGCTGGATATAATACTTCCAAGGTATATGAAGAGTTGGGGCCTCGCGAATCCCGACTAGCAGTGTTCGATTCCACAGTCAAATGGCATAAGATGAACTGCAGCGTATGGTTGCTCTTCTGGTCTTATATAGTCTGTGTCATATTTTGTTCTATAGGTCTGATAAGTCCAGATTTCCAAGGAAGATTTGGTATTATACCGTAGCAAGGCGTAACCAGTTCTCCGCTCCTCCCCCGCAGAGGAATGAAAATATGAGGGCCCATTACAGTTTGCCCGTTCGGCTGAACGGTGAGAGTACTACCGTCATTAGGAAGCCGAATATAGCAAATGCAGCAATTGCTTCTAGAATGAACTCCCAGTTGTTGGACCTCTGGTTACCGATGGTTTCTGCGTCGAAGTAGAAAACCACAACACAAATAGTGACCACAGCTGCCTGCACGAGCCATACGAGAGTCGCAAACAGCTTGCTTGAGAAAAGCAGGGCTTTCATTTCCTGTTTCTTGTCTCGGATCGAAAAAGAAGAGATCGGTGATCGTCCAGATATAAGTTGTATGAGACTTGACTTCCCGTTTGCTCCAGTGTCCAGTTCAAATGGATTTGCGAAGGAAGAGGTAGCTGCGTCATCCCGCGTATGATTAGTGTCTTGACGGTGAAGCCCAGATTGATCTTTGGTCCAAACATGCTCCATAATTGCTCCCAGAGGTTGAATCAGTAGTATCAAAGGGACTAATTGTCCAAACCCCCAGGTATTTTCCAAAGATCCAGTTAAAGGCTGCATTTGAGTTCGCGGTACCAGAACCTGGATTGTTCCGAATAACAGACCAGTCAAAGAGATCCAGAGGGAAGCCGCAAAAGAGGATACACACTCAAGTATGACGAATAGTGGGAGAGCAATCCCAAGAATTAACCGAAATAGCCAGAGCCAGAGTCGCGGATGCATATCGCTGTCTGAGTGTGTAGCGGGGACTTTCAGTAATAACACCAGGAGAGTCTCCAAGGGGCTTCGCGCCCATCGGTTGTAGGCCGTGCTTGTAATACTGAATAGACCGCCAACCTTCCAGATATAACTGATAGCCAGGATGATGAAGCCTAGAGGTGCATCCGGGCCAACACCATCCCCCCAGAGCTTGCCCCAAAAGCATTTGGCAGGAATGGCCCATCCTGTCCTTCCGTCTACCATTCCATTCCACCAAAATATTCCCCAGTCATTGCTGATAGTCGGTACGAGTCCGATGATGAGCATAACCAATAATATACTCATGCCACAGAGACGCCATATCATTATACCTCGATGCTCCTGCAAGTAGGTTCCTAGCAGTGTAATGGCTGAAAGGTGCACGCTGCTCGACATCCAAGCCAAGTACAGTACAATCTGGAAGTGGTAGACAGATATGCTACCTGTTCTCAGCCCTTGGAATCCTGCACCCATGATCGCGATGCCCGTAACAATCTGCTGATCACTCAGGGCAAGCACAGCCTTGCGAACAGAGGCATGGAGTTGGGGTCGTCTTCGACTTGGCGAGTATGGTTGAATATGAAATATTTGGCGATCGACAGGCCTCAGCAGGGTAGAGTCTACCAGACCGCCGAGGTAAACAACCAGAACCATGAAAAAGGTGATGTATGCACTGAGAATGAAGGCTAGCACTACTCCAGCACCTGAAATATCCGGATCTGGATGGGCGATAGCGCCCTGCTGGAGTAGTTCCTCGCAGTTCGCTGCTGTTGGACTGGACGACTCCGCTCTGACCTCGAATGCACCAGACATTATGGCTAGTCCTCCCTGCTCGCCTGAGCATGAAAGGTGACGTTGCTTCCTAGTGGTTAGGTGGCAAGACAACCGACACGGAGATGTTCATGTCCACGCGGTCAAGTAGGAAACCTCATATCTTCGTGGCGGTTTGTATGTGACTCATCGCAATTTTGCAACAGCCTTTGGCTTCAGCACGCCTTATGCTGGTATGAACTACTTTTGGAGACCGATTGAGCAGCTGAGTGCACCAATGGGTCCGGCCAACACTAAGCGACCAAGCAGTGCGGCTGTCACGCATGTGTCGTACTCTAGCGGAAGTTAATCAGCTTGCGAATGCCGAGAACCTAAACGTCGACTTTTGGTTTTTACCGGGATGAGGCATAGTTTGTTTGCAGACCATGTAATTCCTTGTAGCGGGCTTTCCAGAACACTGACTAGTCTTGTAGCTCCTAGCTGCATCGCAACGAGTACACCGCGTAATTATTCAACACTCCAGAAGGCCGAACTTCTGATGACGTGACGATATCCATGATTATTTAGGTCAACAACCATGTGGCCTGAAGTTCAATAGCTGGCATGATTGTCAAATACCACTATCGTTTATACTCAAGCCTGCTTATTCTACCTATGCCAACAGAAAGATGCATTCGCAATCTCGACTTGCGGCTTGCTCGTCCGATGACTTCAAGCTGAGCCTCCCCGCTCTCACCCTTAACGAATAATATCACCTTCCTTGTCAATCCCCTCCGCCATTTCGATGATGTCACTGCCCCCAAGTATGCCAGGTCCAGTTCCAGTGATGGTCTTTCCTCGACCAGTACCCCATACCTCGTGAAACTTTACGCTCTTATCGCTGCTCGCGACGATCAGACAGCCTTCCACGGAAGTATTGCTTTTGGCTCTTGGCCTTTCTGCGACATTCGCTCTGGCGCTTTCGGTGCCATCTCCATCGGCTGGAGTTGTGTCGCGAGTAGCTGAGTCAGTGAAGCTAGAGAGTGATGAATGAGAAACGCCGATTGGCCCGCCAGGGTAGGACACGGCGAAAAGTGCTCGGTGTTCGCCATCCCACTTAACACTTCCAACCATCTTGCAATCTGGCCAGCTAAAAACGGCAATGCGTATGGCATGGTCAGGTTGAGCATACCCAAAAGTGGCCGCGATCTCACGCTTGTTGACGCTCCATATCAAGCTGGTGACTTGAGCACTGACAGAAATGGTAGCAACTGCTGCTCCGGAAGTCGTATGAAAGAAGTGAATCATTTTGTCGTTCGACCCGCCGCCAGTGGCAATGAGTTGTGGACGCCAAGGGCAGAATGCAATAGCCTTGACAGCCGCTAGATGATTCCATATCTGTGAGGCCGCGGGTTCTCCGTAAGTCTTGATTGGAGACATGAATGGGGACGCAAGAACGTTAGCCGCCGCTATTATAGGCTGGCTTGGAAATGAAGGCGAGATATGAGCTGATGGCGAGGTCACCGGTGACCATCCATTCCAGGGAGAACCCATGGGTATTGCATTTAGAGCCGGTGACAAAGGACTTAAAGTCGACACTGTGGGCGAGTAAATATCAACATTCGCACTGCCTCTCAAAACACCGGGAAGTTCAGATGCTGAGATTGATGCCTCAGGTCTCCGAGTATGCGAGGTTGGCGAAGCCTCGCCCAGTACGTTGTCGTCTTTCGACCCAGGCTTTAGGATTCTGTCAACGTCAAAAAGACAACACAGATTATCGTTGCCACCAGTAGCAAATTGATTGCCGTTGGGCGACCAAGCGAGGCCACAGATCTGTTGAGTATGGACCTTGATGCGAGCCAACAAAGTCATTGACCCCGGCCAGCCGTCCCGAGCCACCTCCCACGAGCCAGGCCACTCCACGGAGTAGTAGTATATGTCGCCATTTTCTCCACCTACGATCAGATCTTCAGCATTCACCGCGGCTCCTCCAGGGTTTGATGGGCTTAGTGATCGCCGGGCCGTCGTGACGGGTCGCCACGAGAGGCAAGATATGGGATGGGGGTGCCGAGCTTCAAGTCGGGGAAGCATACTGTCGAAGAGTGAGAGTAACCCTAAATGGCCATTGGATCGGCCATAGGCCAAAATTGATTTACCTCCCTCATTAGATGAGAAGGCAACAGAGGTGAGCCAAGAACTATCCTCAATCCCGGCGTTCAGCAAGGTCACTCCTGTCGTTTCCGACCAACCATATAGGAGCCCGCCCAACCCAACGGCGAGGGTATTGCACGTAGGCGAATACGCCATTATGGAGCAATAATAGTCGTCTCGAAGACCGGGTGCGTCGAGAACTCTGCTGAAAGTCAGATATGTACGCTCAAAGACACCTCCCGGTCAACATACTTGAATGGAGCATTTGGCAGCACGCGCGCCTCCTTTAGAGCCTCTGCCCCCAGTCAGCAACGAAAAGCCATGAACGCGTATAGGAAAGATTTACCGGGGAGGCTGCCATCGTGAATCCATTCTGTGCCACTCCAGATCGTTTTAGTGGTTGCTACCGTAGTCCGATGCTTCTTCTCGCTCTTACATCGAGGGAAAGTTAAGTAACCATCATGAACGAGCGTCCGGTTCGCACGGTCGAGAGCTAGCGCTTGTGCTAGCCTTGCTTCGTGCTTTGCTTGTTTCTCTTCAGACTTTGGGCGCGAAGAAGCAAAAGGCATGGTAAATAGAGGCGCATTGGTGCCGCTGCCCAGGTACCGGCCCCGACCGCCATCGACGGCTGTACCCCCAGGTGCAATGCCACCTACCGCCCAGACCGCACCAACGCTTACCTGATTATTGTCAGCAGGCAGGAATATGACATGCCTAGTACACTCATACCTGACGTTCGAGGGTTGTCAAATGCGTGGCATTATTTGGTGTGAAGCCAAGCACAGTACCTCTCAGCCGTTAGCGCCAGGGTAACTACCCGAGGGGAAACGAGGAATCAGTGGAGTTTTACCCGTTCGCCTGTCACTTCCATCTGATCTCGACGCTCTGTATCTGCTTCCAGTTGACCTCATGGTTCGAGGCCGGAAACAAAATGCATCGGCCGTAGCGTCGTCGCTTCGAAGGATACGTTCTGAGGTAGAGAGTTCATGTGGCGGTTTGTTGGCTCTGAAGCGATCTGATAGTGTCGCAGATCCCTCTCTGCCTGCAATGAATCGATCACCGAATCTAGTTGGCACTCCTCGTCTTGTTGGGGTCTCTTCAACCGAGTTTCGCCTTCGTGTTCGTGTAACGACCGAGTCTGTCCAGAACGATGACAGTGGCCCCGGGCGGCATATGTTGGCCCGAGGGATGGTGCTAGGGAAGTCTGCAGCTGGCCCATCCGGAGCCTGATCAATTCGGATTGGCGTAGCATGCTGTTTCGGGATTTCGCTGGTGGTTGAGCTGGAGGATGACCAGTTCCCGTCCAAGAACACGTCGGGAGACAGGAGCCGCCCAGTCTCATCTCTAGACACACAACCCTTGATAGATGAACTTCGTAGCTCGGCGGCAATATGAGGCGGAACTATGTCTTCACCTCTTGGACGATTTGAAAGGAAGGTGGTTTGTATTTGTAGCCGAGGCCTGGTCTTGCAAGTGGGTGCATTATCTTTGGCTTGGTGATTCTACCACGTGGGAGGTTCGGATTTGCATCTGGGAGGCGTATCCGGGTGGCCGCAATTCTCTTCCATGGCGCGTAAATAATGCGAGAAGCAATAGTGCTCGAAAGAACGAATGAGATGAAATAAACTATTGACAAACAGCAGGGCTCAATGAAACCAGTCTATCCGCAACATGCAGGACAGAACTGGGGTCACAGAGTCGGCCTGCCCTGCGATAAATCAAGCTGACAGCACGGAACATGTTCCGTCAAGCTGACAGAGGCGTGCTGCTACAAGCGGCGGGGTGGTCTTTCTGATTCAACTTTCAGTCGTCTTGAATGTGCAAGGAAGGTGCTGTGGTGGTTTGTTCTTGATAACCAGAAGCTTCCTGCGATGTTAATCCCCGCGGCGGAAACAACTACCGAGTTTGGGGCCGCTCAGAGTAGATGGCGTCCATCTCCGCAAGCCTAGTGTATTTGCATGAGGTTTGAAGTTTATGCCATGGTATTGAGATCTGATAAGCCGCCCTCGTCATGTTCGTAGCCATCACCAGTGAACCTATCACGATAAAGCCATAAAGAAACCAGCTCGGATCGTCACATGCCTATGGCTCATTCTCTCCGCCAGCAAGCAATGGACAAGTACTGTGGCGCATCATACTATAGCTTCGATGGCTGCGAGGAACTATACATTCGTCGTTGGTTGATTGTTAGCTTCGTACACGCAACATCCGTCCAAGTGCCCCTTACGCAATCTTGTAAACCAACTTCTCCGCGCTGACCTTGCCCTGTGCCTGCAACTCGAAGCCCTTCAAGATATCGCCAATGCCACCAAGCTCCCTCACCCTGTTGGGCTTGATGGTGCCCTTCTCCAGGTACTCGGGCAATAAGCTGAGGTATTTCTCCCAGAATGCCTTGTCTTGCGGCGTCGGCCCACCTATGTTATCAAATGCGCCGTAGCTGAGAGGCCGTCCAAAAACGGTATACACTATCGTGCTCTCAACCTTGACCTTGGTAAATGTCGGCTCGGAGCCCAGCTCCTCCTTTTTGCGCGGCAGGATACAGACTACATGCCCACCCTTGGTGGGTGAAAGAGCCGCAGCAACGCCCTTAGTTGACTCTAGCTCGGAGATGCAATCAAAGGCGTACTCCAGGCCATCGTGGCTCAGCTTGCGGATCTGCTCGACCCAGTCCTGGTCTTTGTAGTCAACAACCGCGTCCGCGCCCAGATCCTTGAGCAATCCGTGGTTCTTGGCGCTTCCGGTCGCAATGACGTAAAGGCCGGCCCTCTTGGCCAGCTGCACAGCATACTTCCCGACGGAGCTAGTTCCGCCATTGATGAGTATCGGGAAGGCCGACTTGGCAGGCTTGCTGGGCTCCGGGAGACCGAGACGTTGGAACAATGCTTGCACGGCTGTAGCGAACGCCAGAGGAACGACAGCAGCGTCCTGGTATGACACACTACTAGGGATGGGAAAGACGAGCGAGGACTCAATGACGGCGTACTCGGCAAAGACGCCCCGTGGTGGCTTCGCAGACGTGCCCTGGACGAATCCCGCGACGCGTTGGCCCTCACGCCAGGAGGAACCGTTAGGATTCGAGACGGTGCCTGCGAAGTCGCAGCCCACAACACGGCCGGCTGGCGATGCTGCTACGGCTTTCCAGTCTGTGGGGTTCTGGGCCACGTAATGAATCCTGACGAGAATTTCGCCGTCGCCAGGCACAGGAATCGGCGCATCTTGAACGGCAGCCTTGTGGCCTTCCGTTGTGACAAGAGCCTTCATGGTAGCCATGTTAGTGTCCAAGGTAGAAAGCGTGTAAGTGGCCCGACGTAGGCGATAGGTAATCAGATTGAAAGTAGCAACGGAGTGGCGGGCTGAGGGACTGTGCGTATGTATATGCGATCAAACTGTGGAGCCAACTGGATACAGCCGCATGGTCTGGTCTGCGTGGACGGCGAGTTGGGGGTTTATACGCGCATATGGCGAGCGGGATTGGTAATCGGTGATGTTGTCATGGGAGAACTGTGCCCCGGTCTCACGCGCCGTCATTACTAAGTCGCAGCATGCAGGCTGCATAGTTTTCCCGGTCACAACTACAGTCGATGTCGGTTGGAAATAAGACAATGCTATGGCGCTTCTCTGAGGCTTGGACTTCCAAAGGATATCAATGTATCCTGCCTCTGCTTAAGCATGGTTCGTCGACGTTTCCCATATCCGGTCTCAATGACGAGCGCCGCGCTATGTAGGTAGGTCATAAAACCCGCGATGGTACCAACATCCTGTCCTGGGAATCTGTGTCGCTATTTGAAGTAGGAACAGAACTGTAGGTAAACCCTCATTACAGGTCGGCCTCTGCCAAGTACCTAGCTAGGTAGATACCTGGTAGCTCATGTTGGGTTCGACGATCCTACGTACGTAGGTATCGGGAGATCCAACGCAAGTACCGTATTTGCAGTGCTCCGTAGGTAGGTGGATGCCTAAGTTCCTGCTAACCCAGCCCAGGGCTGGAGATGAGTATGCGCGGGGCCAGGTAGCCCTGAGGTCACCCGCGGGGCTAATACCTCGGCGGCCTTCCAGCGTGTCAAGAGCGTCGAAGTGGGGAGGGGGCCGTGTTTAGGCGGCAGGACCGCTATCTAACCCCGCCGGGAGGTAGCGTCGGTCCCCTGCCATCGACGCCGGCTTGTGATTTGAACGAAAGCCGAGTTTCAAGTCGACGACTATCACATCGCGCCCGGGCGAAGCTGTGAGCCCTTCTTCCATCCTCCGACTCCCATCCCCCCGACATGGCCAGTGTATGTCTGCCGTTTTGTTTGATTTCGTCAGAGGAACCCGGCTGATCTGACAGGCGGGAGGATCGCACGGCATCGCGCGGACCGCACGAAGGCGCACCGACGAACAACGCCAGCAAGACCTCGACAGGATCGCCAAGTACCGCGGGCTCGAGGACCAGATACGTGAGCAAGTATGCCCTCTCAACCCGTGTCCCGGGCGCATCTGTACCCGTTTCCACATCCCGTGCTGACGCGCTCCTTGCACAGGCCAAAGCACACGACTACGCCTCGCCTGCCCTTTTTGACCTCACCACTAGACTCCTGCGCCTCAACCCGGAGTACTACACAGTATGGAACGTGCGTCGACGTTGTCTAATCTCTGGCTCATTGTCCAGACCGCCGCCTGGGTCATGGCGCTCGAGGGCGTCGCCGAGTACATCAGTGAACGCCACTACGAAACCGCCTTCCGGAGGCTCCTCGCCCTCGTCCTCGGCTGCGACCCCGCGAGACCCAAGGTCCCAGCCACGTACGAGGAATGGGCGGAATGGTACAACAGTTGATGATGCCGCACATGAGGATAATGTCGGAGCGGCTGCATCTCGCTCTGCGGCAGACCACGACGAGAGTACGAAAATCTTAGAAGACGCCGGGGCAGGGCGAAACTCCAAGAACGTTGCCAACGACGCCTCCGTTCTCCAGTCTGAGCTTGCCTTCACCATCCCGCTCCTCATTGAGTTTCCCAAGTGCTATTGGATCTGGAACCACCGGTCCTACATTCTCTCTCTATGCATCGAGCTGCTTCCCGTCTCGCTAGCTCGCGAGGTGTGGACTGCCGAGCTGGGCCTCGTAACCAAGATGCTCACCAAGGACCGTCGCAACTTCCATGCCTGGTCCTACCGGCGCCGCGTAGTAGCCCGCCTCGAGAGTGACGTGCTCGACGGTAAAAGCATGGCGGAGCAAGAATTCATGTACACGACCAAGATGGTCAACCAGGACTTGAGCAACTTTTCGGCCTGGCACAACCGCTCTCAACTTGCTCCGCGGGTGCTGGATGAACGGAAAGCTGACCATGTCGCGCGCAAGGTGTTTATGGAAGCCGAACTCAACCTGGCAAGGGAGGCACTGAATGTCGGCCCCGACGACCAGAGCCTCTGGTACTACCACCAGTTCCTCATGTCGCAAATACTGCCGGAGTACAAATATGGCGCCAGATCCTGGTCACGTATAGCGCCTGACCTCACGCTGGAGGAGCGCACTGATTACGTAAAACGCGAAATTGAAGAGATCCGGGATCTGTTGGAGGATTACAAAGATGTGAAATGGATATACGAGGCCTTGCTAGAGTACAGCATAGCGTTGGAAGGCATGTGCAAGGACAAAGGGACGACCAGACCGAAACAGGAATTGACCGAGGAGGCCCAAACCTGGCTTGAGACGTTGAGGCAATTAGACCCGTTGAGGAAAGGAAGATGGGATGATTTTGCACAGACCGACTGATATTTGGCGCCGGACCTTATCTGTATTGCGTCTGAGACAGGCGTGCAAGTTACGATATATGGCTGATGCTGCCATTATAAACTGATACTTCCGTTGCATTTCCCCTTGACTAGGCTAGCATTCTCGCCAACCAAGCCGTCAAAGTAGGCCAACAAAGTCTCTACGGGTAGCATGCTGATCAGCCCGAGGCTTGGGTTACTTGACTTGAGTGTCTTGCCGCCAAAGAGAACTCGGACGTAGAAGCCACCTTGACCCTCGGCCCAGCGCAATTGTCGGCTCGTTGGTGGAACACGTGAATCACTGCTCCTGTCCGTCCTTTTGTACAACTCAAAGATGATCTCACTGCCCATACCGGGCCATACCATCTCCTCAATCTGCAGCACACTTAGAAGACGGCTGATGCTGCCGTCATGGGCCACATTGTGGAAGTAGAGAATATCGTTCGTCCCTGAAATGACACTTCTCATATGTGCGGCGAGCTCCGCGATCCAGACGCCGTAGGAGCTGACACTGGCAGCCAGCGAGACGGGTGCGTCGCGGTAGATCTGGCTATACTCCCACTGACCAAGCCGGTAGACCTCGTGGGCCTGCTCCTGGGTGACGCAGGATCCAGAGGTCACGTTGCATGGAAGAGCCTTGGCATGGCACTGCCGAGCCGACAGGTTATCGTAGTAATGGTCAAAGCTGGCATGGAAGCCGGAGTCCGAGGCTGGGACCCCAGAAATGGCATCCAACGCAGCGTACAGGCCTGCCGCAGCGGTGAGGTGCTCAGCCCATGCTGCGTTGGCGGACGACTTGATGTCGGAGAACAGAGTGCTACCCACTGTGCAAGCGTAGGCAGGTTCTAGGGAGTCGACGGCGCTCGCTTGAACGAGGAGCGGGATCGAGGATGAGGTCCCCCACGTCCCGGCAATGAGCATACCAGCTACTTGAGACGTGATCTGATTCGTTGTGACGCGGTACCGTACTTTGCTTTGCCAGTCCGAGTCCTTGCCTGGTAAAAATTTAAGAAGGTCGTGATAGACGCCGTACAAGTCGGCGCCATGAGTCCAGGAGTCATCGAGCCCAGTCGATGTGATCTGGGGAAATTGACATGACCCAATCCAACCGGATTGCACGAAAGGGTTGATGTCTGATGTGTAGCCATCCCAGAATGTCCGAGCAGAGGCTCCCCAGGCGCTTCCTGGGAGCAAACGTTGACCAAAGAAGAAGAGCCCTTGGTCATCGCAGTCCCAGTGATACGGTTCAACTGGGAAAGCATTGCTGGCGTACGGCGTCCTCTTGTGGTGCCTTTGAATCTGCCGTTTGACTTAGTGGCCTGGGGGAGGGAGAAGGTCGAGGGGCACCTGTGCATCAACTCACCACCTCAACGTATCTCAGCTCGAACTCATCGCTGGGCTTCACGTATTCTCTTGTCCGCACATGGGGCATATTGCACCAATTGTACGTGCCATATTGACCCTCTGGCGTCTCCGATGAATTGAAGATGAAGCCATATATGCCTTCGCTGCTCAGTGCCGTGGTCAGGTTGTTGATGTCAGTCTGAGCCGGAGCATGCCATCCAAGGTCAACCACATCGGCAGCTGCTTTCGCTGCGGCCGGGAACAGCAGGGTCAGAAAGCTGGGGGTATAGGGAGAAAAAGGCAACATTCTTTGAGAGAAGTTAAAGATCAAGAGCAGAGCGATGCCCAAGAGGGCGAAAGCCCTGACTGCCCATCTTTGAATGAGACTGGCCATGCATACTGTTTTCTCCGTCGTCTCGGGGCTCTCCACGTGGGCCTACTGCTTAGGTTAATTGACCGCTGCGGGTGTACCTTGTTTCTGCTCCAGGTGGTAGCGGGTTTCCTATGGACCTCTTATGGCAGGATAAGGGGCCTGTGGCGGGCGCAAATGTCAACGTAGTCCTTCCCATCTGGCTGGTGGTGCATTCGCGTGAATGCATATCTCCGTCACGCACGTTCTGAGAAGAGACACGCCGAGTGGTCGGTTTCCCGCTAAGTTACAGCCCGGCTGGGTTGCACTCCCCAGAGTACCTAGGTAGGGTGGCGGGCAGCCATGCCCCGCAGTTGATAGCACCCCCATCCCAGACATGTGCCAGCTTGGACGGTCGAGTTGGGTTGGGTGCAACATGGGTGACCGACGCTAAACGCCATTGGCCGCCACAGCTGTTGGTAATCAACGTCGCCGTCGACGAAAAGAAGAAAGATGGCTGCCGGGATACACGCATAGTCACTCACGACGTCTACCTACCGAGGCACCTAAGGTCAGCGGAGGAATTGGGTTGGTCAATTCAAGGTCTCATATCTTGCGATACGACACCAGACCGGATTGTATCTACGATGCTGTGACGTCGACGTGGGCGAACGCAGTCGGGTCCTTAACGACCGACCTAGGTAGTATCATATCAACAAAGAAAGAGAGCGGCAATACAGCCCACCCCACAGCAACCACCGATACACGTCGGGCAGTCTCCACCAAAGAGTTCTGGTCACAGGGGTTTTGCGCTGCTAGGTGCTTGCGGTGCGTTCGGAACTTCATCTATAGTCGATAAGCGCTCACGCTATGCTATGGCTACAGCGTCACTATCGCGCATGGCCGAGCTCCATTAGTCAAGTCCGGCAGGGCCATCATGGATGGTTTCGAGCGACCAGCAGCGCGATCTACACGGCTCCTTGATCGGAGGCGATTTCATCGTCTGCCACGCGCAGGAGGCAGAGTAGCAGTGTGTCCATGGAAGTACCCGCGATCAGACATGAGCATGACCCGGACGGTCATACGTTGCTCACTGCATGCTTTGGGGAGGAAGGCACAATGGAGCCCGAAACGCCGGCCGGTAGCTGTCCACCTCAAATACCAATGCCATTCTGCTCTCAAACAAAAAATGATAATGCGCTTGTCAGGTCACCGTCAGACTGACCAGCACGGGACTGAGTTGCCTTCTCCGCGGCCTACCGCTAACGTGCAGTGCTTTCGATCGGGTATGCCGACCAGCGGCACATCGCAAGATTAAGTTCTTGACCTTTGGCAAGCTACCACCGAACTCCAGGCCCTCACAGCACTTTCGAATCGTACACGTCGAGATCGACCTTCAGTCAGGCACCAAATCCACAGCCCGCGATGTCTGTCTCTACAGCCATTCAGATCTATCGTCTGCTGGCGTGTATCTTGCTCTCCGGATATGCCGTGGGAACTGGAATCAAGGAGGCAGCAGCTGCGCTCAATGGCTTGATGCTTGCCTACGACGACTCCACTGGGCTATGGGATTTGAGCGACCCCGACGCCGCGTGGTGGCAGAGCAGTGTCGCTCTTCAGGCAACTTTGGACTTCATGACCGCGAGTGGTACGCGTGAACACTTGCCGTATGCCAACTATACCATCAACATGCAGCGTGCGCCACTGGCGTGGTGGCCGCAAGGGGGAGGAGACTTCCGTGCCGAGAGCACCGACGATACTGGCTGGTGGGCCTTGGCTATGACCAGCATGTACACATTGACTGGCGAACGGTCGTTCCTGGACATCGCCTTGGAGGACGAGGCTTATATGGCCCAGTACTGGACCCTCTCTGAGTGCAATGGGGGGCTAATCTGGCGAATTCAAGATGTGTCCTACAAGGCTGCCATAAGCAACGAGCTGTACATCGAACTAACCGCGACATTACACAATATGATCCCCTGGGATACCACGTCCCTCAACAGAAGTCTGGATGCGTGGGACTGGTTCAAGGATAGCGGCATGATCAACAGTGGTTGGCTGATCAATGATGGTTTAACGAAGGCTGCGAACGATTCCTGCATCAATAACAATGCTCCCACCTGGACATACAATCAGGGAGTCGTTCTCGATGGCTTGGTTCAGCTCTATCTTGCGACAGGAGATGCCCAATTCCTTATCTTCGGGCGCAAAATCGCTGGTGCTGTGCTGGCAAGTGCCCAGCTTTCCCCGGGGGGCATTCTGACGGAGCCATGTCCACTCGAAGGCTGTCCCGATGGAAATGCGGCGTCGTTCAAAGGACTCTTCATCAGAAATCTTGCGAAACTCAATGCTCACCTCCCCGATAGGCCCTACAGCCTCTTTCTCTCAACTAATGCCAACACAATGTACGTCAACGCCCGCTCAAGCAGCGCTGGCGACACAGATCTATACGGCATGCTTTGGCAGGGTCCCTTTGATAAAACTTCCATCGGAAGGCAACAGAGCGCCGTCATGTTGCTCGTAGCAGCGCTTGGTGTGTAGTTTCTGCCGCTCAGATCTTCGCTTTGGACCGAAGAGGTAACACTGTCCTTTTCATATGGACAAACAACGGAGGCGGGTGGCCGAGTCGAAGGAACGTGCACATTCTCACTCTGCTTACTACAAGTCTAAAACTACACATCCAGATTATCCGGTCTTTGGCCCTCCTTATGTGATGTCCACCTGAATCGTGCCCGAGATGTTCGCTCTTGTCCATTGCGTTGCTCTGGTTCTGTCTGCCTTCGCCTGACCCCTCCTGACCCCTCTCCAGATTCGACACCAGTCTGACTTAAAGCTGCCGCAACTCGACTAAATCCTTTGAGTATGGGCCTGGTAAGATATCTGTACCAGTCTCGATCCCTGAAAGCCACCGAAATTGAGAATAAGATGATGATTGCGGGTAGCCCGACTTGGAGATGAGTAAGCTATAGCACCTGGGGTACAGCTGAAGACTCGCATATAAGCAATCTGTTGATTGAGTGAAATCCAACCCGAACCCCATCGTTTCATTCGTAGCCGCCTTGGCCTCCATATTTGAAGCTTACTGTTGCTTCAGAGTAAGCAGGCCCTCCAACTATTGCAACGTTAGCCGTGCCTCATTGATATGAAACTCCGATGCAGCATTAAGAGTTCTATTTTCTTGATCCTCGATGCGGATGTGCTCAAAGTTGAGACAACTAACACACATGCTATCTATCGAGTCTTGGAGGTCCTGGATCTCGGCCTGACGATTCTCAATCAGATTGACAAGGAACTGAGCCTCATGCACCGTTTCCGATTGGGAAAAGTCTTTCTCTTCTACCACTCTAGGTAGTTAACATCAACTGAGTGTTGCCCCTGATTGATCGAGCCTTGACCCAGTACCGGAGAGAAACCGACTTCGGTGCCTCTCATTGTTCTTGCTGCATGGAGGTGCTCTATATATCTATTCAAGTCCTTGAAAACCTCGTATTTCTCGTTGTGCACTCTTCATCATTTTGAGCTTTTCGAATATATCCTGCGCCTCCTCCAGAAGTGTACCTTCCCGATTGATATCGAGGTATTGATGATGAATGCTGTCGCCGCCCGAAATCCACATGGCACGCGACAGTATGCGTGTCCTTTTCCAAAGGTTTCTGTATGCCTTCTTTGTCTTTTCGGTCTGTTCGCCCAGAATTAGGTCTCCCCATACTGATGAGGTTTCATAACTGACAACGCTGCCAACCTCCTCCTCCAAAACGTCCATCACCTCAGGCCTTTGGTCCAAAGGCACTGTTCTATCAAAGAGCATCCGCGAACACTGATCAATGATTATCAGTGCTGTTAGCGCTAGCCCATCCCGCCAAAACCTGGGCTTGTTTATAGAGAGGTGAGTAATGAGCTGGCTTTTTGTAGGATATTTTTAACGCTGCTAAGTCGGGTGCATTCTCCCTTTTGTCTTTCAGTAGCTGTTTCCTGGTAGCCAGAGCTGTGTTGGTCACGTGGCCAACGGTGATGTCCATGGTTATCCAGGGAACCGCACTCCAATCTTGGGGAGAGTTTAATGTCTACCATTTTGCAAAGAGGAGGAACCATGCAGTGAAGAGAAACTTGAGTTGGAACTACCAACATCACCTACCCACCGAGCTTTAATAATGGGAGGGATCCTGGCATGTTCCTCACTGGGATTACACCAATGCGAAGCGGCTGAAAAGGCCATCTGTTGCGATGTGTTATGCTCTCCATGTCTCGGCTTGTTCTGCAACGGCAGCAATGGACATTTGCAAACGTCTATTATCTGCCTCGGTTCGGCCCCCAGAAAGCCTTTTATGGTAGCACTGAAAGATCCTACTTGGTGGCGGCCAATGACACAACTCTAATTACATATCTCACGGAACATGGAGGGAAGCCACACCAATAATTTACCTGGTACGGCAAGCATGCGGTTGGATGGGCTTGTGAGTTTCTGACACACTTTGTGGAATTTGTTGCCGACTTCTATGGCTCACGATCGTAAATCACCACCTTCTAACCCAGGTCGACAGCATCTGGATGAGCCCGAGTCGCCATAATGGTTTGCAACGCTTTATAACAACGAATACTGAGGACTTAGCTTATCGAATTGGCATAAAACAACCAGGGAATGGGGCAAGGAGCTTGTAAACAGCAATGGCTCTCATGTGGTGCTCGTCGGCTTATGTGAAGCTTTACGGCAATTCAAGATGACCGATGAGCAACTTGGATGGTGTCACATTTGGTGGCCAAGTGTTCCTTTCCTGTTATGGCCGTGGGGAGACCAGGCTGATCTCGGCTTTAATATGAGATGAGGTCATCCTGGCCCAGTTTGGCTGCTCCACAGAGCGCCCACAGATGAAAGGAGATGAAGGCAAACAATTGACCTCGCAGCGGAAGCATCCATGCCAACTCGACCAGATGATATTGCCTTGACTACACACCAACTCTGTTTCGCACTGTCCCGCCTCACTTTGGCGCTCGATCAAGGCTTGCGAGGCACTCCGGCAATTCTATCGCGGCCGCGCGCTAATCTGGATGGTCCGCGAAGCTAGCAGTTGCGGAAGTGATGCGGAGATTCGGCGAAGAGAGGAAAAAACATGCAACTAGGTCCACTCTTGACCCATAATATGCTGCTTGCATAATGCGGGAAAGAATTCTCCCTGTATGATGCTGATTCTAGAAGACGGAATATTGAGGACCTGCGCTAGACTCCATTTGTAAGCTACTGTATATAAAGTTCGATTCTCCCGCAACGTTATTATTATAAGTAGCCTATACGATTTCTGCAGTCGAATTCCACCTACAACTTCAACAAGTACAATCTTTTAGGTTTCCCTGCTTCATAGCCCTCTCGATCGCCATGTCGCCGGAAATCATCGACAACAAGGCTGCCAGCGGCATCTCGTACTTCACACCGGCCCAAGAACCGGCTTCGGGCGCTCAGCTTAGTGGCTCGACAAAACTGTTTACTCCTCTCACAATCCGTGGTGTCACATTCCAGAACCGCCTCTTCCTTCCCCCGTTGTGTCAGTACTCTGCCAAGAATGGGTATGCCAACGATTGGCACCTTACGCATCTCGGCGGCATTATCCAGCGAGGCCCAGGTCTCACCATCATGGAGGCAACAGCGGTGCAGCCACACGGTCGCATCACGCCCCAAGATCTGGGCCTCTGGGAGGACGGCCAGATCGAGCCATTGGAGCGCATCACCGAGTTCGCCCATGGCCAGAACCAGAAGATTGCAATCCAGCTGGCCCATGCCGGCCGTAAAGCTAGCTGCGTTGCGCCATGGCTGAGCGCCAACGCTGTTGCTGTCAAGGAGGTCGGCGGCTGGCCCGACGAGATTGTTGCCCCGTCGGCTATCCCACAAGATGCAGTCAACCCTGTGCCTAAGGCCATGACCCAGCAGGATATCGAGACGTTCAAGAGAGACTTCGTGGAGTCCGCCAAAAGGGCCGTCAAGGCGGGTTTTGATGTCATTGAAATCCACTCTGCTCACGGATACTTGCTGCACTCCTTCTTGAGCCCTGTCAGCAATAAGCGAACCGATAACTACGGTGGCAGCTTTGAGAACAGAACTCGACTACTTCTAGAAGTCGCCGAAGATGTCCGCGCAGCGATCCCCAATGACATGCCCCTGTTCGTCCGCGTCAGTGCTACCGACTGGTTCGAATTCGACGCCAACTCGCAGGCCGAGTTCCCCGAGAGTTGGACGGTTGCTCAATCTACACAGCTTGCCTCGCTGCTGGCAGACAGAGGAGTTGATCTGCTCGACGTTAGCTCGGGCGGTGTACATGCCAAGTCAGCAACCGCAATCAAGTCAGGCCCGGCCTACCAAGCACCTTTCGCTCGGGATATCAAGAAGGCTGTTGGCGAAAAGATTCAGGTGTCAGCTGTTGGTGGTATCAAGACAGGAACCTTGGCTGAGGAAGTTCTGCAGTCAGGTATCGATGTCGTCATGGCCGGCCGCTGGTTCCAGAAGAACCCTGGCTTGGCATATGCCTTTGCTGATGAGCTCGGTGTGGATGTCAAGATGGCCAACCAGATTGGATGGGGATTTGGCGGACGCGGTAACAGAGGCAACAACGGCCGTCTATAAAAACCGGCCCGAAGCCTAAGTGGCGAAGCCATTGATAATACTGTTGTTGTAGCATAGCATAGCGGTCTGTACTTTATAATGCGTTAGACTTGCGTAAACCTCTCGCCCTGATTCCACCATTATCATAGGACGAAGGTTATGGCTTCTTGAGTATGTGCACTGAGTATGTGCACTGGGCCAGCTGCCTGTATACGCGCTGATATAGCTGCAAGGCTTGTGTCACACTGCACCAGTGAATGCTTGACAAGGCTACAATGATTGGATTAGCTGGATTCGACCGCTGCTTGCTTTAAAGTGGAGCCTCGGCCCCTATCTTGAAGGCCGCACTTCCTTCTGAAGAGGTGCCTCTATCTTCTTGGTTAGGTGAAAACGTACTTAAGCTCACAATTAAACCGCTCTATGTTAATACTTGCCCGAGGCCGACGGTACGGTGCGGCCCATTTCTGCCGAAAGTTGACTGCTGCATTTTCGAGGATTGTGCAGTCCATCACTGTGAGCATTTATCTTAGCAGTCCTGCATTGATGGGCAAGGCTATTTTTAGAACACCTAATTATCCTGAGCTGTTTAGCCGTGGTAACACGCAGAGGCTCGTCGCAACCGTGCTACGTGCTATCGTCTACCTCTATGGCGAGTCATATACTGTATGCACTTGGGATACCTAGGTCAAGACCCCCAGACATGCACAAACGCGACCCGCTGCAACGTTGAGTAGCTCTGCGCTCTCACGAGAGGCGCTCCTACGGCGCTGGGAAGTGGCAGCAGGATGGACGCTAAGGCTAACAGTTTTACACTTGGAGCTTAATCTATGGGTGTCAAATGCCACCAACGAGCCGCTATGCCCTTCCTAGGCGTCTAGTCGTCGCTAAGACTGGCCAGCAAACAGTCCGTCCGTGTCATCTCCAGGCCTAGGCACGACGCTGCGCCCCCTTGGCATGGTTAGAACCAGGAGGCGAACATCGCGAAAATTTCCGTCCTCGCTTCCTAGTCCTGTTCCTTCGCTTGTCATGTTGTTGCCTAAATATGTTGCGCTCCTATTTACGTTTCTCTGCAACTGACCCTTTATTACTCCATCTTTAACTATATTATCCCTTTGTCACTCGCGGTCTCATTACGTGTCCCGCGTATTGCCGCTATCTATCAATTTGACGGTAAACCTTGTGATCTGTACACAGCACTGTCGGAAAGGTTATTCTTGCATTGACGCTCACTCTCTGGTTCGATCACACATTTCGGCAATCAAGAGGCAAATCAGTGCCAGTTAAATTTTGAATCGCCGACAGTTCTGCCAGAAAGCAGCATGACGGGTTCAAGGGTTGGCGAACCGACGCCAGGTACCGCGGGCGTTGTTTCTCCTGCTGGGCAACAACGTCCGGCGCCTCCCGCTACAGCCCCCTATCCGGCACATCAATATTCCCAGCCCGGATACGCTCCTCGAATGCGCATAGTACCTTTCAGCAAAGCGTGGCACTGGACCAAGATAGCAATACGAGCTTTTTCTCTGGTCTCCTGCGTCATCTTGATAGGCTTGTCAGGCGGCCTTGCTGCCCATCGATCTTACAGCGGCTTCTCTCTAAGCTTTTTGTGGATCATCCCTTTCGCCGTCTTCACCGCAGCGTGGAACATCGCCGAATTCATCACTATCGGAGCTTGCGGAAAGCGTCACGGGAGCGACGCTCGTCGAGGCATTCATCCAGGAGCCCACGTGGGCGTGGATCTTATCATCTGGCTTGTGGGCATATTCAGTGTCTTCGTCTCTGCAGTCTCCAGCGTCAGCGCCCAAAGGCAATTGAGGACTTGCCAGGAATACTTGGCCGAAAAAGATAGTGACAGCTATCGCTACTACTACCAGGACTATTGCGAAGGTAGCTACGAGGACCTGAAGACTGGCATCACGATACCCATGCTTCGTGCCATTACAGCCTTCCTTGCCTTTGTAACGTAAGCTCCCCTCTTCCAGCCAAAGTCTGATGGGAAACTAATCTCGACCAGGCTTATTCACTTCGTCCTGTTCGTCCGTGCATGTGTTGAGACTAATCAACGCAATCATACAAGAGCGAATGTCATGATGGTGCCTCCCCAGGCATATTATGGAGCCCCTGTCAACACTATACCGTTTGGTAGCGCCTATCCAATGGCGCCCCCTCAGGCTCATTCAACCGTCGCGCAAGCCGGTCCTTTGGGCGAAAAGTCTACGGTACCGCACTCACAAAACGACCACTCCAACTTAGCCGGATTCTATGCTCCAGCTGGCCCGGTGGGATCAACTCAGCAGCATCCACAGACAGAAACGAGAAACATGCAATCCGGTAGCAACGTCTAGATACGATCAATTTTCTGAAGGCATCATACTATTCGATCCGACTCGTTTAGTTCAGAGTTTCATGTGGATTATCCAGAATGCCCTGGAGCGTGGTACGCAAGCGAGCGAGTTTGATTCTGCATATCCGTCTACGAAGCCCTGACCAATAATTGGAGTCAATGAGTCGTTTGAACCATTTGCGTTCTCACCAATCGTCAAGTCAGCCATTTTGAAACATTTGCAGGAGCAGATGGCAGCAGAGAGGATCGTTTTGGTGCACTGCGTCACCCATGACGGACGCGTTGTTTTGGGCCATCGTGTCAGTCTTTGACCACGTGGTGGAAAGGCCGCGGGATAGTGCCGAGGATTTCTCTTGCATAAAACTTTCATGATACCCAGGCTTAAGAATAGCACACTTTAATGTAATCGTAATGAACCGACATGACTTTATAACTGTACCCCTATTGCTTTATTGTTGATGGCCCGCAGTGCGAGCGATTGAAACATCTGACTGCGGCTCTCAGAAGTGACCACTGTACGCATGCTGGACACCTGAACAAGTCATCAGTGCCCAAAGCCTTAGTTCTAATGCTCTAGGCAAGCGTACGGGTTGTTAGAGGACGGTCTGAGGCTGCTGTCGTTATGACACCAATCCAGCATCCAAGAAAGAAAAAGAAAAAGAAAAGAGAAAAGAAAAGAAAGGAGTTCCCTGGTCGGATGCCCGGTTGACGTGTAACTTCTGACATATGGTTAAAGCCCACTAGACCGAGGTAGGTAATAATACATGATCCACTGTATTTCATTGAGGTTAACGGTCGATCGCATTCAGGCTACCATTATTCCGCTGGGATACAAGAAAGCGTTAAAAAGGTACTTGTCATGCCCCGACTTTTTTCATTTCCCAGCTACATTAACGCTGAAGACTCAAACCTGCTTCGGCCAATAGAAGGCCATGGACTGAGAACCGAAGGATGCACGTTGTAACGGCGCTAGCTCCTTTGAACTCAAAACAGATTCCTTCGCTACGAGGTCCATTGCATGCTCCTTAAGTTGAGCATCATCTCATCTGGTTCGAATACGGAAGGAGGAAAATTAGTTCTCGTCAAAGACATGAATCATTCTGCTGCCTAGTGTAATACTTGTTTCCCCAAACTAACAGCGGTGTGTGTTAGGCGAAAACAGTTGGGAGAGAAAAGAAAAGAATGTGTGGGCTGAAGGCATCTAACTTTCCGTTTGTAGCTCAAGATTTATCTCTTACAGGATTAAAGTTAGTGATTCTGCGGCGTTACCAACCCAGTTACATACGCGCCTGGCTGTGGGCTACTCTCCTGGTGATGCGTAAACGTCTTATAGACCATGGCACAGCCTTCAATGATCCACCTGGCTATCAGGGACCTGGTATGACTTTTATGCGGGCTTTCTACATGTCTGGGTGGTTGTTGTGATGGTCAGTGGCACCGACCCCGTACTGCTCACCGTACAAGTGTGCCGGGTACAGGGGCTCGTTATGCAATATTGAAGGTACTTGCAAGCAGATCGGAAGTCCAGTGCAGTACATATTCAAGACTTGAAGGATGCGAAACGCCGAAGTCGATATTGGCTGTGGTGACGAAAGGGAGACGGAAATTCGTCGCAATGGAAGTGTTAACAATAATCATCGACAGCAATCAACATCGAAGTCCAGTATCAAAGAAATATGCCACGGCCTGCAAAATAAACCATGGTACTCAACTCTCACGTGGTGCAATCATATGTGATGCTACTAACATTAATTCACATTGCCTTTTCAAGCCAACATAAGAGGATTTCAATTAGTGGTACTACACAGCGGGCCATCGACAAGCAACGATGCAAGGCTTGCTACGAGCTCCCTCGTTTCTTTATTGGCTGGGAGCCAATCACTGCGTCTCTTCAGCCCACCTTTAACTACATATTGACAGTGGGCATATCGACGTGTCTCATCAAAGAAACTATATAATAGCAGTGACGTTAGTTTCTATACCCCAGGCGCATGTTATAAAAATGACAACTGTAATTGATACCTATTCCTGTGACCAGAAACTTTTTAGTTAGTCATCATGTGGGAACTCCTCTCAAACGGAGGCATTTCGGTTGAATTGTCATTTAAGTCCGTGGCCAATATCCGCAGCACTAGCGAGTCTGACTCCTTCCGTTTCAGACTTCCATTGTCCGACACTCCGAGTAAGAACACTTTCAAAACATCAGATTCTCCGTATATTTGACCTTGTACCTGTCCATCATATGCGTTTGAGGAGCATGGCCATGCTCTTGGCCTGTTTAGTAATGTTGGTTACCCAATTGCTTGGCCACGAGCACCCACTGGGATAAAGTCGATCGTCGACGCAGATCAGCGACCTATCGCTCGGCGCTGGCGAGCTACATAAGTCAGATCTCCACCGCTGTGTCTGATGCCTGAATCGTATCATAATCACGCTTTGGCTTCGAGACATCTATCGGGATCATTCACAGCAGCTCAGACGCAATATTTGTACCGCAGCCATCTGCATCACAACTAACTCAACATTCGTCATCCCCGAAAACCGCCAAGTCAGCCAGTTCTTCCAAGCTCCTAGTTGTTTTTTCCTATCGAGCTCAACCCCAGCTTCTGCCGACTAGTAGCCAATGGGTTTTCCGCATTGAAGCGAGCCAAGCCCAGCTAGTGCATTTCCAGGTCCCTTGGAAGCCACTCACGCCCAAATTCCATCAGAACCACCTCGGAGGCATTGGCGAAGCAACCCTTCTCAGGTCTCTAGGGAATACAGCGACCTCAGGTCTCGTTGGCAAGTCTGCACAAGCTTCGCCATGCACATCCAGGCAATATTACTTGCATTGATGATAACGACCTTACGAGGCGTCTTCGTAAGACAACACCCCGCAATTCTGAAATATGGGTGCGCACATACTAAAATATACGTAGTGTCAAACGACGGCCAATACGGGCAGTATAACAACAGAAACGATCATTATTTCTTTCGTGAATAATGCTTCCTCGGCTGCGACTGTGACGCGAACAGGTACGTTGACTACCACGACGACTGTGAACGGACGATCGGGAGCCACGGGCAGTATACCGGGGCGGACAAATTCTACTGGTGCTGCCGGTGCTTCCGGAACAGGAGGCCTGCGACCCACGACCACTCTGTTCCCCGTTCAAGGTACTGCGCCGACGCAAAGACACAGTGTTGGAAAAACGTATCTGCTAAGTGGACTTTTGGCGTACATGTTGCTGTTATGAGGTAGTACCAAGACTGAAGATAATCAGGGCTGGTGTCCCTCTTGAATGATCAACACAGAACTGGTAAACGTGAATACAAACTTCGAAATATCACTTCAGCAAAGACCGAGAGTATGTATTGGTTGAAATAGTACTTATTAGCGTGACAAAGTCGGCACACCTTGGTCCCGGACAATAACCACAGAACTCACCATTTACGAAGACGGCTCGACTGGCTAACGATAATGCAAGAAGAATGCGCGTGCCTAAAAAAACGCATACGTCCGGCTCATTTTCGCTTCTTTTCAATCAGACTTGTATGATAGGTAGCTGTTATGAACGTTCTGGATGGGGAATGTCTGGGTCTTGGTTAGTTGGATAATTTATGCCTAAGCGACCATTGAGCATCACGACCTGAGGAACTATCACTCTTGGTCAGCATCTTGGTAAGCCTGTGATACCTCTAACTAGTTTGACCGAATCTGCAATGCAGTCGAAATATATAGTATATAGTCTTGGCCCTCATTGGTGGCCTTCTCGTTGCGGTTACCACGTCGATAACACACGCGTCCTTATATGAGATCGTAACAGCCACGGTGTGCCATGATCAAGGCCAAGGCCAACGTCTACTTAACTGCATGTAACGGGTTGTTCAGGATGAGTTGTCTTGAATACATCATATCAACAAATAGACTTTAACTTGGGGGGGCTAAATGGTTTCACTTCCTCAAAAGATCATTGCCATTTTAGTAGCTTGTGTGGCAGTGGCTGCTCTTCCCAGGAGAAAGACGCCGACATGCACTTCTGTTGCAGAACGTGTGCCTTGGACAAGTCTCACCTACGATGAGAAGACAGCTTATATCAATGCAGAGCTTTGTTTGATGAATGCCCCATTAAAGACAAACATCCCTGGCGTTGTAACGGGTTGGGATACCTGCAGTGTCCTCATGTGCACCAAACGGCATATACTCATCGATTGTCGGTTTGCCATGCTCAATCCTTACGCACGCGATTCTGACTCAAGTAGGGAGCCTTCTTGCATTTCCATCGCTACTACTTGACAGTTCACCAGCGAGCCATGCATCATGAACGCGGATACGCTGGCTGCATGGCGTTAGTGTCACCAAGGACCTGGGAGTTGGGTGCCGACGACTACTGACGTGCTCTAGTTACTGGGACGAAGTCAACAAAGTTTCGGAATTGCTTGGATCTGACTTATGGAAGTCTGAGTATTTTAGCGGTGATGGAGAGGGCGGCGATAACTGCATCCAGACCGGACCATATATAAACCTGACACTTCGATGGGAGCTGAATGGTCGAGTTGAAGACCATTGTGTCACCCGACACAACAGTCGGCGCTCAGTCAACGCAGCAGCGCAGACAAGCATTGACCAGTACAATGTAATAGACTCATTCGCTACGGCCTGTAGCTTCTTGGAGGGCAGCCCGCACTCAGCAGGCCACAGCGGCCGTGGGCGAGATTGTACGTACTCCTCCTTGAAATGAAACAGCCATTCTTGTTACTAAGATTGTAACGCGCAGATGTCAGACTCGACTCTCAGTCCAGGTGACCCTTTATTCTGTCTTCACCACTCCTAGCTTGATAGTCTCGTGGGAATGGCACAAACTGGACCCAGAGCACCCCCTGTACGACATGGCGGGCCTTAGCCGTATGTTGCCTAACGACCCTTCAATCGAGAACGCCATCGTTGACTACTTCAACGACAACGGCACAGAAACCACCTTGAGCCATACACCTTACATGGATGCACTGGCTGAGCCGGCACCCAACGTTACAATTTACTGCATTATGGACCTTAACGAGCGAGTCATTTGCTCCGAACACGGGAATGCTTAGCCCAAGACTCCAAAATGACTCTTGGAATACGGTCGAGGTTAGACTGTATATATTGCTTTAGGCAATCATAACCATCTCAAGCTGGTAACTGCAGGTCTGAGGCTAATGCATATACAATGGACACTTTCAAATTGGGCCGACTGGGTAAATGACACCGACCTTATGATTATACATAGCTACGCAACTCTGCAATTGGTAGCTCGTATAATACTTATATAACAGTATAATCAACTTGGAACGATGCTTGTAGGCCTTTTGAACGGTGAGACAAAGGGCTCACCCACCGAGCGAAAACAAATTCTCGCCGGCATACAAATCGCACAAATCGCATAGCAAATTCATGTCATGGTCTATGAGAGCAGTCCAGGGCGGCGGAACTCCGAGCGAAGTAACAGCCCTTGAAGCTTCAAGGGCATATGACCCGATAGGAGAAGGAGCCTGACTTAATGCAAGACGTTTCATGTATCTCTTTGAGTATTGCGTATCGTCTACGACTCTGCGTCCAAATGGCAAGGCCACAGACCCACCGCATTCTTTCGCTTAAGCATAGTTCTTGTAAGGCGTCACGTTTATATCTTCGGAAGAACTTGGCTACATCTATATAAAATTACTATAAAGTTAATGTAGCATAGAGCCTCCTGAGCCGAGATTGCTAAAGCACCTGGAGCCTGACGCATAATTCAGATATGGCTGCGATGAGACTATGCCACTAAACTGGCTTACTCAGCTTGGCTCGAAATCAATAGACTGCCGGCCTTCTTTTTGATGCCATTATCTTAATTACCCTAAGTACACATTCCATGTTAGCCCGGTCCAACATCTCAATGATCACAGTTGAGTAGTGCTTAGCGCGATATGGCCTTTCAAGTTTGCGCCAAGTCGCAACCGGCCCTCTAGAATCCTAGCCGTGAGGTAAGCATGAGCCTTCATAATCCTGGTCGGCTCGGCGGTGCTCGTCTGCATTCTACTGGTTGTCAAAAGTTCTTAAAAGTATCGAATCCGTGGTCTTAGGCATCATGATTGGATAGTAAGGTTTCTTGAGGGCAAGAGTAACAAACGTTAAGGATGCCAATGCGCTGTGAGAAGGGTCAAGACTCAGATCCGTGATAGATCTGGTGGACTCTCCAAGTCCGGGGGTGCAACAACACGAGCTGGGCGATCATCTCAGCCATTACCTGCAACCGAGCGCAAAAGGGAATCACCGCCTCGGACTGTGGAGGTAGTCACCGACTTATGATGACATTTTTTTTTTTCAGAGTCATGCCCACGATGGCGTGAGCTTCTAACGTGGACTAGAGTACCGGCGCAGTTGTGCAACTGTCGATCATCTGCAAGCCAGCACACTCGTGCTGATACGGCAGAGAGCGCTGCCCGCCGATAGGCTGGCTGTGCACGGCCGTCAACAAGGTCTGAACCGATACGTCGCAGCTCCATGCGGGAAGGAAAATAGCCTACAATGGCTCACCCGGTTCTCTTTTGTATAAGCCAGTTTATCTCCTCGGTGGTGGATGCGTGATATTGATAAGCATGAGGTATCAAGCACAGAGTTGGTGCATTCAGACACACCCTAAAGGGCTGAGCGTGACTTCTCATGGGGGACTCGTGACAGCTTTCGCGATAAGAGCGAGATAAAGACAACAGATATCGCCGCTGGAGCTGAATTAGGCGCCCACTTCAGGGAAACACAACAAGCTCTCAGCCCATTGAACCAGATCATATGTTGCAATCCTACGCGGCTAGGTTTGTGGGTGCCCAGTCTGGTCATGCATCCCATGCCTCGAGCTTTGCATCGCATCGCGACACGGAGCAGCGCTAGCTCCACTTGCCAGACCAACAGTGCTGCCCTATCCCCCCGCATCATCGTGCCATGGCCGTGCCATAGCTAGTGGACTTCCCCTTCCCGCGGCGAGTACACACGCCATTGATGGGCCAAGGAAACCCCAGGCCCGCTAGTCACTGGGAGAGCAAAGCCGGAAATGGTCGATGTCTACCTAGTTAAGCGCATTGTAGAAGCTCTAAACCTTGAATGTGGCCATACGTGGTCGTGCTACGTGGGAACGACGGACGCCAGATAGCGCCTGAATCCTTGAACCCTGATCACGCACCGCAGCGCTTCACGTGCTCCGGCGATGTCGCATTTGGGAGTGGCCCGGGGGCTACGTGCACGCCGATGTGAAGGAGTAGACTGCAAAACGCGACGAGAAATGTGACGATGTCGGCCATCTCTATGATAGTTGGTGAACTTGGGGAAGTGACTGCTGATCATGGATCCGAGAACGGCATCCCCGGCATTCGTTGGCGCTGTTGATGGTGGGCCGAAGGTGCATCGGGCGCCATCGGTAGTTGGCAGATCTGCAAGGTTGTGCATGACAGCAGTCCATCCCACACCACACAAGCTCCAGGCTTTGCAGGGCACAAAAAGCTTGGCGGCATGGTGCGAGGTGGTGATGCCGGGGGAAGATTGCCTTGTGCCTGTCCTCAGGTCTCCATCCCCGTCTTTCGTAAAGCGGACGAGCAGATCTGAGGAAGGATTGCCCTGACTTTTGGACTAAGTTTAGCAAGAGGTGTAAGGGCCGTAGGGCGTGCGCCACCGGTTGGATGACAAGTCTACAGTAAGGTAACTTCCGCATCTGACAGTACTTACAGCTATGGGAATTATGACCCAGGCGAACTGTGTATGCATGAGGAATTAACCCGCACTACGGGTGACAACCGAGTGGTTCGAGGTGATTGGACCGGTGCCCGGGTTCGCCATGCCATATTCTTAGTTGATGACTTAAGCATATGATCATTTCCGGTCACCTATAAGACAGCCTGCAGCCCCAATCGTGCCAATCGAGGGAGGGCCGGCCATCCATCCACTATTAATATAGATTTATCCCCACGCTCGTCGCCAAGCGAAGAAAGAGGGAAACAGAACTTACACCCCCGCCAACAGACTCCTCTGTTGTTGCGCTGAAACATTTAGGAACAAAGGGCCCTAGATACTTCTGCAGTGCCCTCCCTGCCGCATTCCAGACTTGCACTGCGGGTACACTCAACCTCCCACCGGACGTATCGTTAATCATACCGAACACAGACCGAACATGGCGAGGTCGTACGCGCGCACATCAGCGACCAGCTCGCCATGCATTGACGACGTTGACGCCATCACGCCATGTCCGCCGAGTGCAAAGCTCTCCAATATGGACACTTCTGTATTCTCTGATGGCATCCGAGAACTGAGGCAATCACGATCGCCATCACCAAGCTCCATCAATGCGTCAATGTCGAACGTGCAAGGGGGCTCATTCGAAAGACGAAGAAACTCGGTCAAGACCTTGGAAGAAGGGACTGAGGGAGACCCAGAGAGACTATGGAAACGAATGTTGGCTTTACAGCAGATCTACGGTTGTTACAGGTCGGCGCGCATGAGCGCGGCGCTGGAGCTCCGGGATACAAGCACCTTACTTCGTAAGTCCCCCTGGAGTACTGTCAGAGTATACTAGCTGGTATCGCGGTGTGTGCGGCTAACACTCCAACTCCAGCCTCGAAAGCTTGCCTAGACCTGATGAATGAGGATATCAGTATGATCCCCGACGATGTGGAGGAAGTTCTGAAAAGGACAACATTTGCCCGACGGCTGTAAGGGGACAGAGACAGCCAGAGATTGTCCTAATTGACTGAGTAAAGGAGTTTGTGGCTTGGCTTGTGCTCAATTGCGGCAAAGCGGAGACTTGGTTGGACATAACTGGCGTTGGGGACCAGGAACACGCCTGCAAATCGGGCCATTGAGATACCCTTGGGGTTCGAATTCGCATGCCTCTAGCCCTGTTTTTATGTAGTGGGTGTACCTTGGCTATTTATATTTGTTTTGGTACGGTGCGAACCACCTGTTGAAGACAATTTTGTATATTTCCATACAATATCGCCGCGTGTCTGGCCACCGCACCATCTGTGAAAGGATGTAATCTTGCAAGTATCTCTTCAGCCTGGCACGCGTGAAGAATGGGGCTGCGATAGGGGCACAGACTTGGGATAAAAATAGCCTTGCTCGGAATGGGGAGTATATCCCGTAAGATGGAAAGGCTTGCCCCAATCTTGTTAGACCGATTAAAGCAATGTGAAGGTGCACCGCGGTATTTCCCTGCAAACAGCAGCCATGTGCAAGCCTCTTCTTGTGAATGTGCAGATCGAATACTGGCCAGTGCGGGTTGGTAGAACGAGTGCCTCAGGACGATGCATTCGCAAGACTTCTCAGGGCATTCTCGAAGACTTTTGCACACTGGTCACGATACTGCACGGCAAGTTGCTGGTTGCCATTCAAGCCTTCCCGTGGAACCTCGATTTCGTCCAGCGTGTCCATATCGAAAGCAAGTTTCGAGCCTAGTGCCTGGATGATCTTGTCATGAATGGCCCTGGGCATCTGCCCGGCCATCAGATCATCCATGCGAAGGTCCTCGACTTCGTCAGCATTGGACGTTGAGGTGATAGCATCGTACAGAGTCGACACCAAAGAGTCTTGGATGCGCGAGAACTCAGGGACAACATCAACACCGGGTGAAGTAAGACGTCGCGACTTGCCGACAACAGAGCTGGGGTCACTCATTGGCCGAAGTGATACAATGTGAGTTGCCGATAGATCATCGTCCCCGGCAGGCCTCGTCTTGATGTGGACGTAATCGTTATGGAGGTCTTCACTTTCTGGTAGTATGAAACCGTAACCCAGCAATAGTTCGGCATTGGTCTTCATTCCGTAGTTCTAGAATGGATGGCAACGTAAGCACAAGTCTCAAATTCCAGTCGGAAGCTACAATCCTGACCAACTCACATTAAACACCTGTTGGCCTGGTGCATACGCTTCACCGCATTGCAGTGATATCAGCTGGGACTGATGATCGGCCCTCCAAGAGGAGTTCGCCCTCGGTGAATGGTTTCCTAGATCATAAAGAGGTAAAAGGACTGAGAAATCATCGATGGCGCAGGGAAGGTCAAGCGACTCGGCTTCAGGGACGACTAGTGAAGGCCGAAAGCTTCTGCTCGTGAAGATCCCGTAAGCCCAAAGATAAAGTGGCCTGGTATACGTCGCACGCGAACCATCCGGCAAGTGCTTCATAGCGTCCTTGTATTCCTCCTTGAGGGTGCTTTTGATCTCCTTGATGGCAACATATGCATTTGTACCCTGAAGAAAATCGACATCATCCTGGCTTCATGTCAGAGCGACAGCTCAAGTGCCAGATTCTATCATGTCTCTCACCTCGGGCCATAGCGCCGGCAACATGCCGCCGATGTGCTCTGGTTGCGGAAGAGTACGGATGTACGGCCACCATTCTGATTTTGAACCCAGGAGATATTGCTGGCTGCATAGCCGCCAGTCAGTGGCATATTCCAACATGTCCAAGGAGATATATATGGGTTCAACCTACATCAAAACAAAGCGGCCCACGACATGAGCAGGTACAGTCTTCAAGAAGTCGGTTGGAAAAAAATCGACCGCCTTGAGGCTATTGGAACGGAAACCCAGAATGTCAGGGTGGCCGTTTATAGCGTTCAGGTAGGATAGGGTTTTGGATACTGGCAGGGCCACAATGACGTCGCCTCTTTGGACCTGTTCGGTGCCGTGAGCAACGCGGTGCACGGAGGAATGATGAGCGGGCTCAACAACGATGGCCACAGTGGGCAGAACTGTCGGAAAGTGCGTCTCGGCTTCCGGTACGGATTGGAGGGTCGGCACTCACCGTGTCCTTGGCGCGGAACGAGCCTCGCATGCCATCCATCTGAGCTATCTCGACTGCGGGATGCAGGCTGCCTCCGCCTTCCTCGACCCATTGGACCAGCGCAGCATAGCGTTCGGATGAGGTCGTCATGCTCAAGTTGAAATACACTGTATGAAAGTTGAGCGAGTGCACCGCACGACGTGTCTCTCGTAACTGAGCCCGGATTGGCAGGTTTTGGGAAGAAGATACCTACTGCTGGCTTGGGGCTAACTTGAGGGTACTAAACCTGACTGATGAGGCGGCAGCAGCATTGGATGGGCGGTAGTGCATTTGTGGGACGGGGCCGAGCCGCGCACTGAATTAGTGGGCGGCCACCCCACTAATGAACGAATGGTGGCCCGATGCCACGGTAAGCCATTCTTCAGCGAGTTGGAACAGCTACAAGGACGGTCTAGAGATTTAGGTATTATACTGCATCCCGTAAAAAGACCTGAGTCGTGAGCACTCAAATAGCCATTACACTGGCAACCCGGGGCTTGCAAGGCCTGTGACTGTGAGAACAAGCATATCTTGGACCACATACGTCAGTCGTTCACCTTATCCAAATACACGCGTCTGAACGACAGCCAACGCACGCCGAAGTAACGCAACCATGATCGGAATCCGCTAGAATCGCTTTATCTTTCTCGTTTTCGATAATGCTCGTCCTGAAGCATGGCCGATGTGATTCGGCAGTGGTCGGCTGTAGCCGTGAGTTGTTGTGTTGTGATCCGGTCGGGACTGGAACTGAGGGCGAGATCCACTTCCTGCTCTTCCATTCGAACCGTGGCACTCGCTCATGTAGTCGCCAAAAACGGTAGGTGTCTACCCCTTGTACTCGGAGCTAGAAGAATATCTGTGAATTTAGAGTGGTATCTCGCAAAAGTATCGTTTTGTAATGCTAGAGAAAGTCTAGCTCTAAAGGTCCCGACCAGCTGTAGTTCATCTCCGAGCCGTCGCCACCTACAATTCCAGGGACGCTAGCTACCGAGCCTCTGCCTGTACCATTTGGACTGGGTAACGTCGTGTTCATCCCGACTCCAATGTCCGTCTCCTCAGGCGCCTCTAGAAACCCAAAGCAGGTGGTCTTCCCAAGAACCTCTTGCATCAAGGCCACGAAGCTCGTAACGATGGGTCTCAGGACGTTCCGAGTCGACTCCCTAGAGCCGGCAATCTGTCCGCTAACGTAGGCGCCGTTTTGGAACTGCAACGGCGCGTAATTCGGCAGGCTGCCAATAACGGACAAGAATTGCCGGAGGATCTGGGCGGCGCGGTGGGCATTAGCCCAGCCTTCGGAGAATGCTTCCAAGATGTTGACCATCATCGTCACCTCGTCGCGCGCGGTAAAAGATGTGCAGTCTTGTGCACCCGTCACGCAGCAATGCATGAACACCAGACCGACGGGGAACATCCGGCAAAGCGTCACCCTATTCAGAGGAAGCTGCCTCTGCTGAAACAAGACCGAGCTTGATTGTATGTGCTTTTGGGCGAAACGCAGTAATTCTGGTATTGACACGCCACAGCCGAATGAGTTGAAATGTGACGGGTAATACAGCAGTATCAGTAGGTAGTAGTACCTGGCGCTGAGCCAAGTGATGGAGTTGTGGATCGGCACGTTGTCCGGCTCTAGGGGCGACACCAGACAGCCATTGCTATACCAGTTCTCGATGTCTGCTCGCATGTCTTGCAGGATCGACCGGCGGTCTGCGTGTGTGAGCGAGCTGATTTTCGAATGCTTTAGCAAATGGATTTGGTCCATGATCCTGCTTTCCATCTGGCGCAGCATGATGACATGACGACTGGTCTGCAATATGCTAGCAAACTGAGAACGGTCCGGGGACGCAAACTCGTCGACAGTCAAGCCTGGTAGTGGGACGTCCATGTTCTCGTCAGCCAAGGCGGAGGGCAGGCCAAGGGAAGTGGCCAGCATCCGGTCTAGTACATATATCGACCACAGCAATCGGTGCTGCAGTTCGATGCTGATGGGCGGCAGAGACTTCTCGTCGGATGATCGCCGCGTCAGTCCGAGAAGCATTGCTTGACGCGCGACGATGCCTACTATGGACCAAGCCGACGGGCCTAAGGGGTCGAAAAGAGAGTAAAGCGCCAGTAAAACCAAGATCTGGATTGACTCGACGCCTTCGCGGCAGAGGCATTCCTGGATGATGTCGGCGTAGGCAACTTCGAATTTCAAGGTTGTGTCACTTGGGATCTGGCCCGCCCTCTGTAGTGTGGTGCACCCGATTGCCATGATAAGGTACAGCAACGTCGAGTCGGGGTCTCGCTGTCTCTTGGCGCAGTCTCCGAGTGTCTCCATGTCTCTCAGGACTTTGTTCCTGTCAACAAAGGGGTACGCGCGGTTGACGTTCCGGAAGTAGGCGTCGACAAAACGCCGGGCGGCCGCGTTTGCAGGCAGTCCTTGGCCAACAACGTTGCTCCTATCGGACATGATTCTCGAGCCATCATCGTAGGGTTCCGACGAGTGTGCCATCAGGGGCTGATGTGCGGGAGAGGATGTCGCGTGGACAGCATCTAGGGCACGGTGATCAAGCATTGGTTGGTCGTCTTGGAGCACGACATTTTGCGGGCCCGACCTGGCGGACGCTGGGGAGTGGCCTTGGGACAGGACGGCATTTGATGATATCCATTGTATAAGCTCAGTCAGATCTGTGCCTGTTTCGATGGTATCTATGGTCGGTGCGCCCAGAGGCAAGGCCTGGTTGAGGTAGCCGGACAGCCACTCAATACGGGCCCGCAGGTGGTGAGTCTGCGCCGTCGTTGACGACGCCGGGGTGGAGAAGGAGCATTTCGTCCCGGCACTTGCGCATAGCGAGCAGACGGGGAACGTCCGACTGCACTTCTTCTTGAAGTTCCGGCACCTGATGCGGAAGTCAGTTGCCGAGGTCAATTCACGGGTATCCGCCCGATCGACGTACCTATCGCATGCCGGAATGTGACTCGGCTTGGCTGCCGCGGGATTCTGCGAATTCTCAACTCCACCAGCGGAGGGAGGCCAGTCGGGCTGCGGCATCGATGAAGAACTATTTTGAGGCGATGGAGACGCCCGGCTGGTCACTCGGAAACGGTGAAGCGACGCTTTCATGTCTGAAGACATTTTGTGGAGCGTCAAAGCACCCAAGTCGGCCACGATGCGATATTTCAGTCTCGCATAGATTGCAGCTCAAGGACTGGGCCAACGCCTGAGTTTTTGCCCCCATGGAAACCTCAACCATGAGAAGACGGCCTTGAATCAGCCCATGTTCATAACGAATCTCGCTATGCTGGCCCTGCGAACTGTGAGTCGCCCAGCTCACGACTGTGCGGGCGAATGTGCGAGTCAAGCGCACCGCCAGAAGCGGAAATTCTCCCAGGGACTGGCGGCCGTTGCCCGACGCCACGACTGCTACTGGCGGGTGCACCCCCGGTGGCCGTGGGCCCTGACTCGCTGCTGCAGGTCGTGAAGCGTCGGCCACTCGCCCGACATTAGCGGGTCGGGGATAGCGGCGTCGCGTGACGGCGCGCTTGCGTGACTTTTGCGTGACCGAAAACTACCGCATCGGGAAATCCAATCTCTAAATGCTGCCTTGCATAGATGGTGCTATCATGGCTGCTGTACTACAAGAAGAAGCGTTCATGGATCCGGGAGGAATGTCTAGAGGATTGTACCGAGATACTCTCGGCGTGAACTCTTCACGTCCAACGTCTGTGTGAATCCAGCATTGACTGTATTCCGGTCAGGCCAGGCGGAGAACGAGAGGACAAAAGACGAAGACCCTATCTCGGCTTCAGAGAGACCACAGACGGTTATCTGGGAGAATGTCACCAATTTTCACGGACGAGAAGCTCGACGTGAGTCGTGTTGCAGTCATTGGTGCTGGCCCGTGTGGTCTTGCCGCAGCCAAGTACGTTCTGCTTTTCGGAAACCCTGATCCAGATGACCTGAACCTCGGGAAGCTGATCGTGCCGTAGATACTTGGCCGCCGAAAAGAAGTTTTCCAAAATCGACGTCTTTGAGCAAAGGGCGACAGTAGGCGGTGTTTGGAATCATACTCCTCTGAATCTTGTTGATAGAGACTTCACAGTTCCTAGGACACAACCAACAAAGTTCCCTGACAGTGCAATATGGTCCGACGGTGACACGAGTGCACAATTCGTTTCTCCGGTTTACGACTTTCTGGAGACCAACATCCCCCATACGTTGATGAACTACTCCGATCAGGAGTTTCCTGCCACCGCATCTCTGTTTCCTAAACATGAAGTTGTGACACAATATTTGCAGAATTATTCGGCAAGTGTCTTGGACCTCATCACGCTTGAGACTCAAATTCTCGGGGTGGAACGGCTCCAAATTGAGGGTTCGAGGTGTTGGCGGCTTGACTTACTGGACTTGAAGACCAGCGAGACGAGACATGCCTACTACGATGCTGTGATGGTTGCGAGCGGGCATTACAATGACCCCTTTATTCCACAAATTCCGGGGCTTGCCGAGTTCAATAAGATGTACCCTGGCTCTGTCTCTCATTCAAAGTACTATCGCAGACCGGATATATACGCCGGAAAGGTGAGCACACTATAGCTTGCTACGTAGCCAATTCGCTAACGGTTTGTTCCCAGAAAGTGGTGATAGTGGGCAACTCTGCGTCTGGAATTGACTTGAGTGCCCAAATATCCGCAGTCAGTCAACTTCCCGTGATAGTATCCGAGAAGGCTCAACCTGGGACGTCGTTCGAACAGCATTCCTTGATTAGAATGGTCCCTGAAATTGCTGAGTTTATTGCTGAAGGGCGATCGATCACGTTCAACGATGGGAGGATCGAAAAGGAAGTCGACTGCGTGGTTTTCTGCACGGGTTACTTCTACTCATTCCCCTTTCTTAAGACGCTCGATCCGCCCGTTATCACGGACGGGTCTTATGCTCGGCATCTGTACGAGCACATCTTGTACATCGACGATCCGACATTGGCATTCCTCGGGATCCCGCAGCGCGTGGTGCCTTTTCCTGTCTCCGAGGCTCAGAGTGCTTATGTTGCACGAGTATGGGCAGGCCGACTGCCAGTACCGTCGCGCTCAGGTATGTTGGAATGGGAGGCCGAAAGACTCGTGGAGAAGGGAGAGGGCAAAGCCATCCACAACCTAGCATTCCCTAAGGACGTGGAATACATCAACAAGCTGCACGACTTGAGCCTGTCGGCGAGGAGAGTTGACGGACTCGAGAATCATGGGATGGGTAAGATTCCTCCACATTGGGGCGCAGACAAAGCGTGGACGAGGGAGCGCTTTCCCCTGATAAAGATTGCGAGCCGAGCGCTGGGAGAAAAGCGTCACGAAGTGAGGACGCTGGGAGAGCTGGGATTCGACTATCACGCATGGAAGCTTGCGAAAGATGCGGAACAGAAGCTTATTTAAACCTCGAGAGGAGGAAGCTTCATACCACCCAGTTTTCCATCACAGTTCAAGCTGAAAGGCCACATCGCTGGCGGTTGGGGATGAGGCATTGGTCACAAGATCCGTGCTAAGTAGTTACCGGTCCAGGCATTAATGCAGCTCGAAGCTATGCGGGCTACTCGCGATATGGTGATTCCCCCAACAAGGCTCTGTCTTCCACGGTTGCGATTAGTGCCTGTGGACGGATTTGCGATGGCGGCTTGCTCCCGTTCCAGCCCCGGTCATCGGTCAAACCGTAGGCTGCATCCTAATACAAGGCCTAGCCGCTCCTTGCTTTGCCCCACTAAATCCGTGGCGGACTTGCAGCACATCGGCTACCATCATCCGCCGGATGATCAGCCTAGTCCCGTATTTCCTACCGTATTACCGAACTTCTCGGACTTCACGTCAATATTGCTCTTCCGGCAGCATCTCACGTGCCCTGGAACACGATAGTATGACAGAAAAGAGGATTGTTTTAATCACCGGTGGCAACACCGGGATCGGTTACGAGGCCGTCAAGGCACTCCTACAGTCTGATCGGGCGTATATCATTCTCATGGGAAGCCGCTCGGTCGAGAACGCGAAGACAGCGGCTCGGAGGCTGGAGACGGAGGTTCCGAATACACTGAGTGCAGTTGAGCCGGTACAGGTGGACATCGCCAGCGACGAGTCCATCAAAATGGCATTGGAGCATGTGAAGGCGTCTCATGACCACATTGATGCGCTCGTTAACAATGCGGGTAAGTTTCTCTTGGAGACATGGCTCTTAATGGAATCGAAGCTTACAAGCCTCAAGGTGGCCAGTTTGACTGGGAGTACCAGCAGGGCAGTATCACATTGAGAGAGTCTTGGAATAAGGCTTTCGATGTCAACGTGTCTGGGACACACATCATGACGCACGTTTTCATGCCGCTACTGCTCAAGTCTTCTGATCCTCGCTTGTTATTCATCACCAGTGGCCTGTCTAGCCTCCAGAACACAAGCGAGAGATTCTACCCGGATCCTCATCCGCCACCACCCGGGTGGCCGAAGACCTTCGACTTCGATACTATGGCGTATCGTTCGAGCAAGACAGCTCTGAATATGATGATGCTGAACTGGTCGTGGAGACTGACTAGGGATGGGGTAAAGACCTGGTGCGTTTCTCCGGGTTTTCTTGCGACGGGATTAGGTAACGACCATGAGCTGCTAAAGGCGAGAGGCGCTGGTCATCCGAGTATCGGTGGCAACTTCATTAGAAATGTCATAGAGGGCCTAAAGGATGCGGACATCGGAAAGATTGTACATAGCAGCGGTCAAGTCCAACCTTTCTGAGTGAGACCGCAGTAAGTTAGATATGCCCAAGGCCCTCCATCACGCGACCACAAAACGGCTTCGTTCGGTCTTTATTATGACCTGCTGGCTTATATTCTATAATTTTCGGGATTTTTCAGGTTGCACATCACCTTTACTGGGCGAAGAATGTTCAAAGCGTGGCGTGTCTAGGTGGCCAATTGAATTGATGATCAAATCAAGGAATATCTGAGACATCTTAACGACCTGCGGACCACAAATGGTAGGGGTTGTTCTCAATATGCGAACCATGACTACTGAGACTCAATCTGCGAAAAGTGCATTCCGGTCAGTTCGACGTGGAGAGCAATCTACGTTGTAGAATGGCTAACCGAAGTTCCTGCCTGAGCTGTCAAAAGCACCAAGACGCACTCCGGACGCTTCAAAGGAAACCGTGCTGCAGTGGCACCTGTAAACTCGAAACCGGGAGCCTTCAAATGGGTGGCACTGTTTTACGATGTCCAACCACGCCCGTGACAGAGGTCACTGACACGGTGGGCCAGCGCGTTGTGTGAGACTTGGGACAGGATTGAGACGACGAGATGGGCCGAGTTGTATCAAGTAACGCCGTCAGACACCTAATACGATGCAGGTACTCTCCGTTACTTTCACGCCGAGCGTAATATTATAAGTATATATATATATATGTATGTACCGGTATATTCTGTGAGCGTGTCTCTCTATGGAACGAACATACAGAAGGTGGTCAAGGCGCATGCCGCCAGCCAATGTACCGCGCCGTCATTAGAGATCAAGGATTCCCAGGAGGGTATTCCTACGAATTGTAGGTCTCAACTAATAAAGTGCGAGCCCTTTCGTCTGCAATCGCTCGTACTGCTGGTGGGTTTGACTCATTCGTAGCTGGTGAAGCACTCAAGCATGAACAAACTTGATGAGTAAAGACTGAAAAAGAGCACATGCGTCATTACGAGTGGTTTCGAAGTCGGCCACCGGCCCAACGTCGAAACAGACTCTGCGTGCGACCTCCAAGGCCATGATTCCACTGGAGTAAAATAAGTCCTTTGAACAGTGCCCCGGTTACACGCTCCTCGTCGCGGCCACATAGATGTGTCCTCGTTATATCTAGAACTTAACATGGCATTCAAACTCCCCCCCACCCACCCACCATACTTACGTAGCCGTTACCGATACATTATACGGAGATCCCAGATAAAATTGCTAAATAATTGCGGCCCTAATGAGGTCTCTAGCCAGGTCGACAGTGTGTGCTCAGTGCAACACGCTATGGCCATCTGATCCCTGACGCGGCCACTCATGATAGCGGGTAATGGGATGACAAATTCTAGTTCCCCGAAACCGTTCCAGATCATTAGGCAGACAAAGATGTAACCTGGCTGGGGACAAATTTTGTATTGCCAGCAGGACCTGATGAGAGTCAGACGGAGGCCGCAGAAATTGATCGTCTTGCGACTGTCGGTTTCGTGTTTTCCTCTATCTGGGCCACTAGCGAAAACGTGTACCGAAACCATCCTAGATAAGGATTCGTAATTGGCTAACGTTTCATAGCATGCAGTGAAATTGTACCAATAGCGTGGCTTGCGACGCCAAAAACAAACTCAGAAAGAGGGCCTCTACCAGCCTAGTGACGAAACACAGGAAACTGCTTTTGCACGGTTCAAAAGGGGCTTGCATCTTATGAAGGAGGGCTCATCCTAGGCATGCTGCATACCGAATGACTCGGACCGACAAGGAGTGGTTACCCCCTCCCTCACTGTGTATGATTGCCATATTGCAGAGCATGTTAAAGCCCAAGGGGCCCCGTTGTCTCCTTGGCTATTTCCAACAAATCAGTCGTAAACTTAGAATCAATAGTTCAGCCATCTTGAACGTGAAATAATACAGAAGAGAGCTATTTACTGGCTTGACCGATGTTTACAATTGATAGATTGTTCCTCAACCGGGTATGACTACCGCGCTGGTTAGGATAACATGCAAGCCTAAGATATGACTTCACCGTGGAGATCACGCTCCAGTATATCCAACAACTGCCAATAGTTGTGAATATTGTTCCACTGCAAATTGGAGGCTTCCCTTCTTTGAGCACTAACGCCCTGCAAACCCTCTTCCCGCCACCAAAAAGTGCAGCAGAGGACCTTTTGGTGGCTGACTGGCGCTTTCTCCATGGACCAAGCTCTTTGCTAAGCGCTGACAACAAGGTTGAGAGGGGTATGGAGGAGGACCATTGGCTTACGTTGGATCGTTACTTGTTACAAGAAATAATGCGGCCTTCCTTGGATCTTGCCTACTGTTGAGCATTTGCAGACCCCAGCAGCTTTGTGCTGTGACAAGACTGGCTGGGTTGCAAGCTATGTTATGGTGCATCTGGTGGCCTACGAAACGTTCAGTCTCTGTACTATGTAGGAGCTGACAGGCGACTTATGCACAGCATACCCACAGTATAATGCATTGTTATTGCGTGCCGTAGATAGCTTGTGCGTTTTGAGATACCAATCCAACTAACCATTCATGCACAGATTGTCATTCCTAGAGCGGACACCAGCCTCGGACTGCACGCCAGTGACTGTCGCATGAACCATACGGCCAAGTCTCTGATAATGCTTGATCAAAAACCGGTGACCTCCATGCGAGATCTTACTATGTAGAGTACTGGGTACAATGATTCGATATCTCAAGGAATAGTTGAGAGTCATAATTAGGATAATACGTACGGCTTGCGTACTCCGTACTGTGCCCGCATTTGAACTGAACAGTAACTGCAGCACCCTAGGTGGGTTCGACAGGCATCAGGTCAGATGACTTTCTTTCATGCGGCTTGCCGCTGATCCTAGTTCCAGTCTCAGCCCACCTGCCCACCTGTCGAAAAACTTTCTCTTGACATTCTTGAAATGATCGTCCCTTGCCGATCTCTAAAAGTGGGTACCTAGAAGAAAGCTTCAAGTCTCAATATCTCTTTTTGACCTTGGGCTGCCAATCTGGGATATGAGACTTGTAAATTCTGCACACCCAACATGTGCGTACCAGTATCGATGGTTGTGGTCACTGTGACGGAAGCGCCCCGACTCCCACTGACGCAGTGGCCACAGCCTGACCGCCTGACTCAGCGGGAGAGGCTCGACCGCCGCCCATGTTAAGGGATGGACTAGGTAGAGCGATGTGCATACATCTTGACCATTGGCAGGCGATCATCCAATCGAGACCATCAGCAAAGTCGGCTCCATATCACCCGAGGCAAGTTGGGTCTTGGCACCAAGAGTAACCTGAATCCCTACGTTGCGTGCTGTAACGTGAATCATCCCCAACGCAATTCTCTGATGGTCGCTGCAGGCGGATTTGGGCGTTGATGTTCTCGCCAGGCACAAAACTGCGGCTGTCAGTGCGGAGCTTCATTAGTCTCGAGGTCTCGTTACTCTCTGCATTGTGGCGATGGGGTCAGGCATCGCTACCAAGCCAGAATATCGAAACACGTCTAGGTTTCTTCTCAGAACGATACGCAGCAAACGTGGAAGCTTGCTTCCGAAGACCTCGGCCGAACGACTTCGTGCCTACGGGTGGCGGCCAACCGCTACCAAGGTTGCTATCCCGTTGTGTTTGATCTGAGCACCCCCATACTGTTGCCATCGCATCTTTGCAGTCGCAGGTTGAATTAGAGTTTTCTGCAGCTATCATGGGCCGCCCCAATTCGCTTGATGTTGACAATCAACTCAGTGGGCCAAGTGGAAGTGCCTACGCAATCACTCCTGGAACATAGTTCTCTAGTTCCAACCATTTAGCAAATGAGAAATTTCCGATAGACCAGGTTGATGGGCCTAGCTGACCCGAGACAATGGATTGATGCCGCCCAGGCCGGACGTAGTGTGCGTCAGTAGCACGTTTTTCTGTCTTGGCCGGCTAGCATGGCCTTGTTTTTGTCATGATGTCTCTCGTTTCGACGAGCTTTGCGGACAACATGATTCGGGTTAACCGGTAACTCGAAGAGTGTGTGAGCTGCCAGACTACCAACGACTCAATGACTCGAGTCGTGATGTATGGTATGTGACAGACTACGCGGCTCGTTCAGTAGCGCGCCCTGCAGTTTCTGAGGCAATGTTGGGTGCTGATGTCAACACGAAACAAGACGATCTTTGCATCCGACTACTGTAGGACTGGAGCAATCAGGGACCATGTATGGATCCCTGTCGCTAGACTGGTCGGAAACGGGTAGACATTGTTCGCGGCGCCGCCCAGGGCGCATCGCTCCTGCACAGGTACACATGACGGCTCCTCGTAGCTCAACTCGACGCGCTTCTACAACCGTCATATCTACGGACAATTTCCTGCGGTTGTCATCGTTCCTCCCAACTGCTTCCGGGGGGCCCGCTGGAGAGCATAAATACCGAGATGCTGTGCACTGTTTGGGGAAGCCTCCCCCACTTGATCAAGCACCATGCAGGGCCCCTGGCAGAGCTGTTCCCTGAAGTCTATGCATGGAGCCCACGTGTCGGATATCGGTTCTCAAAAGCCATAAGTTACTGATGGGAAGCCAGCCGTATTCAGCAATTCCATCGCATCTCCAGATCGGGCAACAAACTGTCTACTGGGGTTACGTCGCTTGTGGCCAATCGTGCCCTTGGAAGCACTGACCGACCTACTGGGAATTCCTGGCTTCAAGTTGCGTAGCATTTCTCCTTTGCTTCATGCCTGAAACCGCAAAAGAACAAGAGAACAACATTTTTTGCAGGTGCCTCTTGACTCACTGGGCGAACACCCGTCGCTCCGTCTCAGGGGCGAGCGAACATCAATGTAAGCTGCTAGCTGAATCAGGTTTACGAGCAACTTTGCAGAGGCTAGCCGCCATGCGCGAATATGGACACGACAATTAACGAAGCCTCTGTAGGACTGAGACTAGTTTGCCGCTAGAAACCATAGAATGTCCCCTAGAACAAGAAAATGCCCCATAGATTGGCGGGAGTAGCCCCCACTGCGGATACTGTCAGGGCCAGACCTATTGCTCACCGTCGAAT